ATTAAAATTGATAAGGGGACATAATTTTACATATTTAAGTGCTTGTAAGATTTACTTGCCCTTGATAATGGTTTTCGTGATGGATAATTTTACGAAAGTGCCTGGCAAACTACCTGCCCTTGATAGTTTTTAAGTATTAAAAGTTTGATTTCTGAGAAAAATAGACCTACTGCATAAATGTTAACTTCTGCCGCCATGCAAACTTCAGGGTTAATGACAACTACCAACAACAACAAAACAAACATTCCATTACAAGGCTATGAAATGTTGTTGTTTTTTATTATATACAAATCAAACCACAAGGTTTTACACATTTTTTATGACTCCCATTATATATCCTGTGTATTGATTTCCATTAATTACAAAAATATCAAACTAACAAAACTTATTGTAGGGAAAAAAAAACAAGCATTTTTACGACTTGTTTTTACTTAGTCCCTTGATATGATCAAAATGTTCACTTTTAACGAGGAAATTTATTGCCATACCTCACAATAGTTTAATAATTAATTGCCACGTTTTTAGTGCTGCCCTTTCGGCTTTTTCTGAATACTATTGTCATGAATATAATTTATTAAAAGTACAAACATCTCCAATAACCGTTACTGACCTTGACCTTAAGCTTAATGAAGAAGATGAGCTTGGAAACATAATAAATACTAAAGTTTTATTAAAGAAGAAGAATAATGTAAACACCAATCCGCTCAATTTTTAAAAATTGCGTGTTTAAATTCATCTATTTTAATTTTCTGTGTAAAGATTCATTTATTTTAGTATCTTTATTTCTTTTTTCCTATTGTGAAATCGAGCTGGAAAATACTCGGAAAACAACAGCCTATTCTTTCTCAACCTTATGCAGTACTCTAGAAAAAAAAACAGAATTCTTTAATGGAAAAATGTTTGTTGTGCGATCAATAACGGCAGCATCTATAAGGGTGTGCGAAAAATATAACATTAGAATGTTTCCACACCAAAACTGGGTCAAGAGCATCCCACAATGCACCGTTTTTTGTGTTTTTAGAACAAGGAACTTTTCAAAAACGTAAAAGAAGCTCGAAGAAGCTTGAATCCTGGGAATCCTTTTCGTCTCATTGAACCAACAACAGCTCAGTATCTTCCTCAAGGTAATAGAAAAGTGTCCATAGAACAAGGATGAACCCACTGTTTTCATGCCCCCATCTAAGCTGTTTGGGCATAAAAACTCCTTAAATGAGAAAAACTTGAATGCTGCCCTACTTAACATGTTACTGAATGTGTACCATACTATATGTTTATAGCATACAGATTACCTGATTTACATTTGATTCAGCTATGTAGGACAAAATGACATCACAATTGTAGAATTAACATAAATTAGGTATCACTTACATATATTAAAAGCTTTGTTCAAGAGTCCTTAACCCAAACGCACTTTAAAACTCTGGTGGTTATAGAGTCACTAGTATGTTAAAAAGTAAAAATATTGTGAATTCAGAAATATTTTTTGTTCTGGGTCAGAATCTCACTTGGTATTGACTATTATAATGGTGATTGACCAACAGTTGATACTGGAAAAAGTTTAGGAAAAATATAAATCTGCCTAAAACACAAGACTGCCCCACTCTTATCATAAATTAAATGTTACAGGTAATTTCCGATGGATATTTATAGGAATTTCCTTGGGCCACGCAAGTTATTTATTGTTCATGCGAAGTAAGTTATAAGATTGAAATATAAGATTGAAAGGAATCATGACAAAATGTAAGTAAACTAATAATAACCTATTTGACTTTCACCCTTTCACTCACTATTTACCCTGAGATGAGCATATTAAATGTCACTTCATACAAAATAAAACAAACAAACTCGTCAATGAACCCAACCAGTCAAACTAAGCCTGCAACATTAACAATTTTGCCATTTTGGGTGTTTTTAGAGGATTCTGGTGGGGCTTTTTTTAACTATATATATATATATTTTTTTCTTTTTTTTCTTTTTTTTGTTCAATCACAAATCAGTCAACCAATTGTATAACAAACACAATCCCCAATAACTGGCAATAATTTGGTAAAAAAAAAGTATCAAATTTCCTGTATAGATAATCATGCTTTTAACAGCCAGTAGTTTAAGATACAAAAACAGTTTGGTTCTTTTTTATTTTACAAATGATAAAATTAATAAAGCCTGAAAGAACAAACATATCAAAATACAACGTCTTTCAGAGAGATATCCACTTTAAATGTAACAAGTTGTTATCAGTATATAATTTCAGGGTCAAGTACCTTAAAGTATTTGATACAAGGTGTAAGATAGCCTCTTTGATCTGGGAAGACCTCCCATTTAGAGTAAAACTACAATATTAGAGGCTCTTGCTGGAACAGGTTCTTCTTTTTTTTCAGCAAACTCACGCTCAGATACCAAATTACCAGACACACCATCTGCTCATACTTTTTTTATTTAACAAATTATCTAAAAATATATTCTAAAATTTATAAAATATCACCATTTCATAATAAATGGTTTACAGTCAAGTGCCATAAATCTTGTCCGTCTAATTTCAAAATAGTATCGTCTCCTTCTTTAAACTACTATGCACCAATACAACCAAACTTAATGCTGACATACATGTACATAAAAAACCTTGAAACTTAATAAAAATTCTAGAAAAGGGGTTGCATGAGTCGATGCTGTAGCAGGCAGCAAGCTTAGGGTTAAAACTAGTTGAAAATCGTAGATTTCACTGGCAGTTTTTGCCACAAGTATAGAGCTGCCACCTTGGCCACTGCCTACCATTATCCATGCAGTTTCAAGAAATTATCCCCAAAATTGACTGAACCCAAAAATAGCAAAACAGCATATCTAGGGTTTAAAATTCCTACCCTTTATTAATTAGAATGATTAGTGCAGATTAAAATTAGAGTTAATTTAGTAAATTTAGTGGTAGAAGAAATCTATATGTTAATTAATTAAGATTATCAGTTTTTGTGTCTGATCACTTGGAATCATGTAATACTAAGTTCATTCGATTTGAACATTTTAAAACTTAAAAGTTGTTATAACGATAATTGTCACCTATTTATATTTTACAGAATTTCTCAAATTTTTTAACTTTTCTAGTTTCCATTTCTGGTACTTTTCATGATTATTATTATTATTTTTTTTTAATGAATATTCACTAAACACGGCTCATTCCATGAATTTTCATTTCTCACTACCATGAACAATATGCACTCATATTCTCGCATTTCCTGCACCGCGACAAAATACAAGTAACAAAATTTGACCAAGATCATGGTCAGCCAACCCTACAGAGCCTTTATCACATATTGCACAGAATATGCAGGTCAGTTGGTCATGTACAGCTGACTATAATGCAAACTTAAGGTTTTATTTTATTTCATTTTATTACGGAATCCTTTGTTTTGAACACTTATATTGTATTGACATTTCATAATTTTACACCCCATTCAATACTTATAACAGTTACACCATGTACAATATAAATACATCATAAAACAAAAGAGTTTAAACAGTTTTAACTGTATAATCTCACTCGATCAATATGTGATATGACCTTGCCCTTGTGTTAAGACTGGTTAACCTTCCTCCTGCTGATTTACCCATACACAAACAACCAGCGCAGTCCAAGTTCTGCGGGGGTTCGGGGAAGGGGGGGGGGTGAAAAAGCCATGCAAATCTCATCATTGAGGTACAATAATGCCGGGGTTTCGATCAACTTGGCAACTAATACAACATTTGACATAACAATGGTCAATTCCAATGATTGTCCATTATACAAGAAGAGAAAAATGGATTCCCTATAATGACAGACCAAAACGGCAAAATTGAGCCCTTAAACAGCAAAACTGAAAATCTTGCCGGCTCGTTTTCATTGAGCCTGTACATGGATTGTACTGGTGGGTGCAAATCTTGTTATTGTTCATGCTTTCTATCTATTAAATGGTCTCAACAAATTTAAAACATCTGTTATGCCATTAGCTTATCAATATACAGTATCAATAACAAAACTTTGCTGCTAGTCTCTATATTCACAGTCTAAATTCACTAGTGTTGTCCTCAAAACTTAAATTAACCTGGAAATTTCCTATAATGCTTTTTTCAGTTTCACCCAGTTTTACTAATGTAATTGGAAAAGAGTGCCAATGTAATGTTTTGGCAAAGGTTTTACATGCAATATCAGAGCATCTGCACCGAACGGCTTTAACATATATCCGTTTTTCTACAGGAGAAAAATTGAGGAAAATGAGCGCTACTAACCCCTCACATAGATCAATTACAGGTTTAAGTATAAATCCACTTATGAGAAGGCTTTGTTCTCCAAAGTGATACAGAGAGGGGTAATTTCCGAAAAAATATATACGATACAAGATCAAAGCTCAGTTACTTAAATCTGGGGCGGTTCTATTACTGCATTTGTGATTTACTTCTCTTTTCTGAGAAAATGGTTTACTTCAGCTTTTTTTTTTCATTAGAATGTGCTTCTGATAACAGATACCCATGCGTTATAAACATGTAAAAATACTATTAAACAAACAACACATATGATTTTGCTCCCCTTGTTTGTTGTTTAACACACATATGAAAAACAGAACAACAAGAACAATGATAAACTGACTTGTTCAAATATTTAACAGTTTATAGTGCAAATAACAGTAATTATCATAGTACTGAACTGTTTCCGGTTAGTTTCGTTGCTTTCTACCAATGAAAGAAATATTATTAATGCATAGTGGTCACATATCATATCCATCGTCTGTCCGGTTTTACTTACATTCCTAAATGTTACTGTCCGGAGCAAGTTTTTTTTTTTTTAATTTCTGAACTAGGTTAAAATGATCAACATGCCATAAACAACTGATTATAACTTCAACCTAACTTTTTGTTCTGTTCTGTTTTTATTTTGAATATCATGGCACTTATAATGTACTACATAATACACGTTTACAATGGTTCATTTGAAGCATCTACAGGGTATCTAAAGGGAGTGGCATAGAGTGGTATAATCCCACGGGGGGGAATCACGTGACTTTGTATAGTAATACCCACGAGAAAATGGCGACTGCTGAGCCCCGGTAAGTACCTTATTATGTTAAATTAAGGTGACAAACGTTTCTTAAATAAAAACAAAACCTAGCGTATCATATGCGCGTTAATTTTCTTCAAATGACAATACAAAGTGCATTATCCTACGTTTTGTGGTTTTTGAGAACATTGTTTGAATTGTGTGAAAATTGCACATTCAGCGATAGTAATTTGCACGAAGCGATATAATTTGGTACCAAAATAAATGAAAATAAGCTTTCTTTTTGCACTTAAGACACCAAATCAATCATTTTATTGACATCTGTTCTTGTAGAATTCCATATAAAATTTTGTTCGAAGGTCTGTAGCCTACAAGTGCTGTTTGCAAATGTTTAGTAAGTAAAACGAACAATTTCTGGATAGTAAGTTACACGAAAACAAAATAGTAAGTTTCACGCACAGTTTCCAATAGCTTACTTAAATGTGACGAAACTATTTTATAATTCTTTTGGTTTCAAATTTGCAAGTGTGTTCCGTCTACGGTGACAGAGAAACAAATATCGAGAGATTATTTTAATAATAATTCATATTATTTCATAATACATGTATTCATATTCATATAATTTCATAAAAGATTACTTAACTTAAAATAACTAAATGAGACATTGACATTGATACTCAACAATGTACGTTACACTTGGCCCTTTTTCACGTTAGACTGGACCCACATCCGTTATCTTTAGAACTAGATTTATAAAGAAATAACTGTGCAGAAGGAAATATTACAACACCATCATGTATTTTTCAGTATCTGCAATTTGGACCGAAAACGCAAAGGAGAAGACATTCGCCATTTCACATTGATATTTAATGCCATCATAGAACTGGTATACAAAGTTTTTATTAATTTTATTCTTACACTGGCAGATTTTATAAATAAACCCAAGAGGTTTTGTTAAAATGTTATGTATTACTATACGTTTATTTTCTTACCATGTGCAAATGTGTTGCGTCGTAAACTCTTACTTTTTGTTTGTGATAGAGTAAGTAAATAAGATATTCAGTGCGTCCATGGCGGAGTGTTTAAAGTCCCTGATTTTTATACACATGCTTCTCACCGCTATGGATTCTAGTCCGACCAGAGTCCTTGAATTCTTTCATCAAACTAGCTAACAAAACGTCGGTGCTTTAACTCAGGTGTCCCGACATTGACGGTGTGATTTGAAACCCAGCATCTAAGATTGTTTTATGTAAATATTTTTTTACTCCACTTGCCTTCATATCTTTGACCGTTTGATTTCAAATATTCGTTTTTCTTTGAATGTCCATTATGCCTCTTAAATGCTATCATTTTTATTTAAAAAAAACTGTTTATTTTTGGTATCTTGTTACAGTTTCCGAAAACATACTCATTTGCTAGATACTCAAACTAGCAAACTTTTACATCTTTGGTTCTGTTGGAAAATGGTATACCTTTAGTGAATAAGTATTTCGTATGGAAGTCAAAATACTATACTTTGTTTACATTTTGCTACCTTAGCGACACATCACTTAATATAATGTTCAGTGCTACCTTTTTCAGTTGTAATAAAATACGTTTTTATCCATTATTTAAACATTATCAAACACATGTTTGACATTTCTAAAGAATTTAAACAATATGGATTTCTGAGGAACAATGTGCCTTTAATCATAACTTGTATCACTGTATCATTGTTGTTTGTTGTTGTTGTTTTTTTTGTTTTTGTTTTTTTGTAAGAAGTTATTTTGTTCTTGCGAATTCTTCAATATATTTTCATAAATTAAGTAACATAGTGACTAAATGTAACAAATACCACCATATAAAACATCGATCAGCATTCAGTTAATAAACATCACCATACCAATTAACAAGCAATTATATTTGTTCATTACAGTAAAATGAGGGCCAAGACACACCTGAAACTGCAGAGGTCAAATAACTACTATCGCCACAGAAAAATAACACTGAGCCGTGTAATATCAAATCCCATCAAAAGTTCATTTGATATATTATAATAACAACCAATTTAGCATTCGTCCTATAGACAAAAAAGTGAAATATTTGATCTTGAATAATTTAAATAAGTATTTTCTATCTCTTAACATATGAACTTTAACTTTCTTTTAATGTATATGTATGCTAATGGAAACTGTGCGTGAAACTTACTATTTTGTTTTCGTGTAACTTACTATCCAGAAATTGTTCGTTTTACTTACTATACATTTGCAAAGAACATTTGTAGGCTACAGACCTTCGAAAATATATTTTATATGAACTTCTACGATAACAGATGTCAATAAAATGATTGATTTTGTGTCTTAAGTGCAAAAAGTAAGTTTATTTTCATTTATTTTGGTACCAAATTATATCGCTTCGTGCAAATTACTATCGCTGAATGTGCAATTTTCACACAATTCAAACAATGTTCTCAAAAACCACAAAACGTAGGATAATGCACTTTGTATTGTCATTTGAAGAAAATTAACGCGCATATGATACGCTAGGTTTTGTTTTTATTTAAGAAACGTTTGTCACCTTAATTTAACATAATAAGGTACTTACCGGGGCTCAGCAGTCGCCATTTTCTCGTGGGTATTACTATACAAAGTCACGTGATTCCCCCCCGTGAATCCACTCAAATCATATTCCTTGCATGTTCTCAATATCTATCTCCCAGATGATCCTATTATAAGCAATCATCATCAGATAGGAATTGTATACCACACAGCTTTTCTAATTCAATGTGTTGATTTTCTATCTGGAAAGTTCTAAACCAAACTGTGAAGAAATACATTCATGTTTTACTAGCTAAACTTGTAAAAACTTATATCATACAAGTCGACTGTCAACAGCATTAAACTAATAATATCATTCTTATAAATAAGCAAAGGAGATGCAAGGTGGTCAAGTGCTTTTAAAGGTGTCTGCCTCACATCGGTCTGCCTCTCAAGCAATTGCGATTCTAGATTGTGGCTGACAATGTCCATGACAGGATTTTAACCCACAGCAGTGAGGGACAAGTGTGTTGAAGAAGGCATCCATAACCACGACCATGGAGGCCCCACACGTTTAAATAATAACCCATGTTTAATAAATAATCTATTTGTAAATGTCCACTTGTAATCATGAGTTTCAACAGATTTTTTTTTTCAGATTTCTAATCAATAATAGCTTTAAATTAACCTTTTCAAATTCCATACTCGGAACCCCAACAAATTAAGTGTAATTGTATACCTGTTTTATCAAAATACACCTTTTTTCTACCTTTAATCGGGCATGAAAATGTGAAATAAATCACTGGGTAAAATAGCTAAGGACAACCAGAGGCCTTATTAAATTTGCGAAAAAAATTTGTTCAGGTATAAAAAGTTAAAAACATTAACTCTTGTACAAAGCAAGGTTGAAAGTGGATCAAAGCTACTTTTTAGTGTGCCCACTGGATCATAACTAATTAAGTAATCTTAAACCATCTATGGAAAAATCATTACATTTTCCTCTAAAGAGTTTTTTTTTTTTTTTGAGTCGTTCCTTTCATCCTCTTGACATCTTAGTTAATACTAAAGCAATGACCTATTATTTTTGTATATGATTTTCATGAGTTTTAAACCAGTGCTTCAATCATTTATCTACTGGAACCGAAAATAATAATTCTGTCCTTTAGTGCAGGTAAAAACAGGTCAACTCATGTTATAACTTAATAGGAGTTGACCTGTTACTGCATTAAAGTGAGGATTTAAGCCTTTACCACAAGGTAAACCTGCAATACGTTGTGGTGTCAACACCAGTCTGAGGGCAATGACCATCAATAACAAATTTGGACAAAAAGTAAAAAGGGACATAACTCCAAAAATATAGCTTCTCAAAATTAATAATACCTAATATTTTCTTACAATTGTACTACATGTGATCATAATGCTAGTATTCCAAGTTACATTGCTGATACTAAAATTGAAATGTTTCAATGATGGGCTACATTTAAATTTTCACATAAAAAAAACAACAAAAAGAACACATCCCAACAGACAATTGTAAAAGGGCCATAACTTTGTTTGTTTGTTTTGTTTGTTTGTTTCAATTACGCCTTTTCCCAACAGTATTTCAGTCATATAGGCGGGTAGTTTCCTAACCATGGTTCCTGGAGAGTTACACCAGTACTAGACTACCTTCCTCCGCGCTAAACTACCAAAGCATCTCCCGGGGATCGAACACACGCCAGAGAGGTAACTGGATTAGAAGTCATTGACTCTAACCCCTCGACCACGGAGGCAGTTTACCTTAACTTTGCACACAAATTTTTGTACAGTGTCGCATAATGATAGTGAGCTAAAATACTAAAATTGAGATGAAAAACTTTGATAGTTTCTGAAAAGGTTAACCAACGCTATTAACAAGAGAGTCTTGACTCATAATATACATGTACAATAGCGCCACTTTTTTTTTAGGGATCAGAAAATATTTTCTAAGCCACAGATTCTACAGGACCTGTAGATGCTACATTCTATGAGATACTCATCCTACCATATTCTCTTTCAATATAAGTGAAGTGGTCGAGTAGAATTCTGATTCCCTTATTTGACTGGATGTTAAACATTTGTATCAAAAATATGAATTTTTTTTTTTTTAAATGCCTTGGACAAGTAGAATTTTCTATCCCTAGCTGTTCTTTGAAGATACATTAAAAAATTGCTTCAAACAGCAAGCCCTTAAATAAAAAAAATCTTGAAAAAATAAAACGCAGCTTTACAAATCACTAAACAAAACACTTCAAACATACAGATCACAACTTAACAAGAGCTTGTCATTTTGTTACCCTTGGATGGGGCTACTATTTAATTCAAATTTTAGTTACTGTGAAAATAAATGAAAGGAAATCACAAAGGGAAAGAGAGAAAAAAATTGTCAATATATCTGTCAACCTTTTTAGAGGTGATTATGACATCATTTAAATGACTGAGGTTTACTGTTGACTTGAATGATGAAAATGTAACATAATGTTGATATGGTAGATAGAAGTAATGAATAAATTTATGATATAAATCTGGAAACATAATTCACCACAGCTTGACGAGATAAAAAAAAAATCGAATAAAATTTTTGATTCACCATTTTTTTTTTCATTATTTGATTATAATGTTTACATCAATTATCTAAACTTCCAATCATTTGCCCCTCACCACTGTGGATTTGAATCCCACAAAAAAACTTCCTTCATGATTGTATCAAAATGACTTCAAGCTGCACAAACGTGCATGCTGGCCTTGCTCTATACCGGTGCAAACAAAGGCAAGTCACTTTCTGTTCCAGCAGGGGAGGTTACAAAAACTTCAGCTTTTTAAGTGTCTAAACTCTTATTTACTCTTTTTTTTTCATTCAAGTTGGATGGAGACAAAACTTATTCACAAGAAATTGTTTAAGCCCTTTAAAGTGGCAGATAATATTCCTGGAATAGTTATCCCACAAATGACAAACATAAATTTACATAAAGAACATGATAAACATGTACCTTACACACCTGTTACTGCTCTTTCCAATTTGAGTTTAAATATGTTTTAAGTTTGTACTTTAAACATTTGTTAATATAGATATTATTAATATTAAACCATGGTGACAAATGTCATCATTGTATATTAAACACAATAGTGGAAATAACTGACAATGTCAGTATCATTTTATAAACAACATAATTATAACCACTAACCAGCTGTCAAACAGTTATTGGCAGTGACCATGACCTAAACAACTCATATCAAAGACTACACATCCCCAATCCCAACGGGCAACCCCCATAAATAAGACCTTGCTCTGAAAAATCTGAACTCCCCCCAGCATGTTCTCTTCTTTGAAATTATTTCTGATAATAACAACTTAAGAATATCAAATGTTTACCTTACCAAAGGACAACATTCCAAACACTTCCAAAAGAAAAACAAAAATCTAAACAAGTGATGATTTACTATAATTTCACAGATATTAAGAAACATACAATTTTTAACTGTAAAATAAAATGTTCAAATTCGGGTCATCCTTAAATGTTTGTTAACTTTGCAGTAACCCGACCCAGAATTTTCAAGGTGGGGAGGTAGGTCGCTTTTTTTTTTTTTTTTTTTTTTTTTAATTGAACTGTACTCTCAAATAAACATGGAATTTCAAAATGCTGGACAAAATATGCTTTGATAATCTGGTAACAATTAATAAATTGATAACTGAATTCTAATTTAATAAGAACTACATTTTATTTCTTCTACCTTTAAAAGAACAAAAACAAAGCACAAGGCATAATTTTCTGATTCAAAAAAATGTTTTTTATCCAGACCATGAAAAAAAAATTGTTTAGGAGTCGGTCGCGTTACTGCAAACAAACATTTTTTTAAGGATGGCCTTGACTATAAATGAAAGGGACTTACTTGCTTGGTGAATCGCAGCTAAACCGTATCCGCACCAGTTCATGAACAATAGGAAGAGCATAACCCGATGTGCCATAATTACATCACTTCCCATAAAATACATTCAGTCTGGCCAACTTAAAGTACACATCTACATTTACAATAGACAAAAGCTCACATCCTTAAATACGCACAATTTTGAAATGAATTCAATATCCAACTTCTTAAAATAGTGATTGCCAATGTCATATCATATTTTATTGTGATAAATTTCAACTTGCAATATTAAAAATCGACCAATACAGTTGTCAATACGCCCTCGATTTTTAGTTCATGTTGTTTTTTTTCCTTAGATTTTTCTCCGTTTATAATTTAGTCCACCTGGCATCTTTGAAGCGTGTCGGATTTCATATATAAATATGGTAAAAATGTATCTCAAACTCCCCGGAATCTATTTGATACAAAATTCATCTGATTCCAACTGCCTACTATTTCTTTTAAATCGTGATCTTCTATTGCTAATAGCAAGACAAATTTAGAACCATTAAAAGTTTTTATATTTTCACCATTACCATATATGGTGCTTTGTTTAATTTGACACCGAATAAGACCAAATTACCTGTAAATATCACTTATTTACAAAGAGTAGCAAATCATCTACCCTGACTTTAATGAAGTAGGAAATATAATATCGTTTCAATGTAATCACTTTTCTTTCAAACTCGCACTTAAACAAATGTGTATGTATTCTTTTTTCAGTATCTTCTCTTATTCTTGCCTTGGAAACATTAAGCCTTTATTCCACTCCTTGTTACATATATGGCACTTTCCTGAAAATATAAATTGAAATTGGTTTCATGCATTTTAATACAATAAACATTTCAATTCTTTCTTTAAAGCAGCACATCTCCAGATTCAAGATTATTTTCATTTTGAAAATGTATTTCACAGTAAAATATTGTGAAGTTACCAAAAGGAAGCAATTTGCACATTACAAATAGCACTTACACCCCATGTAGATAAACAAAATGTGGTCAAAATATTCAAAAATAGCCTTAACTGCAATAGCAACGCAGTAGAAATATGGTTACAAAAACTTTTTTTTTTAAAAATCATTGAACGCACATAACGTGCAAATCACTTCTTGACTCCTTTACATTATCTAAAATAATAGTATATATTTCTTGGGGTTGATTTTATTAAAATATTTTGGCTCATCTGGAGGCATCGATGCAGCTTTCATAATTATAAAAGACATTTGATGTTATCAGGTGATAATTTCTGTCACAAAATATGAAATAAATACATTTTGTAATTCCTATGAATGGAAATAAATATAACAAGAGGGCCATGATGGCCCTGAGATCGCTCACCTGTATATAGGCCCCCCCCCACAAAAACCCCCCCCCCCCCCAACGTTGCAGGGCCAATTTAACCCAAGGGCTTTTATTTGCACAAACTTGGTAGACACCCATAAGAAGATGTTTCATGCTAAACATCTAAGCTCTAGCTCATTGGGCTTTTTAAAAGAAGATTTTTTTTAAGTTTTTACTTTACACATATAGTTAAAAACAATGACACCCCTTGGGCCAGGCCAGTTTTGACCCCAGGGCTTTTATTTGAACAAACTTTGTAGACACTTACTAGAAGATGTTTCATGCTTAATATCTAAACTCTAGCTATTTGGGTTTTTTCAAAGAAGATTTTAAGTTTTTGCTATACACATATAAAGAAAATCAATGACCCCCGGGGCGGGGCCAATGTTGACCCCAGGTCTTTTAATTGAACAAACTTGGTAGACACCTATTAGAACATGTTTGATGCTCAATATATTAGCCATAGCTCTTTGAGTTCTTTAAAAAAAGATTTTTTAAGTTTTTGCTATACACATATAAGGAAAATCAATGACCCCTGGGGCGGTGCCAATTTTGACCCCAGGGCTTTTATTTGAACAAACTTGGTAGACACCCATTAGAACATGTTTGATGCTAAATATCTTAGCCATAGCTCTTTGAGTTCTTTAAAAGAAGATTTTTAAGTTTTTACTATATGCATATAGGGAAAATCAATGACCCCCGGGGCGGGGCCAATTTTGACCCCAGGGCTTTTATTTGAACAAACTTGGTAGACACTTATTAGAACATGTTTCATGCTAAATATCTTAGCTCTAACTCTTTTGGTTCTTTAAAAGAAGATTTTTTAAGTTTTTACTATATGCATATAGGGAAAATCAATGACCCCCCGGGGCGGGGCCAATTTTAACCCCAGGGCTTTTATTTGAACAAACTTGGTAGACACCCATTAGAACATGTTTCATGCTAAATATCTTAGCTCTAGCTTTTTGGGTTCTTTAAAAGAAGATTTTTTAAGTTTTTACTATATGCATATAGGGAAAATCAATGACCCCCGGGGCGGGGCCAATTTTGGCCCCAGGGCTTTTATTTGAACAAACTTGGTAGACACCCATTAGAACATGTTTCATGCTAAATATCTTAGCTCTAGCTCTTTGGGTTCTTTAAAAGAAGATTTTTTAAGTTTTTACTATATGCATATAGGGAAAATCAATGACCCCCCGGGGCGGGGCCAATTTTGACCCCAGGGCTTTTATTTGAACAAACTTGGTAGACACTCACTAGAAGATGTTTCATGGCAAATATCTAAGCTCTAGCTCTTATGGTTTTTTAAAAGAAGATATTTAAAGTTTTTTCTTTCCGTTGCCATGGCAACCAGAGTTCTGCATGGAATTAAATTCTTTGAACAATTTTTAAAGGTGACCACCAATGGAACATTCCTGTGAAGTTTGGATGAAATTGGCTTAGTGGTTTATGAGGAGATGTCATTTAAAGTAAAAGTTTACGGACGACGGACGGACGGACGGATGGACGCCGGACGAAAAGCGATCACAAAAGCTCACCCTGTCACTTTGTGACAGGTGAGCTAAAAATGTCTGTAAACACACATATTAAGAAAATCTAAAAATCTTTCCTTATGAAATAAGAAATCATTTTACATGTACATGTAAGTAATCTTTATTTCTCTTTTAATAACTTGGTGGCTTTGCAAGCTAAACAATTTATTTTGATCAATATTGAACACATTTTATAAACTTGTGTTTTTCGTTATCATTTACAATTTTCAGAAAAAAGAGCACAAAATTATATTTTTTTAAAGTGACAGCTGCTTCAATGCTTCAAAATCTTTTCAAGTTATACAGGTTTACTTGCTTGTTTACAGTCCTAACATACAGTGAACAACAAATTCCTCACACAAAGCAATTGCCCAAAGATTTGAGTTATCAACAAAGGCCTAACAAAGAATTATCAACAAAGTCCTTACAGAGAGTTATCAACAAAGTCCTCACAGAGAGTTATCAACAAAGGCCTAACAAAGAGTTATCAATAAAGTCCTAACAAAGAATTATCAACAAAGTCCTCACAGAGAGTTATCAATAAAGTCCTAACTGAGAGTTATCAATAAAGTCCTCACAGAGAGTTATCAATAAAGTCCTCACAGAGAGTTATCAATAAAGTCCTCACAGAGAGTTATCAATAAAGTCCTCACTGAGAGTTATCAATTAAGTCCTCACAGAGAGTTATCAATAAAGTCCTAACAGAGAGTTATCAATTAAAGTCCTCACAGAGAGTTATCAATAAAGTCCTCACAGAGAGTTATCAATAAAGTCCTAACAGAGAGTTATCAATAAAGTCCTAACAGAGAGTAACAGAGAGTAACAGAGAGTTATCAATAAAGTCCTCACAGAGAGTTATCAATAAAGTCCTCACAGAGAGTTATCAATAAAGTCCTCACAGAGAGTTATCAATAAAGTCATCACAGAGAGTTATCAATAAAGTCCTAACAGAGAGTTATCAATAAAGTCCTAACAGAGAGTTATCAATAAAGTCCTAACAGAGAGTTATCAATAAAGTCCTAACAGAGAGTTATCAGTAAAGTCCTCACAGAGAGTTATCAATAAAGTCCTCACAGAGAGTTATCAATAAAGTCCTAACAGAGAGTTATCAATAAAGTCCTAACAGAGAGTAACAGAGAGTTATCAATAAAGTCCTAACAGAGAGTTATCAATAAAGTCCTCACTGAGAGTAACCAATAAAGTCCTCACAGAGAGTTATCAATAAAGTCCTCACAGAGAGTTATCAATAAAGTCCTCACAGAGAGTTATCAATAAAGTCCTCACAGAGAGTTATCAATAAAGTCCTCACAGAGAGTTATCAATAAAGTCCTCACAGAGAGTTATCAATAAAGTCCTAACAGAGAGTTATCAATAAAGTCCTAACAGAGAGTTATCAGTAAAGTCCTAACAGAGAGTTATCAATAAAGTCCTAACAGAGAGTTATCAGTAAAGTCCTCACAGAGAGTTATCAATTAAGTCCTCACAGAGAGTAACCAAAAAAATCCTCACAGAGTTTTCAACAAAGGCCTCAAAGAGAGTTATCAATTGTGCTCACGGAGAGTTAATAGTGCTCACTGAGATGACCAACACTACCTCTATTGAGCTACATGCTATGTTTGGTGCCTTTTTCTAAATTTCTCAAATGAATCAATTTATAGGTTACCTTCACAAATAAACCTTTTGCTACATTTATCAATCAGCTTTTCCTAAATTGTCCTAGAGCCATCAATAGTATCTAGCCACATTTAACAATCAGCTTTTTCTAAATTTTCCTTAATTGATTTTTTCCTCACTTTATTGGGAAGAGGCCTTAGCCTCTTGATTTTGGGAAAAATTATCGCTAAAATTGCTGATTTGGGAATTAAAAAAGCTGGTTTAAGTTAAGAGTTTTGGGAAAACTGCATGATTTTAAAGAAAATTTCAATTGGGAAGAGGCCTTTTTTCGGAGTCTGTTATATAAGTAGGAAAATCACTGTAAAATTAAAATCCAGCTACATTTAAAAATTCACTTTTTCTCACAAATTAATGTCATCAAATGACTCCATTTAGAAATAAAACTTTCCTAATTTTTTTCTAGTGGCATTTAGTGCACATAGCTTCAGGAGGAGTTAAAAATAGAATCAATTTAAATTAGATGTAACAATAGATTATCTTTTATAACTACAAGACAATATTTTCTGAATTTCTTCATTAATTTTTGAAATATCGGTATTCATTTTCTTCATTATTAAGCTTTTAATTTGAAGATATAAATAGATTTTCTTATTTAAAAACATTATTGATATTGTAATTGAACTGTTTCTATTCTAGGTTTCAGGAAAGTGCAAGGCGAAACTCAAGTAACAGCCTCAAACTTCGTTCTGAGGTATATTTGCAGTTTGCACTAAATCTAAGTTACGATTATCTGAAGTCAAACTTCGAACTGGCCCGACAGCAAATTAAATTTTAGAATTTTGTTTGGTCAAATAAAAATTCCAACTTCATTAGAGATACCAATACTCACAAGCAGTCTGAAGGATGCTGGTCATTTTTATTTTTATCTACATTATCATGCATTATAAAAATTAATATTCACATATTTAAAAATAATGAGATAACAAATAAATGGAACTTTTGTTTAATATAACAATGCAAATTCAAGAAAAAGTTTGCTACAGTAGCTGATTTTCATGAAAAAGTGTTCTAGAAATTATGGTACATGCAAGTACATGCATACAAGGTTTGATGCAATAACCCAAATTACAAAAACAATTGATAAAGGGTAGGCCCATAATCTCAGTGTAAAAATCTTATCCCCATTCCAGGTCACATGCCCATAATAACAATATATTACAAAAATTTACATTTTCCTAACATGTGAATATTATATTGCATTAAGAATAATTAGATAAAATAACTTTTGGGTTAAATCATTAAAGGTGCGGCAAAATCAATTGTCCATATTGCCCTGGTTCAGCTGGTTTTACTCCACAGCCTGTACACTGTACAGCAAATGATATGTTTGAAGAATTTACGTAAGACAAGTAAAAAAGTAATTCAAAGAAAACGGACAAGTTAGTCAAAATCAGATTTCACCTGCAGCCCCTGATCAATGCTACTTTTTGTATAAGTACCTACGATTTCCTTAACACAGGTAATTATGTCCTTTTCTTTCAGAAACCAGGACCGGCAAAATCTGATTTGACTTACTAGTCCGTTTTTCTCTGAAGCATTTCTAAACTTGTCCTTTTAACATCTATATAGGTAATTTTTGAAAATTTCTACTTGTCCGTACAAGCTGTGGGACAACAACCTGGGCAATACGGGCAATTGATTTTGCCTCCCCTGGAAAACTTATTTAAGTCATTTAAACTGTAGAGGCTGTTGATTTATAGTACTTTCCAACTTATTACCAGCAACTATAAATGAGTCAAATAAAAAAAACAAAAATACTTTTTTTTTGTTCACAATAAATATCATTTTTTGTCATCTTATGTTACAGGTTATTACACATCTATTCACTTCAAATTACGCTAAACCCATTATGTAAAGTGCTTTCCATCATGGGCGAACATTAAATAACATATAAACGTGAAGCCAATAAACTTTCCCATACAATACCTGTCAATTAAAATGGTGACATAAATAACACTTGGCCTAATTAACCCAGCTACCATACAGTATTTTATATTAGCTTTAGACTTCCAGCAAACGGTAGGTAATTTTTAAGTTGCGTAAAAAAACAAGCTAAAAATAGCGTGACACACACTGTAACGACCTTACTACTATTCCATAAAACATTGTAACATTTTTTAATTTGATAACATACTCTACTTGCCTGAAAACGATAAAAAAATTAAACATACAAGAGATGTGGCAACTCATTGATGTATGTTTTGCATTGCAACCTTGTCCTGCATGTATATTATCGGAAAAAAATTGAAAAAGATAATTAATACATTGCAAATTGCAATAGAGATTTCACCATGCAATACATCCCTACAGCTGTTATCAAGTATCACAACACACAAACAATTTCTTTTTCTAATGTTTTCCTTTCACAATGATGTTTATTTTATACTAAATAACTTAATAGTATTTGGGCTGATATAATATATATAAATTTTAATATATATATATAATGCAATTGTTCAGCTTCCTATTCTGGGCATGGTCATTAACAATTTTGAGGATATCAAGACTCAGAGAAAAGAATATACCATATAATTTATTCAGCCAACAGTGGAGCCTCCAGCAAGTAACGTGTTAATATGTTGAGCATATGAAAATACATGTAGTTGCATGCATTTATGCCATCTTAGGATGCAAACAGCCCCAAATGGCAATTAATTAATTCCATGTATTTGTGCCATCTTAGGATGCAAACAACCCCAATTAATTAAGTCAACAAGTTATTGCAATAAATATAAATTTACACAATTTTTTTTTAAAGTACAATTATAATAAACAAGATTTACAAGGAAAGGCGGCACTCAATGAAGGCAACCCCCACACGACCCAGCAACATGAACCAGTGGCAAGGAGCCCAGGCGAACCAGTCAATCCAACTAATATTTATCTCACGTAACCCAACTGATTTTTTAGAGGTTTTTTTTTCACCCCATTTTATATTAAGCCCTATAATACATGTATATGTATACTGTTACTAAAAGAGTTATGTCATCTATTTACAAATGTATTAATATTTACATAAAACAAATGATAAAAATGTTATTTCTGTCATTCTGATTTTGATGGTACAGTCATTATGGTGTGTTATAAGCTTTAGCTACCTGCAAATATTTATGGTAATTAAGTTACAATACCTGAATAATAATTTGCAAACGTGATGAAGAAACCCCTGTACATTAAAATGACTTCATTAACATTTTTTCACAGATTACTGTAACAATGTTTAAGCGTGACCTTATAAACAATTTATGAATACTTACTTACTGTTCATAAAATCACTTTATTAGATGGGTGTCTTAATTTCATGTTAAAAATCTGCAGTATATTTTAATATTTAACGCCTGTTAAAAAAACTGACTGATGGTGACATTGAAAATATGTACCTATTAACGAAGTTAATTATACATGTACAGTAAAATTTTAAATCATAAATTTATTAACACCTGTTGTTTTTTTAATGGGCTCACTATAGTCAATTACTAAATGTAGTGTGCTTATAATAAAATTACCATTTTCAAATCATGTGCTTTTATCATTTTTAAATCATGTGCTTTTAACATTTTTAAATCATGTGCTTTTAACATTTTAAAATTGTGTGTTTTTAACATTTTTAAAATTAAAAACTTCACAATTTATCCTCAACACTACTGAACAGATAGCAAAATGAAAGGAAAATGGATTCAAATGTACAAATTCTCATAATTTGCAACACTATAACTTCATCAAACTAAATTAAACAGGAGTCTCAGAACGAAGAAAAGAGATACATTTTAGGAATGCAAAAAAAGCAAGAAAACTTTATTGAAATCTATTTCTTTGTAAAGCTACATTTGTACACTATTGTAAACAATGCTTTGATTTTGATTACTTTTGTTTGTGATGAAAGCATGATAGTTTTTCAGGATCATTACCATTTAATCATGTCAGACAACTTAATATATATATTAAGGGATTTCTTTGGGTTATATTATTTTATAGCTGATATTCAGTCATATTCCCAATCTAAAATAGTATATTATTTCCCAATTAACTGGAAAAATATCCCAATTGCAAGTTACAAAATAAGAATATTGAAAAACAAATTCTAAAATCTTTGAAAATAAGGGCTTCTTCACTGTTATGGTGTTTAAATGTTTGAAGATGCCATCCTAGACAGTGAATGTATGCATTCATTTAATCACTGCAAAATTAAAGTCTTGCATTTTCCCAAAATTTTAACAAAAACATGGCTGAAATTCCCAATTCCATGAGTATGGGTCATGTTTCAAAAATCCTGGAAAAAAAACCTGATACTATATATATAATATTAAACCTTTTCAAAATCATTAACAAATTTTTTTTATTGAAATCCATGAAAGAACTTATCTTTCTTAATCTTATGCAAATCTATTTATATATTCAAATATTCAAAATATCAGAACCCATGCAAGGTTATCAGTGTGACATATTATGCAAAAAGTATTACTTTAAATCAATTATTTCATTCATTTGAAGTTTATCTATTCTGTTCTTTTATTTGTCAAATTATATTGGTTCAAATTGTAGTAGCAAGTTAATAGTTCTTATTCTAAGTTAATAATAATCAATAATGCAAGGGTCACTAGATATTGTAATATTATTACAATGTATATCATCATTTTTCATAACATTATTTTTTTTATATTAGTGGGTCAATTAATTCACTCTAATTGAATAACACATTTCCTTTACTGTGTTTAATTGAACACCTTTAACTAGTAAGAAACAAATCAAAATACAACAACATTTTAAATATCATAATATACAAAATTAATTAACTTAATTTTAAATAATAATTATTATTTATAATACATAAAAAAATCAAAATACACCTACATTTTATTATGAAGTATTTCAATATACAAAACTGATTAACTTGATTAAAAATAATAATTATAGTATAATACATATTTACATATATATTGCAAAGCTATTCATATGAATTTATCATTTAAAACCTTTATTTCAATGACTTTCTTTAAAGTTTACCAAAAATTTAACACATTAAGGACATATTGCTGCGTATGTAAAAAACATACATATTTGTAAAGAAAAACATACATATTAGTGAACAAAAAAAATCAAAAATAAATATTTAAATATTACTAAATTTCAAGCCAATTTCTCCCTATGTGTGGTCTTTAAATAATCCGTTGAAAGTTATGCCAATATTTACACAGCAATATATCCTGTCAATAATGTTTAAAACTGCTTTACTTATTATAATAAGTCAACTGATAGATTTAACAGTACATTACACCTATCAAAAAACCATGGTCTAAAGATATATGTTAAAAGTCTTCGATTTACCATAAATCGCAACTCTCGTCACTTTAATATCTAAAGAGCCCGAAATTATTAAATAATTCACTCACAATGTTTATCAGCGTTCATTTTTCATGTGTTTACAATTTTAAAGATTTACGCGTCAAGTCAGTTTCGCCTTAATGTATCGAACTTGACCCCAATATTCAGGTCATGTAAAAAATGGCTGCCATTTCACCCTGGCTATTTTGGTGGGAAAAACAACGAGAAATGTAAATAATCAAATACTTTATGAACAATGACAGTCCTTCACAAACGAGAAAGATTTAATATAGCATCATTTTATAGAGCGCCACAAAATGTAAACACATGCGTTCACGTAATAACACTCTGTAATGATCAGATCTAATACACAAAATAAACAATTACCGATTTTTTGGGTCAATTCCAAAAAAACATACGTTCCAAACGGACACGTCAATATAATAATAAAACTCCGTAATATGTACTCCAAATTTTAAAATAATTAACAATGTTTAACAAAGTGCTGCTTTAAATGACACAGTTTCTTTGCTTTATAAACAAAATACATGTAAAGAATCCAGCATGTGTTATCGTCCTCGGTAATTGACACTTTTCCAAATTAGGATCAGTGACGTAAGGGCACCTGTTATTTTGATTTAGTTTATAGCGCGGAAAAATATTCGATTTTTTATGTCGTCCACAAGACATCAGGAATTGCCTCCCTTGAAATATTAACATGAAAAGACAAGCTTGTAGATGACTTCTTTAAGTTGCCCGAAACTTTTCGATTTGTGTAATTGTTCTCTGAACCTGAAGTTTGACAATGATTGGTAAAAGCGCCCACTACGCACAATACACACGTGCGTAGAAAACATATCCACAACTTAATCACAACTTGAATTTTGAAAAAACTAACGTTATTAATTCTGCAATGTTAACACATTGTTATTAATTCAAAGACATTTGATGACCAAAGGTGCTAGTGGCATTGAGTTGACCTAAAATGTGTTTAACCTTGTTATCTATGCAATAAAATAATAAGAAATGTTTACTGTTATATTTTATAGACAATATAAATCTAACAGTTTTTTTTTTTAATATATGGATATTTTATTGCATAGATAACAAGGTTAAACACATTTTAGGTCAAATCAGTGCCACTAGCACCTTTATTGATGACCAGAAAGTTTCCCTAGCTCGAAAATGTAAACGTCTTCATCAGTTTACAAGTACAATACTGACGCCTGACTTCGCTATTTACGTCTGCTAAACGCACACCATCGAATAAGTTGTGTGTGATTTCCGGTGCTACTAGCTGTGCGCTAAATCTTGAAAAAAAATCAATGTAGGTGGCGGTCTTTTTTGATGATTTAAATAATTTTTATCAGATATTTTCAAAAATGAAAACCGTAGTTCTTACTATGTCTGTATTTACTTTTCCAACTCATTAGAATGCATGCATATTTTGAGAAAGTAAAGTGCAAAATTCTACGACTCGTTTTGCTGAAAACAGTTAGCATCTCGATAAAATGTTTCATTTCATATATATCAGTCATTTTTCCTCTTAATTTTGATTAAAGTATGTTGTATGGACTGCCGACAACTTACAGTTAACTTTAAAGTATACTCTGCCTTTTGCCCTGTCCTGTTTTTGTTTGGGGTCCTCCTGGGCTCCTTGCCACTAGCTCTTGATGCTGGATCGTGTGGGGGTTGCGTTCATTGGACGCCGCCTTTCCTTGTTGATCTTGTTTATCATATTTTAGCATCAAAGAGTAAATGCAACAACATTCATTTATTATACTTGTCCAGTGCTGAAGGTGTGCCATTGTGCTTCAAGTGTGCGTCTTATTATAGTTGCGATACATTCTGTGATATTTTAGCACAACGTGGAAATTTGTTAGCTTATATAGGAATGCAGTTGACAATAAATGTCATTTGATGTCTCCGACATCGTATCAACATATTCTATCAAAATGCAAAGAATTCACTCAAGTGTAGCCTTTAAATAGTAGATGTTCTATCAAAATGCAAAGAATTCACTCAAGTGTAGCCTTTAAATAGTAGATGTTTCATTGAATAAAATGACAAACATCTTTTTAAAACAAGAGCTGTCGGTAGGACAGTACGCTCGACTATTCTAAGTGCTTAATAGTAAAAGAGCCTTGATAATGTAAAATTTTATAAGTTCCCAAAAGGTCTATTTTTTTTACAAATTAATGTTATAGGCTTTGGAGAGAGTTCTGTTATGCTCACAAAGAAATGTATAAAATTTCAACCTGTTTCAAAGCAAGATGTCAATGAAATATGGAAATATCTGAGGTGGTAGGCAAATTTTAACGTAAATTCTAAGTCTAAAAAGGGGCATAATTCTGTCAAAATACTCGATACAGTTACCTCCTCCTGTCTACAGGTTTGGGGCATGATGTTGAACAAGTGTACAAAGTTTCAAAGCTATATGCCAATGGACTTTGAAAATATTTGAGGTGTCACAAAAACTTAAACGTAAATTCTAAGTCGAAAAGGGGCATAATTCTGTCAAAATGCTTGATACAGTTACCTCCTCCTGTCTGTTTTGGTCAGGATGATGGTGAAGAAGTGTGCAAAGTTTCAAAGCCATATGTCAATAGACTTTGAAAATATTTGAGGTGTTACAAAAACTTTAACGTACATTCTAAGTTGGAAAATGGGCATAATTCTGTCAAAATGCTTGTTACAGTTACCTCCTCCTGTCTACATGTTGAGAATATAATGGTGAATAAGTGTGCAAAGTTTCAAAGCAATATTTCAGGTGTTATGTAAATTCTAAGTCAGTCGAAAAGGGGCATAATTCTGTCAAAATGCTTGATACAGTCACCTCCTCCTGTCTTTTGGGTCATGATGGTGAACAAGTGTGCGCAAAGTTTCAAAGCCATTATGTCAATAAACTTTGAAAATATTTGAGGTGTTACAAAAACTTTAAAGTAAATTCTAAGTTGGAAAAGGGACATAATTCTGTCAAAATGCTTGATACAGTTACCTCCTCCTGTCTACAGGTTGGGGTTATGATGGTAAACAAATGTGCAAAGTTTCAAAGCAATATGTCATTGAACTTTGAAAATGTTTGAGGTGTACCAAAAACTTTAACACCGAGGCCGACGCTCGGGTGACTAGTATAACTCTACTTATTCTTATCGAATAGTCGAGCTAAAAAGAATCATTTAATTACGTTTTTGTGCAATCTATTTTAATGATATATACCCGTTCATTACATTTTCACATATTATTGTCAAATGATTGAAATACATGTATGTTTCTCTGAATAACGGGTGCGCACGAGTTCTGTTGATTTCTTCTGCTTTATACAATTATTGAGTGTGTTATTTATTAACATGTTGATGTCGAACATTAACAAGTTGATGTCGAACATATTTAATGAAATAAACAATGGGAAAATACAGCCCAGTATCAAGAATTTATATGGAGAAAACTAAGTATGTTGTTTTTGTTCCTAGGAAATAATAAACAAAAGTGGTATGTACCTGGGACATAAAACTACCATACGCCCCAGCTGGGACATAAGATGTCCCACGTATTTTTTGTTTGTTTGTTGTTGTTGTTTTTGTATTATCTAACAGAAAAAACGTTTGAAACTGAGCTGCTTTTTTCGTTCCTGAATCTTAATTATAGCATAATCATATGGTCCACGTATACCACGGTTTTTTTTTTAACAAAGCGTGAGGTACAACTGTCATATAATAGAAACGATATCGATGAAATATTGTTGTATTTTTCTGTCGATAGATTATTCATGCATTTAGAAAAAAAAATGTTGACATATCACTGAAATCTATTTTTAAAAAAAAAAGGGAAATCACATTTAGTAAAACTGAGTCATCCCAATTATCAAATAATGAATAATTATTATACTTACGTATATTTCATGAATTCACAAGTTTTAAAGCATTTGTTGGCAAAGAATGATCAGGAATTTAAAATAAAGAGAGAAAAAGAAACCACAAAAAGCACGATGAGAGTATACATATCACAATCACACAGGTACATGCAAATAGTAAAAAGATGAATGAATAATATTCGGTATTTTGTCGATATTTATCATCAAATATCAATGTATCGTCGGTAGGTCCTTCATTAACCGACCAGACAAAAATTGTTTCGATGACCTACTTTTGGCTCAAAATTCATATCTTTGGCAAATACTCCGTGGAAATTGCATAGAGGTAAATTATCACGACTTAATTTAGTGCTTCAAAATTGTCTCTTTAAGGGCATGAATGGTCCGTAGTTTCAACCTGTGAATAACTAGTAATTAATTTATTAGCGCTATAAATTCAAAATTCATAGCTCTAATTAAAACCATGAAAAGGTGTATCATTGCTAAGCGCTAATGATGACATCGACCAAATACTTAAGTCGTCAATGTTCATTATTGTAGCCTCCCCTTGGGCACCTGCTACGCAGTAATATTGTAGAACTATTTAACAAATTATAAATGCTAAAAATGTTCAGAGAAGCCGTCACTTAGTTTTATTTCATTAATCTACTTTTAATACATTGATTAGGCTCATTGCGGCGAGTTTGATTGAGCAAATTCGATAGAATTACAGAGAACTTGTTTGACTAGCGTAAGAATAAGAACTATGTGTTATTAGGTATAAACAACATGGCGGTCTCCGTTGCTACCAAAGCTCAATTTGTTTAAAAATAATTTATTTTTATGAAAACAAATGACTGACACATTAAAGCGATTACATATTGAGTTTATTTTCAAGCCAACGTATATGAAATAATACAAATTTGTTTGTAAACATGCATAAGCTAAACTCTGATAGGAAAACCAAGAAAAATGTGAGCATGCACATTGGTCAAAAATCCTCGTTGGCCGAGGATCAACAAAATGGTGAAGATAACAATCAATTTTATCTTGGAGTCGATCCAGATCTTTCTAAAGATGAAGAAATAGTATTCCACAAGGATAAGAGGACTGTGTCTCGGACGTCTATGTCTGCAAAGTCCAGAAAGTCGTTGCAGAGTGGCCGGGTGTCTGAGGGTGGTGAAAATATTGTAAGGTCTAGAGGACGACCTATAAAACCCCATGAGGTAAAATATTAGGGTTCTTTTGATTCTATATAGATGTAGTATTTTAAACGTTTTGTGATGGAGAGCAGTTTTTTTATATGTTTGCCAAAATTATGAAAGTCAAACGTGAACAGGTGAAGATTCTATTGCTGGGGGTGAAGTGTGTATGTCTGAGGGTGAAGAAGATATTGCTGAGGGGGAAGAGGCTATCGATACATGACATATTTAAAAAAATTGGTTGTCACAATTATACTTGAACAGTGATGCGGTGTTAAAAACCTCTTACATTCTTGCATGACCTTTCCTTACATCTCTTGAAATTTACAAAATAACTTAAGAATAATATGAAATTAGGTGCTACCTATGGCGCGGAAAGTTCTTATGAACTATGGTTTGAGCATAACATGTTTATTGTACATGTAAACCAGATCTTTCTTGCAGGTATTTTGTACTGTAAACAAAACAAATAAATTGGTGGTGTTCAACCTATCTTCGGAGCGCTCGGAATATTCCGACAATCTCCGAAAATCTCCGAACGTAAAGGGGGACCTGTGAGGAGTTTGAATCTCCGAACGTAAAGGGGGACCACTGCGCACGCGTCGGCGTTTGGAAAATCCTGTCCGCCATTTTTTGTTAATCTCTAATCACAGTTGTTGTTTTAACGTTATTTTTAATGTGCTAATTTATCAAAAAGGATATGTAAAGTAACTTTTTATATTTATAATCGTTACTATAGTTCTTATCAATTAAATGAATGTTTACTTTCTGATTTTGCACATCATTCTCTCACCGGAAGTGTTATTTAGCAGACGCTAGCAATAGTCTAAATTATGTAGACGCTCATTAAAAGGGCTCTAATATCTATATTTAGCTCAAAAGGATTTCAAAATGGCGGCGCCCAGTTAACTAAGGATTTTTTCACAGCTCATTAGGTATAGGATATATTTTTTGAAATTTTCATTTACTTTTAATTTGATTTCATTTGAATTTATACGCGTCATACATGTTATCTAAGAGCGCTACAGCCCTCGCGGGCCCCGCTCGGACTTTCCGCGTATAATTGAGCCGCGTCATGACAAAACCAACATAGTTGGTTTGCTACCAGCATGGATCCAGACCAGCCATGCGCATCCGCGCAGTCTGATCAGGATCCATGCTGTTCACTCACAAACGGTATAACAAGTAAAGAAACTGATAGCGAACAGCATGATGGATCCTTTCAGATCAGACTGCACAGATGCTGATCTCAAACCCATTATGTTGGTTTTGTCATGACACGGCTCATATGTTTTATATTCTTCATTTCTTTGCACTTTAGCATCAACTGTACTTAAGTATCTTTGTAGTTACCTGTAACAAAATACATGTACATCATTTATATGTGATGCAAAGATGGCAGTAATGGAACACCGTAATATCATGTCATTTATTTTTTGAATTTCAGACTGAGCCATTTCTCTCCATTGACAATTTACCACCAGAAAAATCCTTTGTTTCAGACAAATCTGCTTTTACTGCTAATACAGGTAAAAATTTCTTTTAATCATAATTGCTTTTGAAACTGAAAATTCGTTTTTCCATAGTTGTAATAATCTTATTATTTAATTGTCTTGCTTTTGTAATAATTGTAATGGCTTGATTGATAGGCATTTGCTCATAGTCACAAAGGTTCAGTTGAAATTTAGCATGATAAATATACTAACTTACTTTGTATCATACCTTAATTTTTATAACATACATATTAATTAATGTTTATAATCTTAATCAATATGGTGGGGTTTATAAACTTTATAATGCTGGCATATTCTACCAGATCTGATCATGGTGGGCACTATTCGCTTATTCAGACAGTCACTTCATATTGTGAAAAATTTCCCTAAAAATGATGAATGGTTTTATCATGATTAAAAGGGGGTCAAGTCCATTTAAGATATTTACCATGGTAAGGTTTTAGTAATATATGTTAAAAGACTACATGTACTATAATATTGATGATTTTTGTTATCTTTTTTATCAGCAAAAGATAAACATCTTGCAGAACAAAGATTTTGGACTTTTTCCAGGGGTATATTTATTGTTTCAAAAATGCTTATCCTGTTTTTGTGACCATTTATATACATTTTGTGCATTTATTAAACTTAAATTCAGAATAAAGAGGTTTAATGGTATAACATGTGCTATTTATAATTTTTGGTATGCTGCATTTTGGTATACAACATTTTTAGAAGCAAGTTAAGCATTACTTTTCTATAAAAATATTCTGAAAATTACCGATATTATTATCAGATGACAAATTTCAAATTTTTTATCTTTCTTATTTGAAAAATATTTTAATACTTTTTGCTTGAGAAGTATAACCACATATTAATTAAGTTATTTTTATGATTTTATCAGTATTTTTTTGAACAAAATTAATTCAACTTAAAAAATCATTTATGACAAATTATTTATGCCATCTTAATTTTAGAGTGAAATGAGTTGTGTTTTCTGTATTGATTCACTTCTGACCTTGCAATTCAGCTTATACAGGGAAATGTTTAGAATGAATAAGTGTTTAAAGGAATTAGATAATTGGCAATTAGAGATAAATTAATGATTAATTGATTCAGAGATAGAGGGATAATGAATAAGAGATTAATTTGAAACCATTAATGAATTAGAGGTTAATTTGAAACTGTAAATGAATTAGAGGTTAATTTGAAACCCTTCATGAATTGATTCGAGATAAATTTGAAACTGTTGATGACTTAAAGTTAAGTGGCTCATGTATTAGAAACAGATAGTGAATTAAAGATAAGGTGCTCATGCATTGGAAACTCTTTAAGAATTAAAGATAAGGGGCTGTTGTATTGGAAACTGTTGATGAATTATAGATAAGTGGTTCATGCATTGGAAACTATTAATGAATTAAAGATAAGGGGCTCATGCATTGGAAACTGTTATAGAATTAAAGATAAGGGGCTTATGCATTGGAAACTGTTGTAGAATTAAAGACAAGGGTTTTATGCATTGGAGTTAATGAATTAAAGCTAAGAGGCTAAGTTGATTTTCAATTTAATACCGAGTTTATTTCTTAACTCTCTGATGCAGATTTTTTCCATTTTAAGAGCTTCACTTGATTTATGTGAAAAAATTCTCTCTTTTTTTTCTTTTAAAGCCTTTTGACCTCAGAGGAGCTCTTTTAAAAGAATTTAGATAATTATGAAAGGTTTATTGTCCATTGACCATAGTATCATTAACGGTAAATTGTTTCAGGTCATTCACGAGCATCAAAACCACTGCAACAAGCACGTGATGAATCTCTTGATGCCCAGCTGCAAAGAATGTCGGCATACATGACACCGTATAGCCAACAGACACCGGCACCTCCCAGGTAATGAAACTCATGCTTTATATATATATATATTCATAATTTGAGCCGTGTCATGACAAAACCAACATAATGCGTTTGCGACCAGCATGGATCCAGACCAGCCTGTGCATCCGCGCAGTCTGATCAGGATCCATGCTGTTCGCTTACCAACTCTATTACAAGTAGCAAATCTGATAGCAAGTTTTTACAGCATGGATCCTGATCAGACTGTGCTAATGTGCAGGCTGGTCTTGATCCATGCTGGTCGCAAACGCATTACGTTGGTTTTGTTGTGACGCGGCTCATTTATTATATATATATAAACACTTCCTTACATTATATCTGAACATATTTTAGGTTTATTTCTGATTTAATCAAAATTAAATTCAAGTTTAAGTTCAAGGAAAGGCCTGAGGGTGTTATTTTTGTCTTTGGTAGAGCAAGCAAGAAAATTTTTTGTTTTTGTTTTTTAATGATGAAAAAAAGGTTGTGATTATTTCATCATGTGCTTGAAATCAGGTCATTTTATAATAATCAGATAGTTATATTATGAGTAATATTGAGCCATATATCCTGGCAAAATTTTATAAAACTAATATTTGTTTTCATATTGTATTTAAGTCTTGGCAAACATTATATGGTGACTTCCGTTGGAAGGTTATTGGTTCTAACTAATAGCTCAGTCAGCTCATACCTGAAATAGTGTACTCAGGAAAACTCAGGTCTTTCTCCACTGGTAAAGTAAAGCTGAAAAGTTGCCATATGACCTTTACAATGTTGGTGCGACATTAATCCAACAAACAGAACAAATAATTATTAATATAGAATTTTATCAGGTTATATTGCCCAATATAAGTTGTAGTATTATATAACCCAAGCAGCTTCACAGTGACATTTATGAATTTGAATAAAAATGAATTCATGAATTTGCAAAAGACCTTTTTTTCTTTTATATACAGTAAATTGAAATTAAGATTGACCAATGAAAAACAACCTAACAAACAATGCTTTATAATATGGTAAATAAGGAAAGTTTGTCGAAAATCAGAAATAAACATAATATATGATGATGTATTCAATGTTTTATAAATCATAAATATTTATATACATGTGTATGAATATTCGTATGTGTACATATTGTAGACACATTGTGACTCATTGCTTTCATTTAGTTTTTGTTATGTATTTCATATTGAACGAAATAATTCCTATGATGTCAATGCACAAGTTGTATGTAGATCAATCTTGAAAATGTTATTATTAATTCTTCTTGTACAACTAAGATTTGGGATAATTCTTGTGGAATGACTAAGATTTGGGACAGTTCTTCTGTAATGACTAAGATTTGGGACAATTTTTTTGATAGGACTTAAATTTTGGACAATTTTTCTGGTATGCTAAGATTTGGGACAATTCTTCTGATAGGACTTAAATTTTGGACAATTTTTCTGGTAGGACTAAAATTTGGGACAATCTTTCTGGTAGGACAAAAATTTGGGACAATTCTTCTAGTATGACTAAGAATTGGGACAATTTTTCTGGTAGGACTAAAATTTGGGACAATTTTTTGGTAGTACAACTATGATATCAGTTTCAAGAGATTGAATGAAAGAAAGGATAAGAAATTTAAGTTTTTGAATGACACAAAATACAACCTGTATAATATTCATGTTTGTTTAGTCCCCCACAGTTCAGACTGCATATAATTCACAATTCTTTGAAGGAAGAGACGGCATCTATTGATTCTGAACGGTATTAAAATAGCACAGCTTTTTTTTGTATTTCAACACTGATACAGTATAAAAACAAACTGCATGTGTAACTCATGATGATGGAAGTTTTATGGTTTCATATTGGGTGGATTGCACCATTTTATTACTTTTGTTTCATTTTTGATGATGAATTGTGTGATAAATAAATTGACAAATTAAAACATATTTTGTTCGTTTTATTGCATGTAATTAAGTCTTTTTGAATGCAAGGGGCAGTAAAAACTTTCTTTTATCACCAGCATAATTAATTGAAAAATATGAACATGGTGTATTTTACATGTATTTATGGAAATCACATTTTGATGATTATGAAAATCTGGCGTCTGATTGAAATAAGCATGAGTTCCAAAGCCTATTATAAAAGTAGGACATTTCATTTAATCAAATTTAGCCATATAAGATTCAATTATATTGATTCTTACCCATGATCAGAAGAAACCATGGAATTTTGTTTAGAAAAAAAGAAACCATGTAATTTTTGATAAATAGAAACCATGATTTTTTGATAAGCAGAAAGATGAAATTTTGGCATATAGAAACCATGGAATTTCTTTCCCATTGAGTTGCAGAAGACATGATTTATTTTTGCATTTGTCAGTAATATGGTAGTTTATAGACATGATTGTGTAAACTAATGTATTTATGGATGGGATTTGTTTATAGGTGATTGTAGGTCAAATTAGTGAATTGAACTTGAAAAAAATTGATATATGGTTTAATTTTTGCTGTAAATTGTTTTTAGACAACAATGTTTGATTTGCAAAGAAGAAAAAAACTGGGCTAAAAATTTTAGTGTTATCACATAGAAGTGTGAAATTGAATTATTTAAATAAGAAATTGTTTGAGTACAAACTTTTGCAAATCAGACAGGATTGCACGTTTAATGGCATGAGAAATTGGTGATATATTTGTTTGTCAGTGAGTTAACAATTTATGTGTTACTTTACTTACTGGGGAAGGAGGACAGACCTTGTATCAAATAATTAAATTATTTTAGTGACACCATAATCAAATAAAGTAGGTTCAGCGCTTTTGTTAATATAATGAATTAGAGTACTTGCAGGTGCATGCCATTAGTTTAGCATAAGACAAACATGCACATTTGTACATTCTAAGCAGATTCTAAATTTAGCCTAATAATTTGCACAAGTGTATTGATATCGAAATCTTTTATTTAACGTACCTATTGCAACTAAATTCTGTGCAATGGATTTGCACTGTAGTTCATAAATAGATTAAATAGCTATAGGGATTTTGATATCACAATAGAGATAGTCTGGAACACGGCAAATGTTGGTTTTCCTCAGTTTATAGTCTGGGGTACAAACAAATTTTACAGTTACAATTTAGTTGGTGGTATCGTGAAGCTATAATGGAAAACATTTGTTTGTATCTTAGCATTAGATCGGAAAAACCCACATTTGCTGAGTTCCGGATTATATCTATAATGAAATTGAGCGGATTAAAGTGAAAACTTAATTATTGTTGACACTTAACAGGAAAACGTGTTGGTGTGCCAGATTCTAAATAAAATGACAAAATGATGCAAGTCAGTTTCGATGTAATTATTGAATAATTAAGTAACAATGGAATAAGTAACAAATTCTATTCAAAACTTAAATCTTCGGCACATCGGACTATGGAAAGTAAACCAAATGAATGAACTTTGGATACACACAAGGACCATACATGATCACAAAAATATTCCTGTCTTAAAATTGTATTTCTCTGAAAATTTAATTTTATCTGTGATATTTTAGTCTTGGGCAATTAAAGTCAGCATATTGGAATTCCGTGCTTATTCTTCTGTGAGCTTTAAAAAAGAGCCCACCTTTAAGTTAATATTTTCAACATCAAAAAATATCAAGGGAATATTGAAATCAAATATGCAGACTTTAAAATTATTTCTAAATTTAATATATACCTGTATGTATACAATATTATTTAAGTTTTTTTTTTAAATTGAAGTCATCTTATATCAAGGGAATTTTAATATTGAATATCATATTAGAACTATTTACAAGACACCATCTTCCCTGGAGTGGTGGTACATGATGGTGCGGAGAGATTTTATGTCGTTACTGCATTATTATTGATTGAAAATGTAAAAATGGGAAAAAAAATTCATGTACTTTATTTTCTGAAGCATTTTGATCTACATTTCAAAGGTTCAATTAATAGGAGCATTTACTGGTACATTCTTTGACTGGAATTTTTTGTAGCAGCAGAAATGCATTTTACGGTTTTACCCTTAATTAACCTACTGCAACTGAAAGTCGTCTAAGCCTGTGCCATTGGTTTAGAGCCAGGCCAGCCTGTACACCAGCACAATCTGACCAGTCTCTACACTGTTGGTAACTCAATTTTTGTACTTTGATATTGAAATCCCTTAAACTTTGAATGGACTGTTCCAAATGCTGAACAAATTAATTACAAAAAATCAACAGGTTAAAGGCACATGTAAATTGGTGCTGACTGTTTATACTAGATAATGTACTGTAAAACTATACAGTTTGCTATTTTTTTTCTTCTTTTTTTGATATATTTTTAATATTAATCTTCAAAGACCAAGTTTTTTGTGAAAATTCTTCAAGCTTAACTTTTGGTGTTATAAGGTTTTGTAAATGGGAAATAAATGATGTTCAAATTACACATATTCACCTTAATCTCCTTCTGTAATGGATGTGCCCTGCAATTTAGAACAGTCTATTTGAATTGTAAGGGATTTCAATCATTTCATTAACCAAATACAAAAATAGAGTTACCAACAGTATAGGGCCTCAGGTCAGACTGCATTGATCTGCAGACGGGCCTGGCTCATTACTGTTGGCAAAGGCTTTTCACTTTTGGTTCCCAGCAGGCTTAAATCTCATTGGGTATATTACGATTATGAATTCTCAATGATAATTTGGTTAAAATAGCAAGTTTTGAAAATTTCCCACAGAACTGTCAGTAAATGCTCTTTAAAAAGGCTCTTGAATTTTTTTTGTTCAGAAAACATAGTTTGCTGAAATTAAGGTGTATTGACTTAACATCTAAAATATTTTATTACATGCAAATAAAGTGGGGATGAGATTTTAAATGTCTTTGAATGATTGCTCTACAGTAGTGAGGTACCAATATGGGATAATTTATTATCATTTATATATCATAAACTATTATCATTTAATATCATTTATACATCATAAACTATAAGGGACACAGAAATCAGTATATATTATCTAATTTACAGGGATATCTAGTTAATATAGACATTATGGTTTTTTTGATTTACAAGTAAAAGTGACTTATGGAAATCCCTTTTCTGATAATTTTCAGTCTGATTGAAAATTTTCCACATGAATGAATTTTTAAGTTAAAGTGCGATCACTGTATTTATATCTTTTCTTATATTATGGGTCATACTTTAATTTTATGGAAAAGAATATAATTAAAATAGGCCATTAAGGATTAAAAAGTTAGTGAGGGTTTCTATCACTAGGAAATTTCAACCACTATGTTATAGCTTATCATGCTTATGTATTATGTTAAAATGTTTATGTTACAATGCACGTTGCATAATGTCAGTTTCGCATTTTACTTTTGCAAGCCCTAGTGTTGTGACAGGTCACCTTTACACAAATCGTGCTCGGTCATCAGACGGACGGAGAAGCAGTCCTCGTAAAAGCCAAAGATCGAGACCTGGCACTGAATCGGCTCAGACCCCTGTGCAGAAAACGCCTGAAAAACTTACTACCATTGAAAATGATGAATCAGATGCAGTACCTATTAATGACCCAAATTCAGAAAATTTACCAAAAGAGAAAAATGACTTAACTGGGTCAATTACAGATGTTTCGGAAATCAAAAAGTCGAAACTTTCTCGACCAATTTCAGCTCCAGCTGTTGGATCTACTTCAGAGAGTAATAGTAAAAAAATTCGGCCAGGGTCCGAAAAGTCGGGTCCAGTTTCAAGGCCAGGAATAGGGTCTATAAGGTCAAGAGTCAGCAGTGCTAGGTCAAGGTCAGGGGCTGGATCGAGGGCTGGACAAAATGTGTTTGGTATTAGGTAAGCTTTTTAACGTAGAGGAATAAACTTAGAGCTATTTTTCACAGGTTTGGTTTTTTCCTAAGATTGGAAAGGAATGTTATAGTATAGTTTTGTCTTTTTGAATAAACTGTTAAAATTATAGCTCCAACATTTGTAGCTTAAAGGAGCTCCACTGAGGTCCAAGAGCCTAAAAATATAAAATTTGAAAATCTTACATTGATCAACAGGGACACTTTAACCATTGGAAAAAATATGAAAAATCTTATAATTAAATTGAAATCAATACTAATTGTGATTCTTAGCTCAATTTGAGTTAAAATCTCGAGAAGAAACTTCCAGTCCCATCTTGTCAAAAAAAAACCCTCACTGGAGTCACTTTGAAAGAGATGCTAGGTGATCTTCTAAAATCATGTAGATCTACATTTTTGTTGCTTCATGGGTAAGACAGACATGTGTGTATGTCTGCCAATTTTCTCAATGTCCCAAAAGATGTCAGTCTTATAAATGTTTGACTGTACTAAATTATTCAAAGAGACAAGATGATTTTGATTAAGAAATACTGACATAGAATTACGGATTTACCTCCTCGTTTACTGACATAGAATTACGGAATTTCCTCCCTCATTTTAATATTATTTCTTCCATTGTAGATAGCAGATTGTTAAAATTTGATTATCTAATATTCATATTTTTAAGTTTCTTCTTCCTTTCTTCCTTCCTTCCTTTTCACAGTATTTTAACCATTCATTTACATTAACATTTCCAATCCTGATCCTTCTAATTTTATTATTTTGTATTAATTTTGTCAAGACTCTTAATAATTGCATTACTTTTCAATCTCTTTTAGAAAATATTTTAGACTATTATACATGGACATGATCATTATTGCAGTATGCATAGGTATTTCAGCTAGCTTTTCAAGATTTAAAAAAAAAAAAATTTGGATTTTTTTTTTTTGCGGAAAATTATGCAGAATATTTCATAGCTATATTATTTATTAAAGTTGAATGGGTTTATGTCGCTGACTTTTGTGTTATTGAATATTAAGCCACATAATATTTTGTTCCAGCAGTTCATCTTATTCTTATAAGTACAATATAATAATTATATATGTGTTCAATGACAGGACCATTCTGTGATAGACATCTTTAAAGAATATACCATAAGACTTATAGAAACAAGTAATTTTACTGTGTTACAATAAATGATTAAAAAATTTCATTAGATAAAGGCTTTATACACCCTTTAACAATGCTACTCAGATATTTCATTAAATATTAATATCAGGTTAATTTTTCATTGTATAGAGTATGAAAATTTATGTTATACCTATATAATTTGTTATAAGAAAAATACATAAAAATATAAAAATACATACAGTCATTTTTAATCGAAAAAAATACCACACCTAGCTGGTTTGAATTACTCATATTTGCTCAAGTAGTGATGTTAGGCTTTTGCATTTATAACTTGCATTATGTTCCATTAAAGGACACAATAAATCTTTGGGTAAAGTTCAAAATTTCTCTTTCAAATTACAGATGGCATATTTTAAATTGAAAATTACATAGGAGCATAATTGTTATTTTGTTTGGTAAAGTGTATTACTTTTTGTTGTTTACCTAAAGTTGTATTCATACTAACTATGCTGGCATGTAGGAATACAACTTTACTCTATCAAGTTAAGCAATACAACCTAACAGAATAATACACTTGCAGTATTTCTCTGTATATATGAAATATTTAGGTCAAGGTCAGGCATGAAAGGTCAACTAAGGTCTTAAAGTCATACTTCAAAATTTTTGAAACCAAGTTCAGCTGGCATATCTGTACACTTTCCACTTAATTCAGTTTGTACATACATGTATTTCGATTATTTCTCTAAAAGTAATGAATGGTTTTGTCCAGACTGAACAGATTTGAAGAATGGACAAGTCTATTTAAGGAAATAATTGACATAAGTACTTGCATGATTTTAGGGGTAGATCTAGGTCAAGGTCAAGATCTAGGTCAACGAAAAACTCGGCCGGAAAAAGGTAAGTATTGGGTATGAGAAGAATGATGTCATAAAGTTCACTCGATGTCGTACTAACAGAATTATCACGATGTGTTATTCTTATGTTTCTTAATGTAATTAATACAATACAATCATGTACCTATCATAAGAACAGAGAATACAAATTCTATATCACACAGCAAAAGAAAAAAAATTTCATTTTTAAAACAAATATAGATATCATTAAAAATATTACAAATTAAATTATGAAGAAATGATTTTTGTTATCTTTTAAAAACTCAATACAACTGCATCATGCTGTATTTTGTGTAGCATGACCACCGTTATATACAGAGAAGTTTTCATATATGTAAGCTCGTAATGTCAGGTGGAATATACATAATTCTAATATATACTGTATTCCCCCACCAATTTATAGAGCCAGCCCAGTCAAATGCTGTGCTAAATATTGAAGTTCAGTCCATTTTTAAGAAATTTATAACTCACTTTGAAATTCACACATTAAAGACCAATTTTGATCTGATTCACATTATTCACATTTGATTTTTTAAAATCACCAGTCTTGTCAAGTAAATTTTGAAAAATTATAAGTGTCAGAAATAATGCCATTTTATTTTATTGTCATCTATACAAAATACTTATTAAATATTTTAATATACAGTAAAACATGTTATTTATGTGATAATATTTTATATTTAATTTGTTTGTAATAACAATATATCTATAAAATTAATGTTGTTTCATGTAAAGTATTATAATAAAATGTATCTGTCCAAGTTTTATTTTATATTTTCATTTTTACTAAATTCATGATTAAATGTTTTAATATACTGTTAAACATGTTATTTTATGTGATGATATTATATATTAAATTTGTTTGTGATAACAATATATCTATAAAATTAATGTTGTTTCATGTAAAGTATTATGTGTATTAATTATGTCCAAGATTATGTCCATGCTAATTATATGTACTTTACTCTGTAGAACAATGTATTTGTTGACAGTTAATTAATTTGTCATTGTATCATATAAAATCTAATTGTCTAAGAAATATAGTTAATACTTTTTCTTATTTTTTTACTTAGTGCTCAAACTCTCTAATTATTTCTATAAATAGTATAATTAATCTTTAAGCAAAGTTTATTTTCACTTTCTTCCCTTCATATGATTTAATCTCTGAGCAAAGTTTATTGTCATTTAGTTTTTCTCCATAAGTGTGCACTCATTTAACATTTTTATAGATTTAAACTTTTAAGTTATAATTTAAGGCAAGTTTTATAATATTATTCCTATAGTGAATTTGAAATATCTATTCTTCAATTTTCAAATACATGACAACATCACCAAAGAAATTTCTACTTTTTGTCCTCCATTTTGTTAGGAGCGTGCAGTCTCGAGCAGGAAGGATAACTCCGGCAAACACGCCGTACCACTCTCCGAACAAGCTGTTACGGCCACCTAATCATCATGTGAAGACACCTTTCAAGCATGCAGTCAATCAGCCGGAGTTTGGCTTGGTAAGACTCAATGCCTTCTTTCTTTCTTTCTTTCTTTTAGTTTAACTTTGTCATCTTGAAGGCGGGGCCTCTCTTATGGGGTTGTTAAGGTATCTGACTTCAAAACACTTGCTCCTCTCCACTATGAGTGGGATTCCCATCAGGATTTTTAAGATGCTCACATTTCTTATGTCTAGCGTGTGGAAAGTTGATGGTTCGGTTTGGGTTCTTGGTGATACCTGAAAAAAATGCACTCCAAGACTCAATGCTTTCTTTCTTTTAGTTTAACTTTGTCATCTTGAAGGTGGGGGCATCCCAGTGGTGGGGTGGTCAAGGTTTCTAACACTTCAAAACACTTGCTCCTCTCCACTATGAGTGGGATTCCCATCGGGATTTTTAAGATGCTCACATTTCTTATGTCTAGCATGTGGAAAGTTGATGGTTCGGTTTGGGTTCTTGGTGATACCTGAAAAAATGCACGAAGGGATTTCTGTCAGTTCTTCTTCCATAATAGTCAAGCTGGAAACACGCCATATATGAATTTTACAGTTTTGTAAAGCACCACAAAACAAATTGCTAGTGGGATTTCAATGAAACTTCACATGAGTGATCACTACCATCCCTAGTTGTGCATATTGCCCCCATGTTCTGGTTCCTTGCACAGAATAGCTGTCAGAGTTAAAAATAGTAAAATCCTGTCCAGCTGTCACAGGTCAAACTGCTGGCGGGATTTTCACCAAAATTCACAGGAGTGATCAGAACCATACTTAGTTTTGGGAGACATATGTTTTTGTGACAAAAACCCTTCTAGTTGGTGATTGTTTAAATTTTGAAATGTCAGATTTACCCATATTTTTGAAAAAACTTTTTGATAATGAAATTTTGCACAATGTTTGAATGAATGGAGAAAAATACTATATGAGATCATCATTCAGGGGTAGTCTTCAGTATAGAGATAATTGTAAATGATAATAAGATAGACATGGCTCTCTGTTTGCTCGGAGTCTCTGAACATACCAGTTTTTGGCTAATATAATCATAATTTGCCCCTGACTACTGAGGGTTCGAATCCCAACAGGGACTTTGGATTCTTTCATGTGAGGAAACTATCCAGCTTGCTTATGGAACTTTGATGGTACTACTCATGTGCACACTCACTGAAGGGTGGCTGAGTTTTCTTCCTCCACCTGAGTAAAGCTGGAAAGTCGCCATTTTAACCTATATTGTTGTAATTATGTACATCAGCTGAGGCTGACATGGAAGATCGGGTAACTGAATGTATAAGCCTTGTTAAATAAAGTCATTACTTACTTTCTTACTATTTACTTACATACTACTGGTGTGATGTAAAAAAACAAACAAAAAAATGTAATATTAATTGTTGCTGTATAACCTGTTGCTATGGAGAGGTGTCTGGTGTATGTGATTTTCATGAATTAACTGATATAACAGGATGGGAGACAGACGCCATCTATGGGGATGAAAGAGAGAACTGCAATGGCTGCCTTTCATGTTCACAAGATGCTGTCTGTGGCAGGTGAGAAAGGACCCCATAAAGTGACAGGAAGACTTCAGAAAGGAAAGTAAGTTATTAGATAGAAAAAAAATGTAAAAAAAAAAAATCTTTTTTTTGAAAAAAGAGAGTTAATTATTTTGCATATTCTATGTTAAAATGACAACATGATAAATAATTATGTTTTTTTTTTCAATGTTCAAGTAATGACAACATACTAAGGGAGATAATTCTTTATAATTGTTTGTGAATAATGATAAAATCATAAGGAAAATAATTTTTTTTAATTTTCTATGTTTAAAGAATGTCATCATCATAGGGGAGGTAATTTTTGGCCGGGTTGCACTGGTGCAAATCCTGGTTATAGTATGGTGAATGTCGGGCGGCGGGCGGGCGGGCAGGCGGGCGGGCGGGGAAAATATTTTCGTAACAGTTTTCTCAGCAACTACTTATCACAGCCTCTTGATATTTGGCATACAGCATTGACACATGGTCCCATACTGTGGGATTCGATTTCAGGTGTGTAGCTAATCCACTTTTGACATTAATGGTCAATGGTAGGAAATTTTCGTAACAGTTTTCTCAGCAACTTCTAATCACAGCCTCTTGATATTAAATGGCATACAGCATTGACACATGGTCCCATACTGTGGGATTCGATTTTAGGTGTGTAGCTAATCCACTTCCTGTTTACCTACTGAATTAAATTTTCGACATTAATGGGTCAATGGAAATTTTTTTTCGTAACATCATAGCCTCATGATATTTGGTGTACAAATGCAACCCGGCCTTTTCTGTCTTTGACCCATTTTGTTTAAGTATGTTAAAATAATGACATCTTCATGATAAGGGAGATAATTCTGTTTAACTTTCTATGTTCAAAGAATGTCATCATCATAAGGGAGATAATTCTGTTTGATTTTCTATGTTCAAATAATGACATCACCCTAAGGGAGACTATTCTGTTTAATTTGCTATAATCAAATAATGATAAAAGGGAGATAATTATTATATTTTATTTTCTGCAATATTATTTTTTGTAGGCTTAAGCCACTTTATCCAGTCAATGTTAATGGTCCTACAATTGATAAATGCCGTGGAATTGTGTCAGGTAAATACAGTTCATTTATTTCCGTTATATTTCATTTGAGAATTTGGCATTATTTGTAAATGTCAAAAGCTTTATGGGGCCTCCATGGCTGAGTGGTTTAGGCCGTTGACTTCAAACCACTTGCCTCGCACTACTGTGTGTTCAAATCCTGCGAGGGACTTTGGTCTTTTTCCTGTGAGGAAGCTATCCAGCTAGCTGAAGAAATGATGGTGGTTCTACTCAGGTGCCAGTTTGTCTTTCTCCACCAGTAAAGCTGGAAAGTCACCATATGACCTGTAGGGGGTTGGTGCGAAACCCAACTAAAAAGAGCACACCAAAAATGACACTCACATGCAGGCACATCTTGAATTTTCAATGATTTTTAAAAGACCTATTAAAACGTAAAAACAGAAAAAAGTATTTTTCCTTTACTTTCATTTTCTTTTTAAAGGTTTGTTTTAATTTTTATTTTGTTTGCTTATGGAATGTCCCTAGTTCTACTCATGTGCTAGCTTGTCCACAGAGGAACACCTATTAACTGTCACTGTGACTAAGTTTTCATAAAATTAGTGAAAGTAAGGCTTCTGACTTTATTAACATCTTTAATTGGATGAATCCTCCAATGAGATGCCTTGTTTCTTTTTCTTCAGAAACTAGGTCATACCAGCCATCACCCAGCCGTACCCTTCAACGACGGGTAAATCTAATGAACCAGATACCAAATGTCCACGAGTATCTTTACGATCGACCAAGGACGGTGGAGTCTGTGCATCAAACGTCTATAGCCTCTAGTATAGATGAAAACTTTGATGTGGAAGCTCTAGATTCAAACCGGTAAATTATTGTGCATATTGTTAAATTATTTTAAAGCAAGAAGTTCATCACCCAAAGATTTAGGCCAGATGACATATATGTAAATGAATTTGAAAATACAGTAAATTCCCTCTATAAAGACCACTAACGTAACTGACTTAAAGTGGTCTTAACCAACTAATCTAAATGTTAATTGCGGTGTGGTCCTATTTGTGGCATGGTCGTTAGGTGGTATTTTACTGTATACCAATAAAAAGCTTCTTTTTTATATGTATTAAAATAGAACAACACAATATATTGTTCTGTTACATAGGTTTATTTTTAGCTTGATTATTTAAAGAATAGGGAGAGCTATTGTACTCACCCCGGCATTGCCGTCAAACTTTTGTTATGTTTTGTGTGCAGGTTCGTGCCTAAAAAACACTTTTTCCCTGTGATTATCTTACATGATGGGTCCCATAAGTCTTAGATACTTTACACAGAGTTATGCCCCTTTTCTTACTGTCAAGCACTGAGAAAAGTTGAGTGCTCTTGTTTTTATTTACATAAAAAAATTAATGGTTGGTAGCAAAAGGTATGGATAATCAGAAAAAAAAACAACTACTGTATAAGTGGTTAAGAAAGCGACACGGAAATATTTGCGAATTTTAGGAATTGACAAAAATCACTAACATTTCCTGTCATTTAAGTAGTCTCCCGAAAAAAATTCTTACATCGGCAAATATTGTAGTTAATCGTTTTTTCCCGGAATATATTTTTTTCAAATTCTTGTGCATGAGATTATTTACACTCACTCATTCTTTATCACTATGTACTAAATTCCAGTTATAAATGGTAAAAAATGATTGAATACCGAAGGTTTTTTAAAATAACATTCTAGAAATGACCGATTTATTACAATATTGGCAGATATTACAATTTTTTTGGCTGGAAAGCATTGCAGTTAGACTACCTTAAATTCTACCCGTGCATGATTTGCTAATATTTCCTCACTTAAAATATCTGCAACTTTAAATTCGCTAACTTTTTGACATGCGGAAATATCAACTTAGACAGTAATCTAAGCATATAGAAGGTAATGTTGAAAAAATGATTATTGTTTGCCTTTCATAAAGGAGTCTACCAGATGAGATTTTGTACAGACAGGATAAATCTATTCTAGAGCCGAGAGCCCCCGAGAATACATTCCTTCCTGAGTCAACACAAGACGGTAGGTTCACTAACACCTGTGACCATACATTAAAAATTGTTCACATTTACCTCCCCTTTTTGTGACAGTTGACATATTCAACTGGGATTTTCTGGTGATATAATTGCAATGTACAGTTGGGGTTAGGTGTGCAAAGGAAAATGTTTTTCAATATCTGTATAATGCCCATCAAATGAATAAATACTGTTGCTTATGTCATTTAAAATTTTTGCAACAGATAAAATCATGAATATTAAAGGCTTACAGAACTGCCATCATTTTAAGGTAATCTTGTGCCAAATGTAAAAGTTAATCTAATTATTTGTATATTTGGACTAATTGTTTTACACCAGAAACTGTCATTTTTTTAAGATAACCTTATACTAAATGTTAGTGTGATTTGGCATATATTGTAAAACCTAAAACCAGTCTATTGTACCAAACAATTTTTTAATAATTTGTTAAGGAGCCCAGAATGATGTTCTTTTACTTCTGTTACTTTGTCATTTATTCAATAGGTATCATTATATTAGATTTTTTTCCAATTTTTCTTAACAGAAATTATAGATGGTGTACAGACAATGGGTATGCATGTCTCTCCAAGAATGTTTGCGACCGAAATTGGGACAAAAGATGATGATTCCGCAACTGTAACGGATATGACCGTACCAAGTCAGGTGCAGCATGAGCTTCATCTGAGTGATTCCGGTACAACGTTACAAGAGACGGATGATGTGATAACTGATGATAAAAATAACAGCAACCAAAAAGACTCTGATCCAAAACAATCAAACGAGCAAAGAGCACGTATTGGTAGTCCGTCAAAATCTGTCCGGTTTGCCGAGCAAAGGAAAAAATTACAGGAACCAGAAAACAGCAAAGAGATTAAGCAATTGGAGAACGAGAGTATTGCTCAACAGCAAAGAGATTCCGGTGGTAGAGTGGCGGAGAGTCTAACAGATATAGGAAAAGAAGGTGATGTAGATGATAGTGCAATTGAAACTGTGAGTAGGAAAAATAAACAGAATTCAAAAGGATCATGTAAAGATGATGATGACGATAAGATAATATTTAAAAAAGATGATAATGATGATGATGACAGCAGAGGGGGTTCAAAAGATGACAATAGGAAAAGTACTGACAATAGTAGGGTAGGTAATACTAGTGAAAATATCAGTGGGACTAAAGACAATGGTGATAACAAAGAAAATGTCTCTGGAAATAGTAGTGGTCAGAAACGACCAATATCTAGTTCTCAGACAAGATCTCTCTCATCAGAAACTAGACAAAGGTCAAGGTCAAAAGATAGAAGTGATAAACAAAGTGGAAAAAAATTGCAAGTACGCAAATCTGATCCAAGCACACCAAATAGTAAAAAACAAGACTCAAAAAGTGGACGTTGTTCAAGGTTTGAGCAATCAAAGGCTAGCAAAAGTCATACAAATACCTTAGAAGTCTCATCAGTTCTTCATGGCAACAGAGTTACAACAGTCCTTGGTCCTGAGAGCCCTAAAAGGGGTCGTAGTAGATCAGTAAGTCCAAACAGGGGTCAAAACCAAACATTCCAATTTTTTTCTCAAAAGAATATACCCTGTTTTGAAGAAGTTGATGATTTTAGTAGTCTCTATGGCAACAGTCATAGGTCAAAGGTCAAATTCTTGTTAGAAGGTGAAGAACCTGAGGTTGAAACAATATTTGTAGAAGATGAAGATGATGTTGATATCAAACCGGAAAGAAAGATAACTTATGATGTTTTAGATACAGAAATTGATATGCTAAGATCAGCAATTCAAAACTCATTGGTCGGTTGCAATGAAGAGGTAAAGGAAGAAACTGAGAGTTTAAATGTCAGTGAAGAAGAAGAAGAAGACACTGAGAGCGCTGAAGATGTTTTAAGTGAAAGTGAGACTATTCCATTGGAAATAGAAACTGTTGATACAATCAGAGGAGATTACTCTAACCTGCTAGAAAGATATCGTCAACGTTGCATGGATAGAAGTGAGAGCTATGGTGCTATCAGTACAACACTAGTCACCCCAAGAGAGACACAAACTTTAACTTCTAGTAGGTCAAGATCATTAGGTAATGAAGGACATAACAATGCTTCTATAAATAGAAATAATAATGGTAGTGAAACTCCACCCTGTTACAAAATTGTAGATGATACTAAGGCTTTAAATACAACAATGCTTAGTGACAGTGGACACGGTTCAGTTGACAATTTATCAGAGTTATCTCGTTCAACAAGTCAGGCAAGGTCAGATGTGCCAAAATTAGATTTAGGAGGAAGCTCAAGTGACCTTGGCCTTGGCTCAGGTCGTAGTGATGTCACTGTTACCCCTGGTGATGGAGATGAAACTGAAGATGATAAAGGGGGAAAAACCTTGCTAGAACTGGTATGCGACCAGTTGTCTCCTATTGAGCAAGTAAGTAACATAGATAATGTTTAATTACTGAAGCTGAAATTTTGTAATGTTAATTAATTTCCTTCTTTTAAATGAACATAATTTCCATCCAGATGTAAATGATAAAGATAAAAATGAAGCATATTTTTAAAACATGTACATGGAATTTAGAAAAAGAAGCATCCATGTGTAATACAAATGTAAACCTGTTAAACATTATTTTTATCCAACAATTGTCAGAATATTTTTTTTGAGTTATGAAATATGGAAAGTATAAGTTTCTCCAGTAACATATTTTTAAATAATAAACTCAGCACATAACTTTTGTTTCATACTTTTCTTGTTAATTGTGCTTCTGTTGTGTTTTTTTATGCTCCCCGAAAAATTTCGGGGGAGCATATAGTCGGTGCCTTGTCCGTCCGTCCTTCCGTCTGTCCGTCCGTTTTCTTGTCCGGAGCATAACTTGAAAACCCTTGGAGATAATTTGTTTAAACTTCATACAGTGGTAGAGGGCATTGAGGGGGAGTGCAGTGTCAAAGAACCATAATTCTATTTTGCCCGGTTTTTGAATTATCTCCCCTTATAGAAAAATCTTGTCCGGTGCATAACTCTAAAACTATAAGAGATATCAACATGAAACTTTGTAGGTGAATAGATCTCAATGGGTAGATATGCAGTGCATAAGAACAATAACTCTTTTAGTCCTAATTTTGGAGTTATTGCCCTTTGTTAATTTCAACACTTTGAACTTTGTCCGGAACATAACTCTAAAACTATAAGAGATATCAAGATGAAACATTGTAGGTAGATAGATCTCATTGAGTAGAAGTGCAGTGCAAAAGAACCATAACTCTGTAAAGCCTCATTTTTGAATTATCTCCCCTTATAGAAAAATCTTGTCCGGTGCATAACTCTAAAACTATAAGAGATATCAACATGAAACTTTGTAGGTGAATAGATCTCAATGGGTAGATGTGCAGTGCATAAGAACGGTAACTCTTTTTGTCCTAATTTTGGAGTTATTGCCCTTTGTTAATTTTAACACTGAACTTTGTCCAGAACATAACTCTAAAATTATAAGAGATATCAAGATGAAACATTGTAGGTAGATAGATCTCATTGAGTAGAAGTGCAGTGCAAAAAAAACATAACTCTGTTAAGCCTCATTTTTGAATTATCTCCCCTTTTAGAAAAATCTTGTACTGGACATAGCTGTAAAACTATAAGAGATATCAACATGAAACTTTGTAGGTAGATGTATCTCAATGGGTAGATGTGCAGTGCACGAGAATCATAACTCTGCCTTGCCTAATTCTGGAGTTATTGCCATTTGTTTATTTTTACTTTTTGAAGTTGTCCCGAACATAACTCGGAAACCATAAGAGATATCAACAAGAAACTTTGTAAGTTGATAGATAACAGTGATTAGAAGTGCAGTGGAAAGAACAGTAACTCTGCCTTTCCTAATTTTTGAATTATTGCACTTTAAACTTTTTCCAGGGACATAACTCAGAAACTACAAGAGGTGTACTTTCCTGTGTCCAAAACCTATTCGGGGAGCATCACCCGGCTCAAACCGGGCTCTTGTTTCTATTATACTTAACAAGGATATGGTTACCTTTCAGGATTAAAAAAAAACAACAACAAAAAATATGAATTTGGCAGACATCTTAAAAAATTGATACACTTATAAGACAACCTATATGATCAATATGTCTCTATATTAAGAAGAGATATAATCTGTTCTATAAGAGAGTAAATATGGTATTTAATTCATTATTTTCTTGTACTCTAGCGTCAAAAACCTGCCAAGCGGCGAGAAATGTAAGTACAAAAATATATAATTGATGTTGTTTTTTTTGTGTACATGTAATTTGTTTGTGTAATATAATTTTCTAATACTAACTGTAATGCAGGAAACCATCTCATAGATTTATACTTATACAAGAGGTCTTCTTCTTTATCAGTATTGAAAGATTGACTGGTCCAATTAGTATCATATGTGTCGTAAGGGTTAAGGGCAAAGATGGGGATGTTACAACTTCTGGAATACATGTTACAATAATGTCTAACCTATTTACCTTTTTGAAAACCTAGGGTAGCTAAACACCATTTTTTTCGGTACGTTATCATTATTTTACCGTTTAAGATGAAAAAATTTGATGTGTTTGAAAATTATTAATATTCCTTTATTGTCTATTGCAAATTTTTCAAAAATTAATTGTTTATAATGAAAATCAATGAAATTAAATACATGTTGTACATGTTGCCTGACCTGACTCTATATGGTTGGCTACCCACTGTTAATATTTTGCATACATGTGAACTCTCCCACTTTTAGCGGGAGACACCCACTTTCTTCAGCTATATTTTCGAAAATTTTTCTTAAAATAAGGGGTATTTTCACAAAGAAATCTCCCTATTTTTATGTCAGAATTTCCTTCTTTGTTTATTGCAAATTCTAAAATCTCCCTCTTTTTGAAGAAAAATCTCCCACTTGATCATCAAAAAAAGTTCACATATTATATGATTTTGATATCGAAAATCCTGATCGTTCCAAATTCAAAATTGGAAAAATCTCATCATATAATTCTGCAGAGTAAAGATAGATACAATTTTTTTTCTTCTGAATTTAAAAAAAATTTGCTTGCCGTGTATTTTTGATTAATTTTGTTATTGTTTAACCCCTGAAGCATGACACTTCCATTTGCAACTCTATTTTATTTGGTTCGGGTTGTAAGTAAAAAAAGTTCAAACGGGATTATGAGCAGTGATATAAGCTTTAAGAAGATAAGTAAATTTTACATTAACACAATGCAATTATGGGATTTGGATTTTAAGGTAACTAATGCGTCTTAATGTGACAAGGCTTGATAAAATTTCCAGCTCGTTAAAATGGAATTAGCAAACAAATGTTTTGACGAGGAAAAATGGAAGTACAATTAGTGCATCTTGTATGACATATAAGGAATTGATATACATGTATATATAAGAATAAGATATGGTAGATTAGTGAATAATAATTATGTTCTTAAATCAAGATATAGGACAAGCTTGATTAATGTAGTGAAGAATATTTCTAGATTATTTTTCTGTAAAGAATTAAACATTTGATAGATAATAGTGCCTTGTACTGGTAACTTACTTTTATAGTGAAAAATAATTATAACTAATAATTCATTAGGCAAAATAAGACTACAAATGTATTTCTTTTAGTATAGTGAAGAATAACTACTTATTCTTTTGACAAAAAAAAGACATACTCTATTAATATAGTGAAGAATAATTGTAACTGCTTATTCTTAAGATAAAATAAGGCATATTCTTTTAATAATTAGTGAAAAATAATTATGACTAATTTTTCTCTGAAAAACTGAAGTCATATTCTTTTAAAATTGTCAAGAATAATTATAACTAATCATTTTTAGACAGAATAAGACATATTCTTTTAATATAGTGCATACTATTTGTAACTTATAATTCTATAAATAGAATCAGACAATTTTTCTTTCAATATAGTGAATAATATTTGTAACTTATAATTCTATGGATAGAATCAGAGAGATAATGTTAAAACATAGACAACAGAGGTAAGTTATTGTAGAAAAATTCAAAACTTCATTTGACTTCTAATGATTTTCTTTAATAAATTTTATGTACAACAGAATAATGCGGGTTTTGGTATTGCATCAACTTAAAGAGTGACTAAGATTTATGTTTGAGGCATTGATTTGAAACTTTGAGTACATGTAAATGACCATCATACGGATTCTTTCAAGCGACATCCCACACTTCTTGCAGGCAAGAGGGTCATGTATAAATCTGCAGTAAATTTTGTCATTATAAATAATACAAATTCTTTTTTTCACTTTGAACAGTTTTTAAGGACCTTATAATTTTTACTTCACCCATGATTTAGAAGACTTTTGAAGGACCTGTTTGACTGTTTTATTTACTTACATTATACTGTTTAATTATCAAATACTGAGAATAGTCAATACTTTGTTAGATGTTTGATAATTATGTTCTTAGTATAAAGTCACATTTTCTGTTATGCTTAAGCTTAAGTGGCCATATTCTGTTGGCTATTCAGTCAGTATTTATATTTCGAAATTTTCCCTATAAATGATAAATGGTTTAGTCCATATTGAAAGAATGGAAAAGTCCATTTAAGATATTTAGAAGGGCAAGGGTGAATTTTTGCTGTATACTAAAGTATGATGCTTATAATTTTTATTTCATCTTTTCACCTTTACTTCATATATAAAAAGACATGTTTTTTATTATCTCGGATCCTTTTACCAGATGAAGTTTTGAAGATTTTTACATAATGTTGTTTTTTCTGTAGACAATTATGTATACTAGAATAATTATATAGCTTTCTTTTTTCCTTTTTTTCCTGTACTCGGTTTTTGTATATTTTATCTAGATTCTGGATTCAGTTGATTATATTTTATATATTATATATATATTCTTTTTGCTAACTGTTGCCAAAATTGCTTTTTTTTCAGGTTTATTTTAAAGCCCTTTATGCTCACTATGAATTTGTCAAAATTGTACAGTCTTGCTCATTGTTTGCCATATTGTATGCTTATTCTATGCATTTGTATTTAGGATACATCTGTATATTGGATGCATCTTTGTACTAGATTAATCTGTATATTGGATGTATCTGTACATTGAATGCATCTATATGTAAGATACATCTGTATATTCGAAGCATCTCTATAATGGAAGCATCTGTATAATGGATACATCTGTATATCGGATACATCTTTAAATATTGGATGCATCTTTTAATATTGGATGCATCTGTGTATTGGATGCATCTGTATATCGGATACATCTTTAAATATTGGATGCATCTCTTAATATTGGATGCATCTGTATATTTGAAGCATCTGAATATTGATGCATCTGTATATTTGAAGCATCTGAATATTGATGCATCTGTATAGTGGATGTATCTTTATATTGAATGCATCTGTATATTGAATGTGCATATTAAATGCATCTGTATAATGTAAACATCTGTATATAGGATACATCTTTACATTGCATGCATCATGTATATTGGAAGCATCTGTATATTAGATGTAACTATACATAGGATGTGTCTGTATTTAGAAAACATCTGTTTTTAAAAATATATATACATGTATATATATATATTGGAATTTTTATAAAGCATAAAAAAAATGTTAGCAAATAAAAAGAAAAGAAAAAAGTAGCTAAGGAAAAATGATGTTTACATGTAAGATTAATTGTAAATGAATGTCTCAGTGGTCAGTTGGGATTCTGCATTAATGTATCACCATAATATATTATATGAGCCACACCATGACAAAACCAACATAATGGGTTTGCGACAAGCATGGATCCAGACCAACTTGCGCATCCACGCAGTCTCATCAGGATACATTCTGTTCGCTATCAGTTTCTCTACTTGTTATAGGGTTTGTAAGCAAACAGCATGGATCCTGATCAGACTGCGCAGGCTGGTCTGGATCCATGCTGGTCGCAAACACACTATGTTGGTTTTGTTATGGCGCGGCTTATATGATATCAGTTCTGGCAGATTGAAGAAAGCAGATTTGAAAATATTTTAAGAACTTGTTTCATAATCAGGCTTCTGTCTAAAATTTAAAAAAATCTATACTAAGATAATGTTATTGAGGTATCTTTGATTTCTGATATTTGTGATCATTTTTTATTTCTTTGGATTCAAATTTCTGTAATTATATTTTAGTTATAGAAAGCACTGTATATTTGTGTTCATTTCTTTTCACCACTTTCCCTTTACCATACCAGGTATCAAAATCTTCATACTTATTCACCTTTCCATTATCTCATAACATGCATGATTACTTTGAATTAGAAAAAGTAGTACTGTAATTGTTGGCAATGTTTAACTTGACTTTTTAGAAGAATTCTTCGACTATTCTACTTACTTTGGAGATGGTTTGAAACTTTATACTTGTCTTCAGGGTCATAATTGTAGGTCAGTTAACTAAGACCCATAACTTGGGAATGGATCTCTCCTGAATTATTCCCCTTGGTGGTCTTAAAATTATAAATATCCTTGCTTGCATGGCTTATTATTTTATTATTTGACAGTTCTACTGGAGTTAAATCCCTTATATTTAAGATATAAATTATAAACAGGTAAAGTTGATTATTGATGATTATCAAATTTAAAAATAATGAAAATTAAGAAAAGATACCAGTGCCACTGTGGGCCGCTCCATATTCAAATCGCAAACCTGAGAGTGAGTATTGAACAATTTAAATTTAGCATTGATGAGATTATTCTGACTTTATCATCTCATAGGATTTTGTCATTTTATGGTGATAAGTAAAAAAAGGTTTCCATGACAAAAAAAAAAGAAACAAAAAAAACAATGGAAATTTGAAAAAGAGAGATTTGAAGTATTTTCATAATATGGCCAGGTACCAAAATATGGGTACTGCACTGTTTAACCTGATTTAAGAAAAGAAATTTTTTTTGCCTTATCATACAGGATTCTTTCTTACAGGATTCCTATCCTCTATATACATGTAGCTGGTTCTGCTTTGAAACTGTTGTTGTTCTTATTATTTTAGAGAGGAAGATGTTTCGGGTTTGAAAGTGGTAGCCACTACAAAGTCACTGTCTAAGAACAGGTATTTAATATATCAATTTCTTTGTATGATATTTATGTCTTGATTTAGATTATGTAATAGTGAAGTCTTTAAATTATACTGACATCCACATCGATGCATTCAGACTTGACTGATCAATTTCATTATATTGAAATTGATTTGTTTGTTTTGGGTTTAATGTCAATTTTAACACTTTTTGTCATCTGGGCCATATCGTCTTTACTGGATAACTAACCAGTAATTACCAAATTCTCCACAAGACAACTTATCCCACATGAGTTCTGAAACAGCGTTGAGAGACATATTACTTATTTAGACCTGAATGTCTAAGATCATTTTTTTTCATGGAGAAATTTTGCCCTCGCTCTAGGACTGAACTGGCCACCAAAAGTTTTCAACCATGAATTTAATCAGGGGGAAATTTTGATACTAACATTAAATAATTTGTATAAGAGAGTGCAAAATTCAAACAGGATACAAGTATTGCAAACATTCATCAGGGTATGGGCTAATATGATGCTTCTCACTGATTTAAGTGATTATGTCCCAAAATTGGAAAGTCGCCATATTGACCTCTAATGTTATTGGTGAAAAGTTAAACCCAACAAAAAAATGTCCAGAAGTTGACAGCACCATTTTTACTTGTTGAAAATTAGATGAAAAGGATGAATGCAAAGAAACCACACGTTTTTTGTTGAAAATTTGTTCTGAACTAACTTAGGATTGCTTGCTTTATGGTAAAAAAATGCTCTCTACGTTTTATATACATGTATAAATTATAAATGAAATGGTGTTTTATAGTGATTATGAATCAAGTGAAGCAAATTGTTTAAAATCTAGACTATGCTCAATCCCAAAAAGAGTTAAATGGTGTGAAAATTAAACATTGTATAAGGTTCTAATTTGTCAGTTCATTATTCTGTAATTTCTGTCACACTTTCTTTTGGTCTGTGATAGCACTGTGATATTTCACCTTTATATATTATACAACTTTATTTCATGTTATCTAGGTACTATTTAGCTTATACTTAACTTATTTTGTCTTAATAATACAGTGTTTGGCATGGAATGACCAGAAAATTTAATGTGCCAGTCGAACAAACAAACAAACAAACAAATAGGTACTATGCATGGACATTACCCGTGGGTGGGTTTTAAACTTAGGTCACTGCACCACAAGACTTATCAACTCTTCCATATTATAAGCTTGTTAATGATTTTTGCCGTGTCAAAAGTGGTGTCAGAGGGAATCCATTGATTTAGATATGGTCAAACTAAAATATAAACTACATTATAAATGATTGTGTTTGAATGTTATACAAGTATGATATTTTAAAAACTGATATATTTTCAGCAAAGTGAAGAGTTCAAGCTCTGGTTCCATTCAGGCACCGTTCCCACCTGTCTGTTTTAAAATCAATGCAAGACCACCAAAAGGTTACCTGTATTATTTTGCATATGGACCGGATATGAATCCAAACAGGTTTGTTGCTTTACTTCAGTACTGCTATCTGAATATTCGATTGAATTGTCGCAAAATATGACTCTGGATTGTGATCTATGTTATAATTTGTAATATGAAGAGTTTTTCTCAAATAAAATACTTTTAAATTAAGCTTTATGCCATACCAGCACTGTAATTCTTGTATATCAGACGGTGCCATAAAAACTTGCCGTACACACCTCGTATAATGCCTGCTGCACAGTAAATGGGCCAATTTTTCAAAAATACATGTAATGCAGGCTTTTTCAAAACATATTTTGCATTTTCTATTATTTTTTATGTTTTTATATAGGACTTACTATAAAGCAAATGTGCCCCAATTTTTTTTGTGATAGCATTACCCAAAATAAAGATACAGACATTTTTATACCCTAAAAATGTCCAATTTTACATGTAATGTGTTAGCATCTGTTTTTTTGGTGTTTTTAGAATTAACACTACTATTATCTGTTTTAATTTATCACTTAAATTTTTTTACATGCACATAGAAAATTTAATAAACTTTCCAGTGATATATAATACTTGGTATACATCATCCTGGTTTTTATCGTTAAGATGATTTTAGTAAAATCAGACTTTTGTAATGCATCAGTTTTTTCAAAATTCAGTTGTTAAGCAAACAAGTATACCTTTAAGCAATTACAAATAAAATAGTACTTTATTGTCTCAATCTAATGAAATATGAATTAAAAACATATATTAAGTGTTTTCAATTCAAATTTTCAAACATTTTTACCAAAATAGGCATTTTAGTGGTAAAAAAAATTTTGTGATGAAAAAACTGTAACATCCGTCCCCCTCTCATAAAATATCCAATTATAAAACAATACTCATAAAAAACAATGTTTCTGGTGCTTAATGATAGCCTTACAATGAAAATGTTATAAAAAATGCCAATTTCTATGTTTATGAGAAAAAAAATACAATAATGTAAAAGTTGTCTGTAACATCCGTCCCCGTAACATCCGTCCCCCTATATAAGATGCTTATTAAATCTCACATAAACTGTAACTGGAAAGGGAATTTTACACTAAAACACCAAAGTTACAATGAAAAATGAAGAAATAACAGAAATAAAGCACTGAAATGATGTATTTATAGAAAAAATATTATTTGTGAACACGAAATTCCTTAATTTTGAAAAAAAAATCAGTATTTTTTGCTCTAATAACAAAATTATTTACTTTGAATTAAAATTTATATTTTATTTCTTAACATCAAGTGGACCTATGAGCTTATTAAGATAATATTTAAGCTTATATGAATTTATAACAAATATAATCTTTTGTTATTCTGTGTTTACAAACTAAGGGTACAGAAGGGGACGGATGTTACAGAATTGAACTAAAAATTCTTTTTACAGTAATACTAAACTTATCTTGTTCTTATGATGCATGATAGAGAAGTAGTAAGCTTTGCAACTGTATAGGAATGTTTCACACAACAAATAAAATACTATTTAAAAAAAAAACTAGAAGAAACAAACACAAAATCCTTAACAGGATAATTATATAGAAAGAGGTGCCAAAGATAGAGATGTTGAAAGTATCTTTGTGATTAAAATTGGTCAATTGTTAAAACATAAATTCTTTAGCCTTAAATAGTTAACAAACCATGTATCCCAGCCCCTCATAAAACAGTGGGATATGGATCCTAACTCTATACACACAGAAGGGGCTTGCACTTTATTGGAAGTTAACGAGCTGTATATTGGGAGCTGTGTATATTGGGAAGTGTGATATATTACAAAACAGTAGGGGGTGCCAATTAAGGGTGATATATATTATGCTTAAAACAGTGGGAGGGACTACCATATCTGTTTCAAGAATGTCTGTCATTAAGTATTGAAGTTGAAGATCATTTAAGTCAAAGGATTTATTGAACATAAAATTTTATAGGCTAAATATGTAGTCACTGAAAAATTTTAAACAAATAAAAAAATATAATTCAACACCCTGATTAAAAATTTTAGATCCCCCCCCAAAAAAAACAAACTCAAGCACATTTTTTCATACAATTTGACCCATTTAATTATTGTTAATAAAGTGAAAGAAACTTGTAAGTGAAGGATAAGGTAAGGATTCCTGTAATGAAAAAGTTGGAATAATTGTGAAAATTATTCTTTAAAAAAACCCTTCGCAAATTATTTTGCACCTATAAATTTTATTGAATGACAAATTAATTCATTATGTTAAAGCAGTTCATGTACACTGACATATTTACACAGAGAATTATTAAAAATTAGAAATAATGAGATTATGATACTGAATCATAATGAAATCTTTGGATAATGCTGCTAACATTCCACATTTATTTACTTAAAATTTCATCAAATCGATAGAACTTAATTGCAGCAATTTAAAATCTTATAATTTTTAATGAAAATTTTTAATTGTGTATAATTTATGTATTTAGTAATGAGAAATTCAAGCTTGCATATGTTTCAATCTGAAAACTTATTTACTTCACACTGTATTATATCTTTTACAAATATAAATTTTATTATTTAACTAATTTAAAAGAGTTTTGTAAATAATTTCATGTATAGAAAGGTACTGTTGGTATGACATTTTCTTTTTAATGTTAATGCATTATCTGGAAACAAAGATTCTTTTGTTTAATTAGCAATGTTTTTATTTTATTCCAAACATTTCAATGTTCATTCAAATGTAAGATAAATGGAAGAAAACTAAGTCAATGCAACTTTTCATTGTGAAATGCAAATATTAAGAAACTCCATAATTTTCGGGTATGTTTCTACATTTTTCTCATAATTTGTTCAATTATTTTACATTTATTGTACTGTACAAAGCATATACTCTTATAAATGATATTACTTTAAAATAAAACCAAAAAAAATATGAACTATAAGCTTTAAACATCTAGTGTAACATCCGTCCCCCCAAAAATGTAACATCCGTCCCACTGATACAATTCATTTTTGGGCTATCTGACAAGAAATATACATAAGAAAGTCCTATAATTTCTACTGGTTTATAAGAAATGTGTTTGCATATTTGATTTAAGTATGATTTGGTGTACCTATCCTTGTTTTATTTCTCCCTGTTTCTAACATGTTTGAAAATTTCATTTTGTGTGAAAAATACTGAAAATTTGAAAGCAAATATTTTTATATCTAAGATGAATTTTCTGGATTTTTTTTAATATTTTAATAAAATAAAGAGAAATAATACAATTTTTATTGTAAACTGTAAGATACTCAGACTTTTAGTATATCTTTGTAACATCCGTCCCCTACCCACACAGTCCGCAAGAGATGTAATATTTTGAAAAAGGTATCCAAAAAGTTATCCTTTCTTTCCAAAAATATTGTCATAGACACCCTAAGGTACTTAAAAAGAGCAAATATTGTCTTGTATGTTTAACTTAATTTTTTGACTTAGATGCTAACACAATTGGCCCATTTACTGTGCAGCAGGCAATAAGACATGTTGTGTGCTTTAAATAACATCATCACAAGGCATCAATTTATGTATACATTGCGTGCATAGGATGATGTCATTTCACCATTTTGAATGAAGTTGTAAATTGTCACTGTAAGAAAGTGAGGTCAGTAGAAATATAAGTTTTTGACATTCCTTTCCAAAATATGATTTATATGTTATATGCAAGAAAAAGAATCAAACACTGACTGTTGTCACAGATTGGAATATTAAGCTCAAGGGGTACTACTGTTTTGCAGAAACTTGGCAGAGCTTTGTCACCACATTTAAAGGTCTGTACAGGCAGCCAGTGTAAGATTCTTATTAGGTCATATGTCAACTGTCTAACATGGAAGATGACTTTAATGCATTACTGAAAAACAGATGCAACCTTCAGTAAGGTAGCTGGATTGTTTCCTCCGCTCTTAACAATACAAAATTCTACAGAGTCACTCCTTCACATTCATTTATATTATATAATAGGTATACCAAATGTTAATAATGGCAACTGTAGAGATATTACATATGAGTCTATGCAAAATGTTCTTCTGTTCTGATCTGCAATTTGAATCTTAGGATTGGATGTATAGTATTTAAGAAATTACATATTCCAAACAGTGATTTTATCACTAAATAAATTCACTGTTTGGAGTTCGAATGTGAGGAGGCATAGTCTGTCTTATATAATGATGTCTGAGCATCCGAAAGACTGGGATATATTATTTTGATTCTAACACATCAAAAAATAAATGCTGCCGTACCTGATATCAAAGCTAAATTGCGCCTGATTTGTTTCTGTACATATTTTCAGCGTGTTGCATTTTTATTGGTTACATCACAATCATGTCCAATGGTAACGTCACAATTTATGTTTAAATATAGATTGTCAACAGTGATTTTATTGCATAATAACACGCTTTAGGTCCTTCTAATAATAGTCTATTGTTCAATAGGGAAAAATGCAGGTCGTGTTAGAATATAGCATTTCCTCACAATGGATTTTACAATTTTGTGATGACATTTTACTTCTGTTTTATGATGCTTATTCCTGTCAAACATTTCAGGTTTAGCAGTTATATACAAAGAAGCACACAAGATCGATACTGGGGACTACTTTTTGGCTTCAACCTTGTGTTTAACAAAAGAGGTTTGTCATTTGTTTTGTTTTTCTTTTACCATGTGTTAATATTTCTACAATACTTATGCGCAATTACATTGAAATCAGAAATTTTAACTATTCTAAATTTGTTAATTTTTCATAAAATTAGTATAAACTGTGCAGCAGGTTTCCTATGGCATTGATATGTTGCAGGAATTTTGTTTATAATACAATGTCAGTCAAAATGCCATTAGTGATACTGTATTTAACTGATAAAAAAGTAATTTACTTAGAGAAGAGGTGGCTATAGGGTTAGGGTGTCTCTGCCTTGTCAACCCAGGATTGTTGGGCTGAGCCCAACTGGAGACTTGAGTCATTATAAGATTATGTATGTTTATTTTTAACCATTACTGTATAGTTCCCTCAAGAGTACTAGAATGTAGTTCAGTTATGTGTCAAGCACTGATCATAATGGAGTCCAAATAAATATAATTATGTTTAAACAAAGTAAGTTATGTGCAGAAATTGGCAGTTGCATTGAGATAAAATAGGCTAGTTCTGTAACAGAATCTTGTTACAGCTTGTTAAAAAGGTTATACCCTGTCTTTATATGAAATTATGAATAGTAAAAAATAGATGAAGCTTTAACATCATAGAGTATTTTTATAAGTGTGAACAAATATGATGACAGTTAAAGGCTCATCCGTGCTGAAATTACAAGTAAAAGATGTGTCGGTCAGAAGTCGAAAATGATCAAACTGAAAATGAAGGGACAAATGTTTTAGACATTGCTGATAACTTGCTTTTTTGTGTCGCCTCTACAGAGTAGTGGCGACATATAGGGATCACTTCTCCGTCGTCTGTCTGTCTGTCTGTCCGTCACAAAACTTGTCCGGACTACTCCTCATAAACTACTGGTGCAATTTCATCCAAACTTTACAGGAATGATCAGTACCAAGTCTAGTTGTGCATATTGTCAGCATTTTCCGGTTCAATGATTTTTGTCAGAGTTATGGCCCTTTAATAATTTTTATTTTTAAAGTTTGTCCGGACTACTTCTCTTATACCACGAATGCAATTTCAATGAAACTTTACAGGATTGATCTGTAGCTCAAGTCCTTGCGCATGTTGCACAGGTTTTCCGGTTGAATGATTTTTGGGTGAGTCATGGCCCTTTGATAAAAAGGTGTTTTTTTCTGTGTGTTGCCAGATACACAAAAGCTTGTCCGGACTACTCGTCAAAAGTTTATCCAAACTTTACAGGAATGATCAGTACCAAGTCTAGTTGTGCACTGTCCGTCTGTCTGTCCGTCTGTCACAAAACTTGTCCCAACATGAAATTGGCCATCATGAGGTGACACATGTGATCACTGATCACTCTTGTTATAATTTTACAGGAACGAGCGAGGAAGCGGGAGGGTTTGCAAACATTGAGTTTAATCCTCTGAGATCAGTGGAGGGCTGTGTATACAAAATTACCCAACAAGAGCTTAAAATCCTCGACCAATGTGTTGGATATCCTCAGGTAGGGCAGAAAGAGGAGAACCTATAGTTTATGTATATAGTTCTGGGAAAAAAAATTGCAATTTTGGGAAAAAAACTGTGCATCAACAAATATTGTAACTGCAGACTTGTTATACTGTAAAAAAATGCTGAATTTTTGTGATAGATTTTCCTACCTTTGAATTTGGAACAGTCTAGTCCAAGTTTTAGGGATTTCAGTATCAAAAACAAAGCTTACTAACAGTAGAGAGCCAAGTCAGCCTCAAACTTACATTCAATTTGGAAAATTAGAATTTAAAGCATGTATAAGGTCTATTACAGAAAATGCTTGTGTAGAAAACTAGCCTGCAGTTATGTATCACTTATTTGAAGATGCCTGAGTTGATAAGTTGTAGTGATCATTCGGTTTTCATTATTTCTTTGGTTTGACTCCTGATGTATTACCTGCAAATTTTAACTTATCATCCGGTCATATCTTGGCAGTCAGTTCATCTGACCTGCTTATCTGAATAACTTGCCAATAATAACCAATAACTTGCCAATAATAACACAGACGGACTACTGAAATCCTCATTGTTTCTGAATCAGTGGCAAGAAATTACCTTTTGACGCAATGTCCACAGAGATATTTTGCCTCACCAAAACATAGGACCAGCATCCTCATGATTACAACTTTGACTTGATCATTTCTCTCCCTGAGTGGGCATGATATCAACCTGGGGGAAAAAAAAAAGATAAAGGCCTCCAGACACATATACAGTAAACATTTAAGTAAACAAGGAAGAAATTTATGTATGGTGTGATATTAATTTAATTTTAAAAACTTTCTTTTGCAGCATTATGAGCATCTAGTATTACCGGTTTGGTTGTCAAACAGCCTGGAACCAGACAATCTTGGTGTAGCGCAATACTGTGTCCCAGCTCTTACGTACATTGCTCAGAATAAGTGGACAGAAACAGGTGTGCTATTTTTGTTATTACATAATTGAAAGAATTGTTTTAAACAAGTTTCAGTGGGACCACTCAAAAGATTCGGGGGCTATATTTTTCACAAAAATTGTTGGTAGTTTCAATTATTTGGCTTGACTTTCATATTGTTTCTGTAGCATTTGCTTTTTAAGATGAGATTTATAGTGAATCTAATCTCTCAGTTTTTTGAAAGCGCCTGTTACATCACTGTATTCATGATGATTTAAAGATAAAATATTAACCTAGGGTTATTATGGTTGTTGATCATATTTGAAATTAATAACCAGTTTTCCTGCCAGAAAACTCTGTTTATAAGATTCTTGAATGTCTTGCAGGGGTTGGGTATAAACAGAACAGAACATATACTTTATGTCTAGGTTGGGCTGAACGCCCATCATCATAATATATGTAATATGTATGTTTACATGTATTTATTACAAATTATTATAAACTAAGGATAAATAATTTTGTCTGCTTACAACAAACTTTCTCAAAATATACATGTACATATGTATCAACTTTCACAGGATTGTCAGCGACGGAATTGGTTCATGTTGTCAGGAATCGTGAAAATTGATTACTTTTGGCAGAATCATGGCCGTCTTCTTTTCCACATATATATACATGTAATATTTGCAGAAAACCAGTTTTTGTGACAATTTCCATGTTTTTGTTTGTATGATAAAATAAATATTTCTATTTCAGATAAACCGTTAAATAGTGACTACGCATTGTCCCAGTGTATAAAGAGTGCTGACATAGTTACCACAGCATACAAAGATTCTTTAGTTGCCATGGCATCACAACAGGAAGTGATGGCATCTGCTTGAGGCCTTGATTTCGGTCTATGTTCTTACCGTCTGATCGAGACTGTATACTATTCTTAAAACAAATTTCAATGTTAATTTTTGTGAACACAGGATGAAAATCTGTCAGTTCTACTTTAATTTATATAGGTTAAATGTTACACAACATACACATAAATAACTGGCCAGTTTCTGTTTGTGTGTAATATAAGCTTTGCTTTTAATAGCTTTGAAATATGCTAAAACGTTTTTGCTAATTTTTTTTTAACATATAAAGTTTACTTATCAAGCAGTCACATACTATATTGTTTCCTTAGTGTAGTAACGGGTTAACTCTTATTAAATTGTATAAGGAGTTACCCCATTACTGCACTAAGGTGAGGATTTAGGTAGTCACACTTGATAAATTTATTCAAGATGATGTTTAAGTATATATATATAAGAAGAAGTAAGACAAAATTCCAATTCATACATTATATAATGTTGTTGAATCATTGGAATCATTTAAAATCAGGTTCAAAGAATACTTCTGTTTTTATGTAATTCTTAATAAAGTTACTGAAGTTAACATGAAATTAAATTTTGAAATCCTGAATTTTTTTGAATTTTTTTTTTTCCGAAAATTGGTAGATATTGTCTACTGTCACATTTATGTTTACTCAAACTTACAAGATCAAGTATGGCTGCTGTGAATAAAAAATATGTATGTTTAAAGATATGTGTAACATTAAGTATGTATTACAAATAATTTATTTTGTATTTTTTCTCTAAGTATAGCTTTTTGTAAGATAGAAACTTGCTAAAATGCTTTGCCTAGTCATATATAAAACCTGTTGGCTATAATAATTATATCAAAGTGTATAGTACATTTAATGATAATTTCTTGATGAGTATTGATGAATATTTAGCCTTTGGCTTCAGTAAGAATTATGCTGCTGTAATCTCTATGTGATCTCGTATATAACTGCTGTGAAAAAATGTTTTACAGTGTAATTCTATTTATATACATGTATGTATAGATAAATGGGTGATATATTTATATTTTTATATAGTTTTATATTTACGTTGTTGATTGTCTGTGATAAAAATTCAATATTGAAGTACAGATCTATTTGTTGTCTGTACTTGAGCTATGATGGGTAAACATTGTATTCAAAATATGTGTGTAATTTTGTTATTATTTACTGAAAAATAGCAAAAAACGGAAAGTGATTTCGTTTTTTAATGATTTTAGTTGACTCCACTGAGGTGGTTTTTGATATGATAGGACTGGAAATACTTTTTAGAGATTTGTGTACCTTTTGATGTAGGTCTATTAACTTGTGATTATTTTTAGATCCTTCACTGACTCCATTTTAAACAAAAATCATTTTAAATGTGCAAAATGAACGTAGAAATGCCTTTAACTCAAATCAGGGTAAAATTCTCATCAAAATAATGTTAATACTGAGTATATTGCCTCTAACTGCTGTGGGTTTGAATTCTGCCAGGAACATTTTTTTCTTTCATGTGAAGAAGCTATCCTCAGCCAGCTTACCGAATATCAGTTATTCTACTCAGGTGTGCCTGTTTGTGTCTGAAATAATGCACAGAGGGGCACCTGAGATCTTCTTCCACCAGTAAACTGGAAAGTCACCCAGTGAACTATACAGTGTTGGTGTGTAAAAAAAAAAATCCTGAGTGTATTCATTTATTATTATTGCTTGCATATTTTACTGTTTTAACTGGGCCCCAAGTGTTAACCTCAGTGGAGTTCCTTTAAAGCGGCATACCTGTAGATGAATAAATTTTTTGGGGAAAAAAAAATGCAAACTAAAGAAATTTAGGAAATGTTTGAATATTTTATAATACGATTACTAAATTTTTTTATCTTGATATTTCTACATGTGATTTCTGTGTTGTAGTAGGTGTTCTTTTGTTTTAATTAAAGTTTGTACACTTCGACAATATTTAATCAACAATTATTTTTATATTTACAACATTTCTTAAGAAAATGTCAAAATTAGCATTGATTTGGAGGTGTTCTGTCTAAGAGATTCTATAGAAGAATTGTGAATTTCATAAAAAACACATATCAAAAGAAAAAATAACTTTTATGAAAAAGTTAGTACAAATATAAAATTTTTAGTAAGGCTTACATTAGTAGAAGTTTGGGAGCAATTTACTTCTGACTTCCAGAATATAATGCTTTTCCTTCTTTATCTATATAATGTGACTTCCAATGTCAGGCATTTTACACTTCCAAATTTTGGATCTTAATGGAATCCCCAAATTTACTTAAATACATGTACATACTTCCTTTACATATGTAAGGTTTGTTCTATTGATCAAGGGAGGTCAGTAGTGATACATTAGGTAGTGGTGCACCATATTAAATTAGCAATATTTGTTGTTTGAGATGTATACTTTGTGAAGAATAAAATGTTAAAAAATCATGTACACTCACTTTGTTTATTCAATCTTTGCAATGTATGTTTGCGGAGTACAGTAGAACTTTTGTGTGTCAATTTTCGATGAGTAGTGCTATTTTTAATCATTTTTTTACTGTGTTGAGGTAGAAAGAAAGTCCTGATATTCTTTTCTTTGATGCACAATACCTTAAAAATTCTATAATATGCCACCATATTCATAGGCATTTAGATTTGCACTTGTCAGTCCTATGTTCTCTGTTTTGGCACATTTTGCTGTTAAAATGCTTGAGGTAGTCAACATTTACTTGACTAAATAGTAAAAATTGGCAATTTTCAATATAAATAGTGCATTATACCTCAAAAAGTATTTGACCTAATCATGAAACCTCACAGAAATGTTGGTCAGCATGTGTAGTTGTGCACCTGGGGTTTGCTTGTGGATTTATTCAGTATTTGTAGAATGTACCAGTGTAATATGCGATACTTTGAGGTATAGATTATACCAGTGTTATATAGGTTATCTAAGGACATAGATTTTACCAGTGTTATATTGGTTTTCTAAGGGCATTCATTGTACCAGTGTTATATAGAATGTGTATGGGGATATATTGTACCAGTGTTATAGGGGTAATCTAAGGGCATAGATTGTACCAGTGTTATATAGAATGTATATGGGGATAGATTGTAACAGTGTTATATAGGTTATCTAAGGGTATATATTGTACCAGTGTTATAAAGGTAATCTAAGGGCATATATTGTACCAGTGTTATATAGAATGTATATGGGGATAGATTGTAACAGTGTTATATAGGTTATCTAAGGGCATATAGTGTACCAGTGTTATAAAGGTAATCTAAGGGCATAGATTGTACCAGTGTTATATAGGTTATCTAAGGGCATTTATTGCACTATTGTATATAGGTAATTGTACCAGTGTTATATAGAATGTCTATGGGGATATATTGTACCAGTGTTATATAGGTAATCTAAGGGTATATATTGTACCAGTGTTATAAAGGTAATCTAAGGGCATATATTGTACCAGTGTTATATAGAATGTATATGGGGATAGATTGTAACAGTGTTATATAGGTTATCTAAGGGTATATATTGTACCAGTGTTATAAAGGTAATCTAAGGGCATAGATTGTACCAATGTTATATAGGTTATCTAAGGGCATAGATTTTACCAGTGTTATATTGGTTTTCTAAGGGCATAGATTGTACCAGTGTTATATAGGTTATCTAAGGGCATAGATTTTACCAGTGTTATATTGGTTTTCTAAGGGCATATATTGTACCAGTGTTATATAGAATGTATATGGGGATAGATTGTAACAGTGTTATATAGGTTATCTAAGGGCATATAGTGTACCAGTGTTATAAAGGTAATCTAAGGGCATAGATTGTACCAGTGTTATATAGGTTATCTAAGGGCATTTATTGCACTATTGTATATAGGTAATTGTACCAGTGTTATATAGAATGTCTATGGGGATATATTGTACCAGTGTTATAGAGGTAATCTAAGGGTATAGATTATACCAGTGTTATAAAGGTTATCTAAGTGTATAAATTGTACCAGTGTTATATAGATTATCTAAGGGCATAGATTGTACTAATGTTATATAGGTTATCTAAGGGCATAGATTTTACCAGTGTTATATTGGTTTTCTAAGGGCATAGATTGTACCAGTGTTATATAGGTTATCTAAGGGCATAGATTTTACCAGTGTTATATTGGTTTTCTAAGGGCATATATTGTACCAGTGTTATATAGAATGTATATGGGGATAGATTGTAACAGTGTTATATAGGTTATCTAAGGGCATATAGTGTACCAGTGTTATAAAGGTAATCTAAGGGCATAGATTGTACCAGTGTTATATAGGTTATCTAAGGGCATTTATTGCACTATTGTATATAGGTAATTATACCAGTGTTATATAGAATGTCTATGGGGATATATTGTACCAGTGTTATATAGGTAATCTAAGGGTATAGATTGTACCAGTGTTATAAAGGTTATCTTAGTGTATAAATTGTACCAGTGTTATATAGGATATCTAAGGGCATAGATTGTACTAGTGTTATATAGGATACATTAGGGCATAGATTGTACCAGTGTTATATAGTATATCTAAGGGAATAGATTGTACCAGTGTTATATAGGATATCTAAAGGCATAGATTGTACCAGTGTTATATAGGATATCTAAAGGCATAGATTGTACCAGTGTTATATAGAATGTCTATGGGGATATATTGTACCAGTGTTATGTAGGTTATCTAAGGGCATAGATTGTATCAGTGTTATATTGGATATCTAAGGGCATAGATTGTACAAGAGGTATATTGAATATCTTAGGGCATATATTTTACTAGTGTTAAAGAAAAATTAGGGCATATTGTACCAGTATTACAAAGGATACCATTTGACATAGATTGTACCTGTGTTGTATAAGATTAAATCTTAGGTCATATTGTACCAGTGTTACATAGAAAGTATATGGATATATATTGTACCAGTGTTACATGACACCATTGGACATTGACTGTACCAGTATTATATAGGGATAGATTGTACCAGTATTATATAGTGATATATTGTACCAGTGTTATAAAGGATAATATTATGGCATAGATTGTACCAGTGTTATATAGGATATCTTAGGACATAGATTGTACCAATATTATACAGGGAACATTGGGGCAGATTTCAAAGTGTATATATAGGATATTGGTGGGGGAAACAAATGATCAAAACTATCTGTAAAGCATTTTTTGTTTAATTGTTTTAATATTATTAGCATACATTTTTATAAAATTGCATTTATCAAAATATAAACAATGTGTGTGCAACAGTGTTCTGGTGTAACAAAAATAAAGGACAAGTTCCTTGTTGATGAAAAAAAAACACAACAAAAATAATGACCAGTCTAAAAACGTAATCTCTGATTGGCTAAATAAATGTTCAATTTTCAAATTAACCAATGAAAAGCATGCTCTTCTTTGACTGGCTTACAACCTTGGCTCTCTGCTTAATTTGTAAAAGAGCTGAATATAAAGTTACTATAACATCGAACATCAACATTTTCTATCAACTATATAAAATCAATAAGATATTTTTAAAAGTTGAACTACATGTACAAAAATCACAATCATTGATATCAAAAAAAGACGTACTTTTATATACTTCACCAGCTTGGAATGTCTAAAATCGCATGGGGTAAAAATGTTGTCACAGACAGCATGCAATATTGTTACTTTTGAGAAACCTTTATGAATTATGACAGAAAAAATTGACCATTTCTGTACATCATTTTGTAGTTGACTGTCAGTATTTTGTTACGAACCAAGTGCCTTTTAAAGGCAATCTTATTTCAACCTCTGCGCACACAACCAAAGCAGGAAAAGGAATTCAGCTTCATCCTAAAATCCTTGAGTAAATCTTTATTCATCGTCGGCTACTCACGGTATATATTATGTACACACTGCAATATTCCTTACATATGTACGATTATCTAGATAATGCAGTATGTACGGAATAAATGTTTGTTTGTTTGTTTGTTTCATTTTACGCCTTTTTCAACAGTATTTCAGTCATATAGGCGGGTAGTTTCCTAACCATCGTTCCTGGAGAGTTACACCAGTACTAGACCACCTTCCTCCGCGCTAAACTACCAAAGCATCTCCCGGGGATCGAACCCACGCCAGAGAGGTAACTGGATTAGAAGTCATCGACTCTAACCCCTCGACCACGGAGGCGGTTTTACGGAATAAATACTGTGTGTAACCGACAATGACTTTTTTATTTAAACTGTGAGATAACTTTGCATAGGTGAAAATCGTGAAATAATTAATATGATCTAGATGAGTGAGAAATTTGTTCCATGGCTTTAGTTTATAAATTTTTTTTTATCAATCTAACACTGATAAAGTGACCCCTTTTTTAAAATTCACAATTTTTTAAACCAGAACAGTGAAGTGTAAGTTTTGCATCAGTTGGAATCAATCTTGTGATTTTATTGATGGGAAATTTATATCATTATCAGACAATGATAAACATTTCAAATGGAAGCACAGAATACATAAGCCTGCTGGCTGTTGGGTGGCATATGGCATTCACTTTTTGTGTGGCTTATGTGTATTATATTAAATATAAGGACAGGTCTTCATTTAAGTGACGAAAACTTTCACAAATTTCATTTTAAATTTCTACAAATCCATGAAATGAATTTATACAATATATATATATTGTTACTGAGAAATTAAGAAATTTTCCTTCTACAAACAATGGCCACAGCTTTTAGTTTTCCTAAAAAAATTTCAAAATTTTTTCCCTCCATTACCATGCCATGTAATGAACAAAAACATCCCCTTCAACAAAAGATATACATAAAATTATTTGGGTTTATGTTTTCCTCATTAAAACACTGTTTATGATAAAATATTAATTTATTTCTTCTCTAAGGTTTACTTTTTTACCCTAACCCTGCAGAGTTTTTTAAATGAACCATTCCTGCTTCCACTTATAGAACTGTTTTATTTAAAAATTTTGGGATTTTTAAAGTATTCTACCAACAGTATAGAACTGTTTCAGACTGCATGGAGGTTCAGGCTGGCCTGGCTCTTTACTGGTGGCAAAGGTTAATCACTTTCAGTTCCAACAGGTTAAGGTTAAAAGAAAGATATCAATTTTATTTCGTTTTCAAATGGGTATTCCATCATCTCGGGGTATGCCTGTAAATGATATAAAATGTTAATGTGAAGGAATAAACAAAATGGGTTACGATATTCAAATACAGATCTACCATTTTTTTATGAACTACAAAATATAACTATGCTTGCAGCAACTACTGTAACATTCAATACCAAACATCCTAGCTTTAATCATCAAGCATAAAGACGCATTAAAAATATAAAAAATACACACGCAAATATATATATATAAATGTATATTGAATAACATTGAAATAAAAAAATCGCACAACCAATTAACATTTAAATAAAACAAAAACATTTCATCTATAGTAAACATAATTGCTACTCTAGGTTCAAAAATGGTGTAGATTTGTGCAGAACCAATTCTATTAGAAATAAAAGCTAAACGCCCCAGTTCGAAACAAATGGCATTAGGTTTTTTAAACTGGGAATTCAGAGTTTCCATAACTAAAGAGACAAAACCCTTATATTTCCTGCTGACTATTTTAAAATCTTTTTAACAAACATGTGAAGAAATACTCTAGATCACATGGATATTACCCAGCCATTTGCAGTTTCTTATAATCTACAAACTTATATGCTGTTTTTAACCTTGTATATTAGAACCTGATGCCTTTCTTACTGAGATACGATGATTAAACTCAATATGACCACTACAAAAATTGTTGGAAAACATGGATTGATTAATAATAGGTGTCTTGGGTGAATGTACGTAATAATGACAGCGCTTACATTTTAGACATACAATTATTTCGAAACAACTCATGTTTCATCGACATATAACATTAATTGCACTTTTTGTTCCACTCCCAATTTTATACAGAACTAACTAAAACATAAAAGTATGATAAAAATAAAATGATGTCACATGTTAAGTAGTCTCATAAATGTAAATAATATGGCCTGCCATTACACAACGAAAAATCTCTCCCATGTCAAACGCTAAAAGCTGCAAACTTGCCATTTGAATAATGTAAGGTAACACAAACCCCTATTAGCTTCCACGGACGCTTGGGGGTCAGATCCTGCCCCCCATCGTGATACGCCCCTGTAAACACTCTACCAAAACTATTTTAATATTTAAACACGAATGGTACATCTATTACAACGATAAAAATGGTTTTCAAACAATTTTTACATATATGAAAAAATACCGTATACCATCAAGTCTCAATAACTTTATTAAGAACCATTGTGTTGGAATATCTTGCTCATGATCAGTTTGAAGCTTATAAACTACTGAGTGACAATGTGGCAAAATGACCTTGCTCATTGTTATTTTGACGCTTATCAACATAAAGGAGAATATCTTGTTCATTGTCATTTAGACGCTTTTTAAAACATACTGAACTGACATAACCTTATTGTGAATACACTATCTTAAAACACTCAACTCTTATGAAAAATTGAAAACAACCTCTGTATACAACTTTAAAAAAGACTCTCTGATTACATCATGTTCAATATAAGACTAAAAAGGAATTCATTATGCACCAAATTTTTCTTCCACACAATTTAAAATCAATTTATCAATAAAAACCATAGCCTTGGTCCAAGTCTTTGAGACCATCCAAAATAATTCTAACTCATCTGCTACTAAGGGTTTGCAATGCATGCCTGGCCAGGGCTTCAAACATGTAACCTGTGTAGCTATACAGCAGTATGCAGACTAAACTCTTTAGGAATTAAGTTATTTTTAACATACAAATTTAAATTTGATCAACATGATAAACTCAACTCGTACATGTAACTTGTAAATAGCGCTAAGATGTAATCATACACTGCGAAGCTTGCAAAGGAAAAAAATAAAGCATGAGATAAATGTACATACAACAAAACAAAGATAAAAAAAAATGACATAATAAAAAAGTACATGTAGATAATGCTTTTATTGAGATAACTTCTAGTCCTTTTATTTTCTGAAGAAAAATTATAATCCAGGCCAGGGGCAGCATAATTACCTTAGAAAATTTAAACCACAGCATCCTATTTTATTTCAAACTATATTCTAGGCTGGGTTTTTTTACTTATAAATATATAGACATCGAATTTATGACTTCTAAAATGAATAGTCTTAGAAACTGTCATAGCAAAATGGCCCTAAATGACCAGAGTGGTCCAAACTGACTATTCTGCACAAAAAACTTTTTATGGCAACTTGGGGATGATTTTTTTACATAGCAAAACTAAAAACAAACTAACAGATTTACAATTGGAATGATTAATATATATCATATACATGTACATACATATCCAGGGTCCCTTCACAGCACTGCCCATATTGTACATGTAATGCTGTTGTATAACTTGAATATATACCGGGTTTTCAAATGACATTAACACTGTTAAGTTATATATGGCAACATTCCTGCTTGAGTGGTGGAGGGAGCCATCAGGTTTCCCCTCTATGCATTATTCAGGGCAGAAGCAGGAACATAAGTAAAACTAAAAGGCACAGTATACCTAAGAAATGAGTTTCTTTTTACTTTCTGTAGAAACATTAAACATTTGATCTGTTATGTTGTAATATGGATGGATCTAAAAACAAGTGAGATGCTTGTAACATGAAGAAAATAGCGTTGAAAATGAAATATTCTGTGATAAAGGTAGCAAAAATGTGGTATTTTTACTTCCATATAAAAAACTTATTCACTACAACTGTGCTATGTGCCAAAATGCAAAAGATGGCATAGGAGTATGGCTAATGCGTTACTTTTTGAAAACTGTAAAAGGACATAGAAAGTAAAGATTTTGAAAAACAAAATAGCACTTATTTAGACTTTATGGGCCTTTAACAGATTTTTGTAAAAAACCTGGACAATGTTACTTGGAGACAGTGCTGTATTAAACCCTAGATATGTATTGTACAGAATTGTGTAAACTTTAAAACTACAGTTTGCAATGTAAAGATGTCACTAGGACAGTGTGCACCACTATTCTTAGTGCTATATAGTAAAACAAGAGCCTTAATAATGTAAATTTACAAAAGCCTGGATAATATAAAATTTTCTTACATTAAAAAGGACCATCAAAGACATGCTATAGATATGGGTTTTTTACAGTGACCTCCTATTATGCTCTCAAATGTGTGAAATTTCAAACCATACCCTTAGGTTTTGGAAATACCAGCATGATCGCGACACCTGGGTGAAGAATAATCAAGCTAAAAAATGTGACATATATTGCCAAGTGCTCTCATTGATGATTAAAGAAAAAAAACACCTTATTTTTTAAAATGCCTTAAGAATCTCTTTAATGATGAATTAATGGATACATCGCAATATATCTATATGAACAAAATTGTAAACCCCCATATGAATTATATAAAAGAAAAAAAAGCATATCTATATAAATTATGTAGCTAAAAAAAAATTTTTTAACTCGCATATGTTTTTAAAATAAAAATTTAAGCAACTGGGTTATTTTTTTCTGTTCTAGAAAATTCCTATAACATATAAGCAAGATCATTTAATTAAACATCTGAAAATAAAAAATCTAATTTCTATGGTCAATTTTCAAACGAAATAAACACTATTATCATGTTAGTAACAACTAGAAATATTTCTACAACTAATTTCTTTTGACAGTTTCTTTATAAGGCATATTTGAAAGTGACCCTGATTTTTACGAAGGTAATATACGATTTGTGTATATATTTTCAGTAGGAACGATGGTTCGGAGATTTATTTTAGGGTTTTGATGGTGGCGTATCTATCCATATCATCATCCTGTAGATTAGACACGATTTTCCGTGCACGCTTTTCTTTATTCACCAGAAGAACCAAGTTAGTCAGCGTCACACGAGCTCGCTCCAATTCTCTAATGCTAACCTGGTGCCGAGGGTTCATGATCTTCTCATCAAGAACCTAAAAACAAAATAAAAAATATGTTTTTTTACGCCAATACGCTTTGATCATTATGTATGAAATTATACAGAAAATCGCCACATACAAACACACCAACTTCCTGTCCTTTATGACCCAGTCTAGATCATTCTAGTTTAAAGGTTTTGTAAAGAATTGATCGGCAGCGTTTGCAAGATCCAATGAAAATTGCTTCCTCTACTATTAAAGCTTCAAAATTGCTTCCTCTACTATTAAAGCTTCAAAATTGCTTCCTCTACTATTAAAGCTACATGCTTCCAGATGAGCCTGATGAAGAAAATCAAACTTGAGAAAAATGTTTTAAGATTTTAAAACAAGAGGGCCAAAATGGCCCTGAAATCGCTCACCTCTATATAGGCACCTGGGCCAAGGCCAATTTTAAACCAGGGGCTTTTATTCGAACAAACTTGGTAGACAGCCATTAGAAGATGTTTCATGATAAATATCTAAGCTCTTTATAAGAAGATCTTTTAAGTTTTACTATATACATATAGGGAAAAACAATGAACCCCCCACTACTCCTTGACTAACATAGTATGGGCTATTTTTGCATATTTCGACCTCCTTTTGGTAATTTACCTAGATTGTAAGTGCCGTTGCAATGCGTAAAAAACTTCTTTTGTTCACTTCACAATATTTTACTTTAAAATATATTTTCAAAACTTTAATGAAATTTGGCATGATTCTGGCGGCATGCTGCTTTAAGGGCAACAACTTTGCATGGTTAGTGCAAGTTTTTTATTTTTTCTTATCTAATTTAAAAGTAAGAAACAGCTACAGGGGAAGTATGGGTCAAACACCAGGGTTGCTTGTAGACTTTTTATAACAGGATCTACTGGTTTCAGACTTCTGAGACCTTCTCATAACATAAAACAAATCATCCTTCTCAGCTGTACTGTCAGTCTGTGTGACTGCTTACATTTTGTAAAATACATTAGAAATTTATGTTAATGTTAAAAGTCTGAGAAACAATATAATGTTGATTGTATTCAATGTAATATAACTATAAGGTACTTTCTTTTTTAAGTTATTACACATAAAGTATTCCATAGAAAAAAGACCTGTAAAACCTGTTATATTACTTGTATTTTTTTAGCATTTTCAGTCTTTTCACGTGATGACAATAAAAATTAATGTTACTTTGTACTAAATTGTAGTCATTTGACGAAGAATAATATTAAACTTTGTCATGGAAACTCACTGTACAACACTTACTTAATTTTTTTCCCACATAACGAATGAATTGACAACTAGTGGTAAGATCTGATTTACAGCTTTGGTGCATGAAATACACGAAACGAGTTAAAACAATTTTCTTGATGTCTAGATTTAAGGGAGACGCAGGCAAAATTTTCATTTCTTTGTTTTGAATTGTTCATTCATTTTTCTGTCAATATCATCAAAATGAATACACTAGGCAGTCACAGGAACAAAACTTTCCTCCTTATAAAGAATGAAATCATGATTTCCTAACTTGAACAACATGGGTCATGTTAGAGCGTTAAGTTAATAGTTGTCACAGTTAACTCATTAACATAAATGCACATGTTAATTGAATGACTAAGACCTGTTTCAATCATACAATATCCACAATATCTGTTATTTTAACTTCCAGGGTTTGTTCAAGTCACATAACTTGTTTAAAAAACTACTTGGTGATTCTGTCGGCCTCTAATTTTCGTTCAACATATTTTGACGCTTTAACCCCAAAATATATAAAATCAATACAGAAATTCATGCTGGGACTTTAAAAATGTCATTTTTAGCGTGATTTGAATACACAAGATCATTTTAATATTTTTGTCATTTATTTGCCGGAGTATTCCTTTAAAGAGTTAACTCTGCCCCTGACTAAGCATGACATTCTTAAAGCTGATCATATGTTAAAAAAACATTATACACTGTGTACTTACACTCCAACAGGTCTCGCCAATTTCTTCTCTAGGACGATCAATGAGTCTTCCGTTCACATAAATCATATTTGCAGCTGCCTCAGAATCCAACTTGAGGAGTTCGTAGCTAAACTGTGCTCGCATCTTGATTTGCTGAAATTTAACATAACACATATATGACAATTTGAAACCGAAAACTGTTGATTATAATTTCTGACCTGTGTAGAATCTGCTTCAAGTCTATACTTTAACCCGGTTAACATACGCAAAAACCATTTAACTTGATTAAAGCTATTTCTTTGTTATTGCAATTGGTGTAAATCAAGTTTTACCGGAAGGTAAACAATGTATTTCGAAGACAAAGTCCCAATATTTTGTGAAATCTCTCTTGAAATTGTGAATTTTTTTCCGCTGCTTTGTGAAAAAAAAAGTGCAATTTTGAATTGTGAAGAAGGGCCCCTGTTATAGAAGGAAAAAAATAGCAGGGGAAAAAAATCAGTCAAGTAAGTGTATTCATCATCATAAATAGAGGTGAAAGTTTACCTTGTACACCTCCATCCCATCATCTGAGTTACTGATGGCAATAACTTGTCTACCAGCCATGCTGCAAACACTTTTCAAATGAAGTGCACGTATTCTATCTATGTAGATTGGCACAACCATATATTCTGGAAAAGCCTCGGCTACAGCCTGGGCACCTTGTGTATTCGTGTTACGTCCAATACCAACAAATATCTCCTTTCCTGCAAAATAAAAAAAAAAGTTTTTAATGACTATCCATCATTAATTATGTTAAAAACCCAAACTTAATTATGTTAAATATTATCAAAATATGAGTTTTGGAAAATTATACTTTTAAAGTTTTTCCTTTTAGTGTTAATACCATGCATCAAAATAAGAGCTCTTCCTGTTATATGACATTATGTGCACTTTTAATTTGTCCATGTTTTTTGTAAATCATACTAACTGAGCGTTATTGTTAAAACTGAAAATAATGGGAAGTTGACAATTGACAAGAGTAGATTTACATTGTTAAAGAAAACCTTAAGTATCTGACCTGTAAACAGTACATCAGACCCATCAAGAGTGGCTGTTCCATCATTGATTTCTTGTATACGCAGCTTCAAGTCAGATTTCAGAACACGGCGAATCTCCTTTGTCTGTAAAATATTATTGTCTATTCACTCTATTGTCAATTTGTTGATATTGAGAATTTGAAATTTTTTATAACAGGATTTTTTAATGGGCACAGGGTGTCCGTTTGACCCTTGAAATGACTCTTTGACCTTTCAAATTTCAAAAAGGCCTGATATGACCCTCAGGATTTTAACTGGATGGTCAAATTTTGTTAAAATCATGGGGAATTGGCCTTGTAGTCCATAATACTTAATCAAAATGACGCTCCGGATTTCATGGCTAGCGAACACCCTGGGGCATCTACAGAAATTTTTCTTGTTTATCATTTATGATTTTAAGATCTAAGGAAGCAACCTATTTATCCTTAAGACCTAAGGCAGCTGGCGAATTTTCACATTACAAATACGAAAATGGCTGTAAGCAGACATATGTTTATTACTTCTGCCTCTTCTTTATTTTAAAAACAGGTCTGTCACTATATACAACCAAGAGGGGAGAGGGTGTGTGAGCACAAGGTAGCTTTTTCTCTAGAGCTGTATATTAGTATCCTGGTCAGGTTGCTCTGAAACATTTGGCACCCTATGTGGGACCAAGATTGTACTTATATCTTAAGCAAAATTTATTATTTGCCATCCTCAGAATCAATAGAGTTTGCATTGGTAATATCGCAAACAGGACGTTTCGGCCCCAAACCAAATCGGCCCCAGTGGAAAAATCGGCCCCTGGACGTTTCGGCCCTTTTCCTCGCGACGTTTCGGCCCTACTATATAGTACAGACAATTAATTAAATTAATTAACAACAATTAATTTGATTACAATCAAACAATTATGACACTTTAATTCTTTAAATAATTATTTATTATGATTTAATCAAACAATGTTGACAGTGAGATATTATGGCTTCATTGTTGTAATGATATCAAGATCAGATAACTCTTTCAGGCTGTCCAGCACCTTCCGACATAAAATTAGGGCGAATTTTAGGGCAATATTTTAAAAAATTTAGGGCTAAAATTAGGAATTTTAGGGTACATAACAGAAATTTTAGGGTTAAAATTTGGAATTTTATAACTAAACTAAGGCCCCAAAGGACCATGATGTGGGCTTACCTTGGCATATTTGACACAAAAGTAACTCACAAATAACGCTCTAGTTTAGTTAGAGCAAAGGTGTCTACCAGTGTGGACACACTGGTCAACTGCCTCTCTTGCGAAAATGGTCATAGTCAAACTATGTTCAAATCATATTTGAAATATTTTTTCAATTGTTGAACATGTCAAAAGAACATGTTCTACCTATGTTTTGGGAATGTTATAACCATGAGTGTCTAAAAGGAATTCTTATACAGTGAAATTCATGCACAATGCAGCTTTTAAATAATTATGGACAAATGAAATCTTTTGTACAAGTAGGAAGTAAAAAGGCATTAGCGTAATAGTACAGTCATTTTGACAAATGGGAAGCATCTATAACCAACACACAGAAATGCACATCAAAATAGTTCATCACACAGACCATTCAATTACAGTTTATCTAGATCATATAATTGCAACTTTGTATGTTCATGGTAACTGGAAATGAGCTTTATATTATTTTGAGTGTGATTAAATTATATGAGTCTGCAAAATAAGCAATTTCTCCTAAGGATAAATAAGTATGAGGGAAAGCATTAATTTTGCAAAGTCTACGTTAACACATTTAGTACTTTACAATGTTGTTTTGAAATTATGCAGATTTAAATAAGAGTTGCAAGTAAACAAATTGTACATTAATTTATGATAACTATTTATACATGTTTTAATTAAGATTGTGTTACAACAGCTTCATTATGATCATTTTCAAATAAGATATGATATAAATGGACCACTTCAGTCATTTGGAAAAAAGAACAAACATAAAATTCAAGATATCTGGAGTTGGCAAAATAGTGTCAAAATATTCCAGAATAAGTTAACCTCTTATAGTTATGATTTAAGTTTCAGGACCATGATATGGTAGTGTTTTTGCTGTTAACTGTCAACATGATTATTAACAACTGCTTTGATTATGAAACAGCAATGTTACGGAAATAGTCAAAGTTACTTTTAGTTGAAACGAAACCATTTCAATGTCACCAATTTTGAGTTGGCAAATCATGGCCAAATCATTTTTGACCATGTTCAAAACATAGTCGACTTTGTTATGTCCGCGATCATTTTCGCAGGGTTACAAGTTATAAGTATGTTTAAAACAAAAGATGAAAAAAAAATTAGGAATTTCAGTGAAAAAATAGGGCATTTTTAGGAATTCCCTTTGAATTTTTCACTTTTTTAGGAATTTTAGCCAAACTGAAAAAAATTAGGATTTTTTAGGAATTTTAGGGACGCTGGACAGCCTGCTCTTTACATGATTAGTTGTACAGTTAATGGGATTACTTCCCTTTACTTGATATTCATTAATGCTATGTTTAGTTATATATATGAATTATGATCATGCCTCTGATACCTGGTCATTCTCACTTGTGCTCTGGTCTTAACAACATGTATTAAATGGTTATAATAAAATAGTAGAATAGTTTGAATCTTGTTATCATCCATACAACATAACAATTGTAAAATTACATGACCGAATGTTTCGATTTTCACGTGGATGAACAACTAACTTTCCTTACCTGATAATTAAATGTGTTAGATTTTTCAATATCAAGGAAATAATTACGAGTACCTATTTCTTGTGAGATATTTATAAACATTGAAGTTAACATTAAATGCAACAAGTATCAAATCGTTGATGGTTTTGGTAAAGATTTAATCTTACGTAAAATATATAAGAGGTATCGTAAATCTTTCAAGGTACTTGGAAATTGGCGTTCCACTTCATGAAAATTGTCATTTATGATAATTATAACTATGAAATTTTAATATACCGGTTTAAAACACAGTACTTATTCTGGGGCCGATTTGGTAAAGGGCCGAAACGTCTGGGGCTGAAACGTCTTGGGTAATTTGGGGCCGATATGTCTTGGGGCCGAAACGTCTCGAAATCGGTAATATCACCTGCTACACTACAGGTTGAAAAAAAAATTGCGCAGCCAGAACCTCGGAATATTGTTACATACCTTTATAAATCTAGGTACATTTTAACTGAAGTACTGCATTTTGAATTCATCGCCAATTAAAGATGGCAATCATGTCTTTAATAAGAATAAATATGCGCAGACAATTCTTGTGTTTAACAGAATTAGCGAACTGATAAAAAAAATAATTTGTGAAAAATGTATAGCCTAAGAAACTACCTCTCCTTGTCGTGTTTTTAGCCCCGGTCTTGTAATGAGAGCAGTGCCGCCAATAACAACAGCACAATCTTCAACACAGCAGCAATCTTTATAGTCTTCGTCCTCCTGTAGCTCAATAATGTTCAAACTACATTTCCTCAAAGTGTCAACAAGTTGTCTGTGCTCCGCGCGTGCCTCTTCGTAGTCTATTTGTCGTCCATCAGCTGGTGTTCCTCTATCAGCGAAACTTCGGGGAACGCGACAAACTATGGCATAATTGTATGAAAACGCTGTCGATCTTGATGTGGTCATGTTTACTTCTAATTCAACAGATTTCTAAGAAATGTACGAGTGGGAGAGTAACCGGAAATGAATCATAGATTAATTAAATTCCGTTTTAACACGTCTCATACCGGACAATAATTGAGTTAATGACCAAAAAGATGTCTTTTTCACAGAAAAGATAAAAAATAACAAACACAGTTTGTATTCGAACATTATTATAACATACTTCCTTGGCAATTTGTCTTATCTTTGTTAAAATGTAGATGCATGAAACATAAAATGCCAATTGAGAAAGGTAGATTCCTAAATATAGAGAAAAATTTAAGTATATATGTACTTTATGTGAGTGCAACCAACTGGGTGACGAATTTCACTGTCTCTTTTATTGTTCACATTTTGTTAATATATATAGTAGACGTACACTTATTAAATCGTATTATTGTAGGTATCTTAATGCATTGAAATTTGAAGATCTTATGAATACTAAAAACAAGTCACATTTAAAAAAAATTGCTTTACATTGTAAAGAAATAATTACAACATGCAAATAATAAGAATAATGTTGATTTATTATGTTGTCTCCTAGAAATTTTGTTATTGAAGCATAAATTCTGGTTATTATTGAGAATCAAGTCATATCTTTATTTCATTTTATGGGTACAATATAATATAATAATATTTTTTGATGTATATTTTGATGTATATTTTGATGTATATTTTTCTTTCTTATATGTTCACAATTATTTTGTATTTTATGTCACATGTTCTTATGAACCATGCCAGTATTGAATAAAATCTAAATCAAAACCAGTACTATAAACATCATACTTTATCTTGTTTCAATCAACGTAATTCGTGATGTCTAGTTAGGTCATCTATATAATTTATTTAGGCGAGTATCTAGACTACCTGATCAAATCGTCCAAAAGTAAAAGTTCAAGTTATTCTAACCAAAGGTGGAGGTATTATTGATTGACTTTACATCTCTTAATATTACTTATCTGAGTATCGAAGAAAGAAATATTATTTGAAAAATGGAGAGGTACTATTAAGTTGTTATCCGGTCCATTTTCTCCTTGTTAACTCATTGCTTTCTGGACAACTTTTCTTGTTATATTTAACTCGCCAACTAAGCAACAAACCGTTTTCTCAGACAACTCATCATTTAAAATAATATTTGTCTTCATGGAGTTTTATATTACGCAATAAAAGTTTCTGTTTCTTGATTTTTTTTACTTTATTGACAATAAAAGAATTGATAAAGTAATGCAGTTAATATCTACTATACATATACATGTACAAATATGATAAGTTACAATACAGCTGCGTTGTCTGATTAAAAGAATATTTGAATTATTACTAAGATGGAATTATTTCATTATTTCTCAAAGTCTTCATAGGTGTCTTTGCAGAATCACCAGTGCAATAAATATTGAATAATTGTGTTATCTCACTTTTGTTATTCTATACGACCCTAACTTCTTTTCAGTATTTAGAAAATACTGTAATTTGAAACTTGAAATTTAATTATCTTAAAACACTTTACACCATTTTATTGTAAATGACTCATTGGTTCTCGAGTTTCAAGTGATTGTAACCAGGATTTCTGATTTATTTTAAGATTGATGAATGTTGGCGGGCGACTACGGCCGTGATTACAGTTTATTATGCGAGCAATTCCCAGATTTATCATCTGATTTCAGTCATTCCTTCACAGAACATTACTATTGTTGTCATTAAGTGCATATTATTTTTGTTGTTGCTGTTAAATTATTATTGGCGGTACTATTGCCCTTTGCCTTTTCACGTATGCAATAACTCTTTTGTGTGCAACTCATTCTACATATCTCTAGGGATTTCAACCAAACTTTGATAAATTACCCTGGGAAATATGATTGAAGAGTTTTGATTGGTAATTTTTTTGCCAGGTTCTTTGTTGTTTTTTTTACAAACGTAAAATAAAGAGACGCGATTTCGACTACAATTATCAAGAGACTTCTACCATTTTTTTCAAGAACTCTTGTCACCTAAAAGTCCAAGTGCCTTTAGCCTTGACACATGTTGTCACAGTTTCGTTACCGAATCATCGTTGGCCAAACTATGGTCCATTTTACTTTCACATGATACTATCTAAAGAAACAATAATCAGTTGTGCACATTTTTAATGGATTTCTGGCACTATTGACGCCAGTTACCTTTTGTCAGTAATTCGTGATTTAATCGGTATTCTTATGCGAAACTTTAGCACTTTTTTCATAATTAAGTAACAGAGGAAAACACTTCTGTTTACATTATCTCCGTCATTTCTGATTCAAATCCAACCAATTGGCGGGAACTTGCTTTTGTCACATTTGCCGTGGTTTGTCGATTTTATTTTTCAATATTTTACGACTGAATTTTAAAACTGAGAAACAATGAAATCAAATATTGTTTGACTGTCTAAATTTCATTCAAAACATTTTCAAAACATTAATGTTCAAGCGTTGGGTCCATGTAATTATATGACAAAATATTGTCAATATACCTCTAACACTTTATCTATTTAAATACAGGTAGCGCTCGCAATAACAAAGCAGAGTTATCGTTCTTGCCTTACTTACACCGCCTACGTATTTGAAAGTGGTAACGTAATAATTTCACTTCAGTGTTTTGGGGGTTATTATTAATATCATATCGACATACTTACGAGAGGTAAAACATTTTATTGCAAATATGTGAAGTGTAAGAATAACAAATTTATGTTTATATCAAATATATATACTTTCTTATTAAATTTAAAAAAAATCAAAAAGGTAACGAATTAATTTTGAAAAGAAAATTTTTAGAATACATTTATCTCAAAAAAGTATGTACTTGGAAAAAATGGACACTATTCATCTCAACGTGTCTATCCCGTTACCAAAGGCGCAAATGTGTAATATTTTCACTGACAATAATGATAAATCACTAAAAACACGAATCTGTTGTACATGATAATACGTGTGTGTGTGTGTGGGGGGGGGGGGGGGGGCAGGGAGTGTATTTCAACTGTCAAACAACTCAGCGAGGGATACTTTAAGTTCAAAGGAAGACAGTATTAACGAAGCATTGATTTAATCTCATGTTTATTATCTTATCTACAAATTATAATATCAATCTGGAATAACTATAATGTAATATATGTTTGAACTGTATATTATTTAAGTTTGATAAAAATGTCAAAGCAGCGAATATATGTGAACCATGTCAATCAATTTGTGGATCTGCTTCACAGATAAAAGGTAATATTCCCGAACAAGTAAAGTCGTTCCATTGGCCATTACCATGTAGTATAGTACCACAATCCTCGTCGTTTTGATCATTGTTTGGCTCATAAGGCGCCCAGTTAAAAAAAATCACTAGGTCTTTGATTCCCGTTAGATGAGCTCCACTGCCAGTTGTTTTCCTCTTGAGTGTCATGTATTCCAATCCAGAAAGATCCTGGAAATGAAAGCAATGCACATATTGTTTTCTTATTCTTGCAACAAATAAGAAGGCCATGATGGCCCTATATCGCTCCTTTGAGTACGACTGCTTTGATAAAGTGTTACGTACCTAGTAATTGATCTGGAAATCATCCAAACAATCTAAGACAAGTTTAGAGGATATTTGGATTTAAAAAGTGCAGAAATTTGTGGCACAATGTTATCGATTATTTTCATCAAAATGTTGCCGCATAGAAAAATTTATGTAGACATGACAGGGAAGGTAAAAGTGCATTTTAATCATCTTTTATATACAAATAGTGAAAATTAATTTTAAAAAGGAATTTTTCCTAAATGAATGATTGTGTCCATATTGAAAGATAGGCATGTCTATATAAGATATTTAATGTGGTAATAGTGCACATTATTTAATTTTACCCATGCAATATGGTGTTATATCAGCCAAATATATTCATGTATCATACATTGTATTTGTGAAAAACGAATATGAAAAATAGTATGAATGTTGGCGGAGCCAAAACTCATATTTATTTGTGGGACTACTTTTCTCAGATATTTCTCTTTTGCATTCAGTCGCTTCAGCTATTCATATCATCATCGGAAATTAGCTTGTTGTATTTTTTTTCAAGACTGTTATGGCTGTGCTTAATAACAGTATTACAACTTTTTGTGAAAGTAACAATATAATATCTGATGCTCAATTTGGTTTTCGAAAGGCCGTTCTACAGTGGATGTCATTTGTATTCTATTGTCTTTCATCCAAAAATATTTAAACAAAACAAACGTTTATATGTAGTTGTATAGTTGATATGATAAAATGTTTTGATAGTATTTACAGAAACGCATTGTGGCTCAAAATGTATAAAATAGGTTTCCAAGGTAAAATGTTAAGAATAATTAGAGATATGTACCAACATGTAAAATCATGTGTTAGGTCATGTTCTAGTTATTCAGATTATTTCAATTATGCCATTGGCCTACGTCAAGGGGAGGTAATTTCTCCAATTTCATTTTCTCTCTTTGTTGAGGATTTGTAACATTATTTACAAGAAAACATTGATACTGGTTTGACCTTTGATGATTTTATTTGGATTTTATTATTATTTGCTGATGATATGGCAATCGTGGGTAAGTCACCAAAACTTCAGAACTTCAAAATAATTTAGATCTTTTATATTCGTATTGTAATACTTGGGAGTCTCAAGGTAAATACTACTAAAACTAAAGTAATGGTTTTTCGAAAGCGTGGAGGACTTCTTCACACAGAACACTGGACCTACGATGGCCAAATCTTAAATATTTTAACTACCTGGGTACTGTTTTTAACTATACTGGTAATTTCACACTTCATCAGGAACATTTAATAGGAAAACATTTAAGGCTCTAAATGTTTTATCTTATAACTGTAAGAAATTTGATTTAAAACCAAAACTATTATGCCAGTTATTTGATGCATTTGTAGGCTCTATCTTAGGATATGGATTTGAAATATGGGGGTACACAAAATCTAAGGAATAGAATGAATTCATTTAAAAATTTCCAAACGGTTATTAAATGTAAGACCTAATACTTGTTCCGCTGCTGTTTATGGTGAATTAGGAAGATATCCATAATATGTGTCCCGTTATGTTAGAATAATTAAATTTTGGTGCAAGTTGCAAAACTCGGGCAACATCATTTTAAATACAATGTATAGAGAAGATGTAATTGATTGTAAAAGAGGGTGTAAAATTGGGTCTCAAATGTGAAAAAGTTGTTATGTGGTTATGGTTTTGCTGATATTTTTGATAGTGATAATTATATAGATCCTAAATTGTTTCTTCAAAATTTTTAAAGTAGAATTATTGATACGTATAACAAGAATGGGCCAGTAATCTAGATCGAAGTTCTGTTTTATGTAATCACAAACATTTCAAATCGTGTCTTTGTAACGAAAATGATCTTGACATTTTACAACGTAAATTAAGAATGTATTTCTGTCGATTAAGACTATCTGTTCATCATCTCAGAATACAAACAGGAAGGTATGCCACTAATTAAATAAAATGGTTATTTTTATGTTTTTCGTGAAATATGGAATATATTTGCACTTAACATGATAAAATTCTAAATATTTCACTCGTCGTTCCGACTCGTGGAAATATATGAAATTTTTTTCATGTTGCGTGAAAATATATTCAATATTTCACTCAAACGAAAAAATATCCTCTTAATAATGCACGCTAACAATTTAAATATACAACTTCTGGTTATAATCATAATAATGAGTAGTTTAGTATGGAAATCTATTTTTTAATCTTCTTTGATATCACACAATATTATAATGTTCAAACATTTAGAATTTTATGTTTCTTCATAATCAAGTGTATTGAAACGCGCCGACATTTGAGTAAAACACTCACAATAATTCTTTACTAGAATAAAAACATTTGAGCACCATTCCTGGATAATAAAAAAAATTTTTTTATGAAAAAAATATGATATTTTTCAAAAGAACTACATCTGTATGAATGAAATGTTTATATACAAACTCTGTATTTTCTTGATATGATTTGCAATGAAATCATTCTCCTCTTTACTTTTTATTTTCAATAGATCGCCGCCAGATATCTCGCATTTTTTCTATAAATAAAACCGAATCAATCGTCAGAAACACAACAAAAACAAACAAACACATTTGTTATTGAGTCTTTGCTTAAGTATATAATACAATAGATACATTTTTCTTTTAAAATGTTTCATTTCATAGACGTGAAGTCAAGAGTATTATGTTTGAATAATAAGTTGCGCCTAAATTGACAAGAATTATAAATTTTATATTTATTATAGATATTATCACATTTAAATAAAGTGCCACGGACATAAGGACATAAACTTTTTGAATTTGTTCTCAGTATATTTTTGTTAGTAAACTTTGATTTTTTGTCAAAGGTGCTAGCTATTTGAACCGCTATAACTAAATATATTCTTCTTTGAACAATACGAGAATTTTACTTACTTTGGCATTAAACCAAGTAGTAAGGTCTGTTTCAAATCTATAGCATTGTTTGCCATGTAGTGTCCATTGCCCTCCATAACTATGGCAAGTCCCAACTGAAAACTCGGAATGTAATAAGATGAGCCAAAATATTCAGGGCATTTGACCTAATTTTTAGATTAATGTCCTAGAGCAAAATATTTTAATCACAGCAATTTATTGAAATATATGACATTATCACTGAATATGAATAAAATCATGTATAGGAAGCTGCGTTCCCTATTACAGGTGAAGTTATGTCTTGATAATAATAATAACAATAATAACTTATTTATTCACATTGTGACCATCTATATTGTCTAGAATTTTAAACATAACATACATGTATCTACTTGATGTGATGTTATTTACAAAGATATTGCAGCAATTACCAATATTTTTTAATACAAATTTGAGCATAGCATATGCATGACTTACTTTCTTTGCCTACTATGCTAAATCGCTTGTCCGAAGTTTTAATATGTTCTTTCAGTTGCTCTTTTAGCTCAGATACTGTATTTTTCAAATTTTCAACAACTATGTCTAAATCACCAACATTAGCTTCAAGGGAATTTATGGCAACCGATTCGTTCTCTACATGTTTTCTTACATCAGTAACATTTGCTTGCATTTCTTGAAGAACGGATTCGGTTTTCAGGATTTTATCATTAATGTTATCGTTTACATTGACCATAATGCTATCCAATCTCCTTGACAAATTTTGTTTAAGCTCATCTACGGTGTCATTGATGTAATTAACACTTGCTTCTGTTGCTGTAGCTTGATTTTGTAACTTATCCTCAACCGATCTTGTCAATTCTGAAAACTCCTGCGAGTAATTCTTTCCAAATTGGTTATAGTGAACAGACCATTTACTTATTTGGTCTTTGACAAACGCATCAGTTGTTTTCATGAAAAGCGAAATATTGCGATTCACATTTTCAGTTTCATTTTGAACACTTGCAATGAATTTTAGTCTTTCAGCTTTCTCGTGTTTTATAGCCTTACGTACTCTTGATTCAAAATCCCTAGTCTTTTGAGTGGTTAGCTTTGCCTTATCATCATCATCATCTGTTTCAGCTTTTTGTTCAACGTTGCTTGCATTTACAAATTCATCAAATCGCTCTTCAAGTCTTTCTACTCGTATGTGGATATGTGTATCTAAATGTATATCAGAGAGCACTTAAGTTTTTTTGTATAACAGACTTGTATTGAGTCTCTCAGTTTTAGATAATTTACAAGAAAGCATGAGTAGTATGAACTACTTTTAACGTTTGATATTTACTGATACATTTGCATTTCGTTACTGTAATCGGACAAAACAACAAGAAATCCGTCAAAACGTATTAGCTAATTTACGCATTTGCCTATTTTGCGGAGCAGATATTATAAAAAGAAAAAGCAAACCGCGAGTGCCATATTATCATTCCATAAAAGAATATAATTCTAATTTCTAATAAGTATGCTTCCAAAACATTGGCTTCAATATAATTCCATATACCGGTATATCTCCGACGATGCATACAAGTTGCATACAAGTTTGGCCACGTGCATATCATTTGTTTGATGTAGAACAGATCTTCATCTCTTAAATTAATCAACATTACTGTATACTATAACAAAATGATAAATTTATAAATGATAAATTAAACATGTACGAATTAGACTTTACCTTTGACTGAATCCGTTTCAATCAACTCAGCTCCATTTACTTTCGTTTGCAGTTCCGAACGTAATTTACTCATCTCAAGTTTTCTTTCAAACATTTCCTGTTGAAGAAGTTGCCTTATAAATGCCAAATCAGCACAGTTGCATTGCCCATCACAATTTACGAAGAAACTACTAGCAATAATTACGATAAGGCACAACTGAACTACATTAATATTATTCATAATTTCCCTTGTTAAACGGTAAAGCACACAAAGCAATTTTGTATTTTGTTTAGTTCATACTACGATATAAACTTCAACAGCAGAAGAGATTAAGCGTTGTGATACACTTTTTATTTTCCGCAAAAAAAACCCCACACACTTGAGAGACTTAGGTCAGCTATATTTTCTAAAACTGTATTCTCTTTACTTTCTGAAAATTGAAAGGAAAAGAAATCACTGGATCTCGAGGATTTTCAAAAAACGAGATGACCTACTCATGCATACTTGCGTTACTACAATTAGTTCAAGAACACCGCCACTTAAAACAGTGATGAAATTTGTTTTACACACTTACATCTTTAAATTTTACCCAATTTGTTTATTAGCTGAAACTATGTTCAACGGATATAAAAAAAAGAATGTATTTGAAACTAATTGCTTTACGGTATATTGTAACTTTTCATCTTTTATTAATATCTATTTCATTTATCAAAGCAAACACTTTTTCATGGTTTTGTTTACAGCCCCATTTTCCAAATAACAACTTATATATATGTTTCATTGGTTAGTTTCAATTAAAGTGAAATAATGTTTCCCTACATCTTTTAATGGAATGATCCAGATTGAAAGTCCGGCGAATCCATTCAGCGTGTTTAATGTTAACGGCTAAGAATCACCAGAGACTTTGGTCAATATTATTGATCAGATCCTTCAGAGGTTATGGCCTATACATAGTCGTCAAACAATTACCGTACTGTCAATTTTTGAAAGACCCAATTAAATATTAATCATTTAACGATATTTATCATGAGCATTGAATTCAGATCGGACAACTTACACTGTCATAAAATTGGCATTTTGTAAGTTATTTAACTTCTAATATTTCTTTTCAGTTAAAACTTATCCTCGACATTATACAAGAAGTCCGTTAATTGCTACAATAATATCTTTCAGATATTTATATAGCCCCTATTCACATTTCTGACCATAAGAACAAGGATAACATTCTGACTCTTGTAACGGACATATTTGTTTACCTGTAGCTTATATTTTTGTGTACATTTACATTTATGTGACTAAAATTAGTGGAATCGTGGGGCTTGACAGAACGAGAACTCGCGAGAGTCAGGGGAGAGAACCTAGATTGGATTCTCGAAGTACAGTTGATAGTGCAGAACTATATTTGGCTACTTTTGAGTTAATTGTGTAAGTATTTATGTTTTGTATCTTTTGACATTTTATTTCAAATTATTTTAAAGAACATGTACTTCGAACAGCGTCTTGCTTGTACGCATCACCTATGCAAAAACATTACTATAGAAAAAGGCTTTTGAAAAGAGTACGCCCTGTATGAAATTTTCCAGCTGGCAAATAGACGGATTTTTTTAATTTTACGTCCGTACAAAAGAAAATACGCGTTATACTTATTCTAATATTATAGAATAAATAACGCCTGGAATACGGTTTTACGCGCGAAAACCAGTCGTAAATGGCACGGATTCCTGGCGTACAAATGACACGTAATATTTAAATGAGCAGGAATTCAAAAATAAAAATTACGCCTGTAAAAATTCCCTTTACATCCGTATAAAATCCAGATTTTACGTCTAATAGTATATTAAATTTACGCCCGTAAATTCCTTTTACGGGCGTACAAAATTCAACTTTTACGTCTATACTAATTTTTACGTCCGTCCTAAAAGTATGCTTTGATTTCTTAGCATCTGAAGAACAAGCTTGTCATCCTTGTTTAATTGTCACATGTTTCATAAAATCTATTTTTTTCTGAAACCTGGAACATTTGAGAAAATAAACCAGTAACAAACAACAAATGATCACAAACACAAAATCTGTCCCTAAGATACATATATAACCAAAGAATTGCTTGTTTTTTAGGTTTATGAAATCAATTTTGTTTCAACTCTACAAATTAAACTCAACTGTTTGTTAAAAAGATTGTCATTTGTTTTACTAAAAGTTCATGTAATGAGTTGATTTTTCACTTGCTGTTCAATCTAGTTGCAGTTGTAGCCTCTCCTTTTTGTGACCTTTCAAGAATCTTGTGTCTCAATGCACCATTTGTAATGTTGTTCCAACAATACCTGTAAAATATCAGCCATATCAAGCATTGTATAATATGCATTTTCCTATTTTAATATTACAACAACTTTCATCTTATCATTGAAGGTGTAAAGTTTTAAGTATGAAAGATCTTGACATTTTGCCTATTTTCTGCCATGCATTTTATAATGCCCCTACCATGATAATAGAAAGGGGGCACATAGCATTACCCCTTTCCGCCTATCTGTGTGTGTACAAAAACTTTGTCTGGTCAATAACTGCATCATGCATCAAGGGATTTTAAAATAGCTTGGAAAATATTTGTAGCATGTTCAGACATTGATCATGCTTAAGACAAATACCACAGCTCCAAGGTCAAGGCCACACATAGAGGTCAAAGGTTAGAAATCTTGTCCAGCCCATAACTTTGTCATTCATCAAGGGATTTTAAGATAACTTAGCACAAATATGAAGCATGATGAGATGTTGTGTCATGCCCTTGGACAAGACCCTAGTTCAAAGATCAAGGTCACAGTCACAGGTCAAGTGTAAGAAAATCATTTCAAGCTAATAACTCTATCCTGCATTAAGGGCACACATTTGTAACATGATGAAATAGTAAAATATGCACAAAACTAAGACCCCTAACTGCAAGGTCATGGTCACACTAAGAAGTCAAAGATCAGCGGTAAGAAAAGTTGGGGGTATGATGGTGAGCACAGTCTAAAAGCCAAATGTCAATGGAATTGGAAAATATCTGTGGTGCATTATTTAGTAAAAATGCTTGTTCAATGACATCCTCCTGTGTACAGGTTGAGGACATATGGTGAACAAGTATGCAAAGTTTCAAAGCCATGTGTCAATGGACTTTGAAAATACTTGAGATTGTACGCAAACTTGGACATAGATTTTAAGTCTCAAAAAGGGCATAAATCTGTCAAAATGCTTGATACAGTCACTTTCGTCTGTGTACAGATTGAAAACATGATGGTGAACAAGTGTGCAAAGCTTCAAAGCCAAATGTCTATGGAATTGGAAAATATTTGTGGTGGTTTTTTAACTTTAACATAAATTCTAAGTCGAAAAAGGAGCATTATTATATTATTGTACGCAAACTTTAACATAAGTTAGAGAGTAAGCCATCACCGACCCTCAGGGAGGGTGAGGGCCTAAGATAGCTTTCCTCATTCTTCAAAAAGTCAAGCTAATATGTTAAACTGCTGATATGAAATCAAAAAAAATCTTATTATTTAAACTACAATTTCTATTTACCATATCCATCTGTTCCAGCACTTTGCTTTGGTTTCGATCACCAGGAATGTCACAGGGTTGTGTTCAGTTCACCTTTAAGGACAATATTATACTTTGATTATACATGTATAATATTAGTTAATTTATTCAAGATGGAAAAAACATTGAGATCAGTATTAAATATTAAATACAACAATATTACATTTCATAATATCTCAAAAGATTATAATATTATACAATTTTCATGCTCATGCTGCATATTCAAAAATATTAAAGCTACTCATTATCTTATTTCACTGTACAATAATTATGTTCAAACTGAGTCAACAGTGATGTGTATTGATAGTCTTAACAATCACTTAATTTGACAAGAATTTTATTTCAAATATTTTTTTCTAGGATATTTAATTATATTGTAAATGGTATTGTTTAGAGATTTAAAACATACCTTTCTGGGCTTTGCGGTAGTTAAATGTTGCACACATAAACACTCAGACAGCATCTCACAGTCTGTACTGGTCCAAGCCTGCAATGTAATCTCATAATCTAAATTGATATAATATTATACATAATATGGTGTTGACCCGTGTCAGATCTGTGTTGTTAAATCTTGGTGGATGCAGTATTTACTTATCCTGGTTATAAGAAATTACCAGGCATTATTTGCACAATAGATTTAAAGCTTCAAGGGCATACTATGACTTAGTTTCACAGTGGGGTGTAATGTATAAGCAAATTGCTTCATTATTGTATTTTATCAAATAGCATTTAAATATTTGATATTGATAACAAGTTTGATTCATGTTTTTTTCTTAAGAATACATAACTCTCCTGCAAAGTAATGGAGTTATTGCCTTTTGTTAGTTTTTCACAAAAATGTTAGAGACAATAATTCTAATCTCCACATATAAGTAGACCTCATTTATGAGAAGTGCAATGCCTAAGAACCATAACTCTTTATTGTATTATTGTGTTATTTCCTTTTCGTACTTTTCCTTGCTTATTTTTTTGTCTTAATCATACAACTTTATAAGTATTGGAAATATTAATTTGAAACTTCACAGATGGATATATCTTTTTGAGTTAAGTACAGTGTTTTAGAACCATATATAACTATTTTGCATAATTTTGGAGTTACTGCCCTTTGCATTTGTCACTTTTAATTATTGTTAGCATAACATGAAAGGTGCAAGTACCGGTATCAGTTTATGGACAAATCCCATTTAGAAGAAGAGACCAAGGGCTAACTTTTTGAAGCCTGACTAGGAGTAGCAACAAACTATATCCAGATGAATGAATTTTCTGGGCATAGAATAATATTTCAACTTTTTAATGTCTAGATTCCAACATAAGAACCTAAGTTCACTTTTACAGCCGTAACTTTATTTTACGGGCGTAAAATGGAGCTTAAGCATTTTTGATTCAGTTTACAACACCTCAAAATTCTATGTCAAATTTTACGTCCCTAAAGAAAAGTACAGCCGTAAAAAATAGAAAATTACGCCCATAATTTTCATGTTTTTCCTGCTCTTAAAAAAATAGGTGTGTTTTACGCCTGGAAAAGTGGTTTTACGTTTAATTTCCGTGTCTTTTCCTGCTACTTTACGGCTGGAATTTTCGTACAATGTACCTTGTTAATTAATTTATATCGCCACGCACGTTAATGACTAACGATCAAAGTAAAGGTGTTTACTTCCCTTACAGTCACTTCTAACACATTCTTAATGGACGAAATAACCACTTAAGGGGTAAATATAAGTCGAAACTCAAAAGTGACCCTCCAAGGCTTCCATAGGTATAGATGTTATCTCATTTATGGACTGTAATATGAACATACAAAATTTATAAGACATTTGTCAGTTTTTAATTTTTTATTTCACTCTATTTACAAAAATGTACACATGAACTAATTCCATTTTTGTTTTTGTTTTTATTTGGTTGATTATAACAAAATTGTTTGACTATTGAATATTTTGAAATTAAATTACATAATTACATTTTTATATGTTTTGGAATCCTTTTGTATTACCACTTTATACAAAATCAAAAAAATCCTGAGTTTAATGTGACAATCTAACACTGAGGGCAAGAGAGCTATATCTTTAAAGACACGACTATTTACAAACCTACCGTCATAAAGACTATTAGTCATGAAACTGTTGATTAATTAGTTGTACAAGGTCAACATTACAAGCTAGTTTTCTTTGCGGTCGATAAAACAACAATTTTTCTTTAAAGTCATGGTAATTTTACCTGTTGGTATTTAGAAGATGAAGTATGCTGATAAGATTGTTCTATCCACGTATGTGGGGATCTAATGTTACAGTGAGATTTTTGTCTTGTCTTATCAATGTGTTTTAATTTTTCTCCAAAAGATGTTTATTAGTTATATTTTATATTTACAGTTTTATTTTTTCATAGATGAAATTGGTTAAAATATTCAAGTATTTTCGCGATCAACTCGTCGGTTCATAAAAATATCGAGGTTTAAAGATGAAACAACGTTGACATTCGTGGATATTACTTAGGTATTATGGGAAGAAGATATAGATTCCACTTTAAAGATTAATTTATTCGATGTGATACGATTTGCTACTACAGTGAATTATTTTACATCTTTTCTTTGTGTATGTAAATGTTTGCTTTGTGTGTGTTGCATATCAGTATATGTTTATCTAAAATAGACTGAAATGTTTCATTCCTGATATCATCATTAAATCTAAACGGTGTGTGGAATTTCTACATAGCTCGAAATTGCAAGGTACGCATTTTTCCCCTTTTTATTGATAAAAGTATATAAAAAGTATTTGGAAATTGGTAAACTATTTATTCTACTTTGTAAAACAAATAAATATATTTTTTTAAATTTCGATTTGCACATTGATAAAAAATCGTTGTTTGAATAAAAACTGTTTTAAAAGATACAATATTACCAAAAAAAAAAAAAAAACAACAAAAAAACAACAACAAAAAAAAAAAAAAACAACAACAAAAAAACCCCTGATCATACATGTTAATTATAAGGTTCTTTTGTTTGTAACTTTCAATTAGAAAATCAAATTGCATTTTATTCCAATTATAAAACTGTTTTATAACCCCATACATTGAGATGAGTATAATTGTATAGGTACTAAGGGGAAAAGACTTTACCATTTCGGTTTGTGTGCCAAATGTCTTATTTAATCGTGACACAAGCCATCTTAGAAAACATATAGGGTGAGGGGGCTGTGTTTACATGATTTTATAATTTTAATATTTCGTTTTTTATTGTATAAGAACAAATTGTAAGAGTCTGATAAAAATGAAAATATTTCTTATCACTTAATTGGTCTGTTTCTTATGCTTGTTTCTAGAACAACAATTTCCAAGATAATCAAGAAAAAAAAGAGTATGACATTATAAAGCCAGTTTCATTGATTCGTAATTTAAAACGCTTGGAAAAGATCTGAAGATTGTGTCCGTTGCTAGGGACTCCAATTTCACACAGGCGTGTGAAATCAATATTTCATTTCAGATTTATGGTTTTGTGTCGATAAATTCTGTTCCTTCCCGTAATCTTCTAATTTTAAAATTTACGGTGGCTGATAAACGCCATGCCGTGCTTTCGCTTATTTGCCTAAACACGAATGTAAAGTTCACTAGGTCGTCTATTGGTGATATGGCTTTTTGGGTTATCGAAACAAAAAAGCGGAAATACGACAGAAGAAGGGCGACAATATGATAAAACTGTCGTCTATTTGAATTTCATCTGTCGCATTTTCGCTTTTGGCATTGTTGCATTTTGAATTGTTCGCATTGTTGTGTTTTCGCCTTTTCCCATTCTTGTATTTTGACTTTCTCGCATTGTTGAGTTTTCGCTCTCTCGCATTGTTGTATTTTTACATGTTCGTTGTTTTGCCTTTTCGCGTTTATCGCTTCTCCACGTTCCAGTTTGATTACACATTTATGCTGGAAAGGGCGTGGTAGCCTAGTGGTTAAAGTGTCTGCCTCTCAAGCCAGAGATCATAGGTTCGAGCCCTACTCGGGTCACGACCGGGTTTCTTCATATGACACCAGTACTGGTTGGTTCCAGGAAGCGGACTCGAAAGTGATTAAGATAAGTTGCAATAACTTGTTAAGCAATCGAGCTAAAATAAGTATGATTTTAGATATATATGCTGACCAGTAATCAAAGGGTAAATTTCTTAATATTAGCTGTAGAAACCATGCTTCATATATATAATTAACACCCTCTCAAAATAAAACCAAACAACAACAAAAAAACAGCATTATTTCTTTATAGATATTTTACGTTTTCAATTGTTTTATTCATAATGGAGTTTCATCTTTTTGCAATTAATGTACATTTCAAGGAGACACTTTATCTTGCTTTGACATATTTATCTAAAAATCCGAAATATCTTAAACTGTATAATATAAACTCCTAATTAGGCTCTATTATCTCCTACGTAGGATTTGTAAAGTAAAGTCCTACGTAGGAGTTTTAAACTCCGAATTAGGCTTTTTTATCTTCTACGTAGGAGTTACAAAGTCCTTCGTAGCACTTATAAATTCCTACGTAGGAGTTATAAAGACTTACGTTGGAGTTATAAAGTCCTACGTAAGACAAATAAAGACCTAGGTAGGAGTTACAAAACTCCTAATGAGTTTTTCTTATCTCCTACGTAGGTGTTATAATGTTTTATATAACATGTAACATTGGCACCAGGACGCTTCCGGATATTGTAGACCAACCCACTTTAAATGAATGTAGATTTTTTAGAACAAACTATTATCATTATAATGGTCTTGAACCTGGATATTTACGGATGATATATATTTGTGATGAAGTGTTGCTTTACGTTGCAAGAACAACATGTGCCTGAAATCCCCTTCATACCATGTTTTATATCTATAATAAACATTATATACATAGTATATGTTTATTATATATACATGTTTAGGGTAGGAGTGTGTGTGTTAGACGCAAGGCACCTGCGGCAAGAGTCATCTAAATCAAATGGTTTCTTAATTATTTCTTTCTCTTCTAGATCTCGACAAAATATCCACCCATTGATATATGGCCTGCACCTGTTGAGGAAAACTGTTGTTTACACAGACGTATGGACAATGTATCATGGAAGAAGACGGTTGAGTAGACTTTGCAACGTGATAGCCACGTTATTGTTCTGTTTAATTTTCTTATTGGTTTTAAAACGTATGTGCATTATAGCATTTTCATATTACCCAAAGCCACCATCTGAACCTAAAAATAGAAATCAAAAAGACTATGTGGTTACGTACGGAGCCAGTTACTTGAAACCAGCTTCTCTAAAAACTATAGTCGTTTGGACGCGTTATTTCGGAGAATGGGGATGGGAGATTATAGCAGAAAATTCAATGAAAAGCTGTCCGTCCAAATGTTTGTACACACGAGATAAAAACCTAGTAGAGAATGCGAACGCGGTGTTATTTAATGCCAATGATTTGTGGAAATATCGAACTTTAATTGGCACGCTTTATGAATTCCCTATATCAATGCCTAATGTGAGAACACCGAACCAAGTCTGGATCTTACTGAGTATTGAACCAATGAATACAATGCGTGTTTCTATGAACCAGTATGGATTTAACTGGACGACATTATACAGGAGGGAATCCACCGTATACTACCCATTCACAAACCGGTTTAAAATGTCTCCAGATGAAATAAATAAGAGTGAAACGCATTCCCAAGGAGTGTCTGAAAATCATTTCAAAACCAAAACAAAGTTCGCTGCAACCATGATAAGTAATTGTGACGATGATGCAAGAAGGTATAAAATAATCAGGGAATTAAAAAGATACGTTGACATCGATGAATTTGGGGATTGTTCCGGAAATGTGATATGTCAATACCGGAAATCCCCGAACGAATGTAAGCAACTCTACGAGTATAAATTCTATTTAGCTTTTGAAAATAGTTTCTGTAGGGACTACGTTTCTGAGAAATTTTGGTTGACATTTGATAGAGGGCAGATCCCAATAATTGCCGCACCGAAATACAATGTAGAGATGTTGCCTCCAAAGTCTTACCTAAATGTGTTCGATTACAATAGTATTCAGGAACTAGCAGACGAGATGGTCAAGGTCGGAGAAAATGAAACGCTTTATAACAGTTATTTTAATTGGATGAACATTTATAAGCGTGAGAAGAAATCCATATATTGCAGATTATGTGAAGAACTTTATGCCAATAGAACAGCACAAAATTATGTTGACATAGATGAATGGATCAATGATGATATTTGTGAAAAACAGACGGTAAGTTTTTAGCCCTTTTTGGCAATACAAATGTATTCATAAAGTTTCGAATATTACGGAAGGGACACGCTTGTTGATGAACTTTAGTGTGTCATGTACAGTTTTATATCTTAAGGCCAACTAAGCTTATAAATGCTATTTTTTTCATTTTTCAAAAGCTTTTAAGTATGGATGATATGTTTTAGTTTGCCAAAAAGATAGCCAATGGTCATTTCACAGAATAAATTTTCTTTTTAAAAATTTTTTGTGTGGAGAAAAAACACGAAAAACTTTTTTTTTTTACACCAGATCACAATTTGTAAAGCAATTTATATGTTTTTTATCTGTATTAAGAAATTGCTTTTTTTCCCTACAGAAAAAAAAAAAAAAAAAACAAAAAAATTTTTATTTGAACTGACTTGATTTTTTTTTAAAGTTTAGCGTTGCATTTAAAATTGAAACAAAAATTTTGTTTCCCCTTTAAATCACTCTTGTTTTGCTTTTTTACTTTTTTATGAGTCTTTTTCTTTCAGTTATGGAAATCGCTTGGGCCCTTAATCGAGAGGGGGTTGTTTGATATGGATTGGAAAAATTTAAAAAAACAAAAAAATTGGTGAATCGCAGTCGACAAGCAAGGGTATGATGAATGAACCCCGATCGTCGTTTCCAATAAATTCTAATGATTATACAGTTATGACATTAAATGTTATAATGCTATATCTCATATATATGTGCCATGAAAATAAATTGTCATTCGTGAGTAAAGTGGTATTTTGATATTTATCTGCTAGTTATTGCTTTTTCTTCTGGCAGAAGCTTAACACCTAATTGCTGTTGCCATGCGTTCCATTCTTAAAGTGAGTTGATCACATTTTTTAATAAATGTTTAAAAACACTTGAAATGTTTCCTTTTAGATATTCGTTTTTTTCTGTGAGAAGGAAAATGTTGCTAGATTTCTAATAATGTATTTGCAAAATGATATTAATATTTTCTTTAAGGAATAATTTACTATCTGCCATTTATAAATGTGTCATATCGGACCATGTATTTATTAACAGCATTCCTTTGCGGTTTGTTGTTACGTATGATACTCAATACAATCAATTTAATTATTTATGGTACTTCAGAATTTCCATTATTGATCTGTTCACTTTAATCAATTATTTCTTTTATTATATCTATGATGTTGCTTGTTATATCTAGTTGTTTATAAGAAATGACATTTTTAAATAAAATTCTATGCTTTGGATCCTTAAGTAGTGTAGGTGACAACTCGAGGCATTAATGGTTGAGTTAGAACTTAAAACCTCTAGTCTGTTTGAATTTTCAGGTTGATTGACATGGCGACATTTTAACAAATGTAACATATTGCTTACATTTCAATATCAGACAGGTTCATGGGACAATAGAAATATTAATTGAACGTTTTAGTGTTAGTGTCTGGATAACATGTACTTTCTATGCAAGATGTTGTTATTGTTGTACCATGTAATGCCTTGGCATTTTATATTATTATAAATAGTTGTCAACAGAACAATTTATAAAGTTAAATTCACTGGGTTAAGTATCATATTCACTGGCTGAACTGGATTTCCCCAGTTCAAAAATAGATTGAGACTCATATTCAATGACCATATATCGTAGGCTATTGATAACGCGTGCTTATTTAAAATTGATTGTTGAGTTTTGTTCTTTATGATATATTTCTCGATTGAAATATAATTACTATACAGTTATAGTTAAAAGTTACACCGCAATGATGAGTATAAACATGAATTACTTTCGTATGCGCAGCGTTCGCGTAGTTGTTGCACGCCTTTCACGTGCGTCTTTTGTCCCGCGCTTCAACGAAACAGGAAAAGTTATACATGTAAAAAGTTGTACTTTCTGTGATTTTTTTAAATTTCTTATAGCCTATTAATATTATAGAATTCATATAATAAAATATTTATTGACTAGTGATGGTATTATTCACCGGCAGAAAAGTCATATTGACCTCGGCTATCGCCTCGGTCAATATGTCATCTGCCGGTGAATATCACATCATATACAATGGCACACTAGTCAATAATTGTATAATATACCATACCATACGATATACTTTACCATGTCATATACATGCAAGTACGTACCATTTATTTCCGTTAAATTGTTAAAAATCGTATTTCATTCGACAAAAAAACAACGTAATAAAGTGATAATGTACAAGGCCACTCATATCACTAAAACTGAATATTAAACGATATTTATAAACTTACCGCAAGTTAGTTCCATACGTTAATTTTAAGTGATTGATTTTAGCAAAAAGGTACATAAAGAATAAGCTTTGTTTGAATAACAAAATACAAAGAATTAATCAAATGCACAAATATTTTAAATGTTCTTTTTATTTTATATAATAATATCATATTTCAAATTTCAGTCTGACAATTATACTGCGTACCTACTAATATATAACTATTTATAAAGATTTCCGACATGTTATATGGCTCACTTTAACGGTCGTTTGCTTATTTAACCTGGGCCGCTGAGGATAGTTTATATGGCAAACTACCGTTTATACTTGACCATATTACCTACCAAACATTTTTATAGCAAATTTACAATGCAGCAGAATTACTTCGATCAAATAAGATCATGATTTAACAGTAGCAGTGCATATATGTGATATAAACCAAGAGTATCGATTAAAAAGCGACGTTACAAACTTATAAAACGTTACAAACTAATATTATAATACTGCACGTTTGTAACGTCGCTTTTCATTGGATAATCATGACGTTTATATAGTTTTATATACACGGCTGCTGTCATATCATGAAGAAATCTTACCTTTTTCTCTAAAAAAATGATGCTTGTAGCGGCTCGGGTTATATTTACAAGCAGCCGTTTATATAGGGCCATATAACATGTCAACAATCTTTATAACTAATAATATAAACATATACTTATAGTAGTTAAAGGTTACTTATACTTAGAATTAAGTGCATGTATATAGCAACAATTCTAGGTCGGTCAAGTAGAACTACCAGAATTAATTACGTACGTAGTCAAGAAAATATTCAAACTTGCCAATATACAAATCTATTCATTTCATACAGGTACTTTGGGAGTATTCTTTTTTTTTTTTACAAAATTCAAACACTTATTTTACAACCTACAGGCAGCAGATATATTTAGTAGCTTTGTATTTCTGCACGTTTATAACCTATATGAAATAAAAAGGTTTGTATATTTCCTTAAGAACAAATGGCGCATTTACGAAATCATTAATGCACAGTTATCAGCGTGCAGAGTACATTTATGCTTACTTTAATATCATTTTATCCTTCTTTCAGTACATTAATTAATAGTTTGATAAATTCATAGATAATTATACAGTTTGCACTAATGAAAGGAAACGTGGGGAAATATTGTGAACTATGCATAAATTCGATCATTCCTGTCTTGATCATCAGTCGTTCACTTCTTCAGGTTTTACGTTTTATTAAATAACAAGACTGGCACAAAGTCTTGGTAACGACAGACAGAGTAAACTGTGCGACATTGCAAAAACTAAGTTCTAGAGATGTATCGCCAGCCAAAAAAAATCCTACATAAAATGGAAGCATTCTTTCTTATTTCGGACCAATTTATTTTGTTTTCGTGCAGTATTCATGTGAGAATTCTATGTTGCAACTCTTTCAAAATTCGACCATGATATTATGTAAACGACATACTTTAACCGTTCATTTTTATAAAACAATATAACATTTGATTAACTTACTAGTTAATTAAGAGGTTAACTTGTTACGTAAGTAGTTATTCACTTAAAATATCATTAGGATGGCAGTAGTAGGCACTAACATGCATTTATTTCCAGTTATGATCTTTTATTTATTGGGAAAAAAAACTAGTTACGTAACTAGTTAACCTCTTAATAACTTGTTAAGAGATTAACTAGTTTTGCAACTAGTAAAAACAATAACTAGTTACGTAATCAGTTAACCACATAACTAACTAGTAATTGAGAGGTTAACTAGTTACGTAACTAGTTATTTCAGTATAGAATTTGCAATGAGGCAGCAGACGACACTGTCTTATTGACTTCCCGCTTTCACGATGTTGTTTTTATTTTTTGATATCAGATTACCATGTATTAGAATAGGTTAAAGTTTATTAGTACTTATTTACAAAAATAAATTGGTCAGGTGTGCTGCGCAACCAATTAATCTTTGTAAATACGTACTAATAAATTTTAACACGCTAGTGTTTTATTTTTATAAACAGTCGATGTACTAGACTAATTAACAGTTTGCCGATTTAACAAAGTAAATGTGTAACGATTCATTTGAAATAATGCGATCCTATTGAACAAAAAATATTTTTAAACACAAGTAACAATTAAAAATTAAAGCAGTGTAATATTATTTGCTCTAGGAACTATCAAATTTCATTTCACCATGTATTGCATTATATTTTACATGTATACCGTTCTTTTCAATGGATTGTACGGATTTTTATCTGCCAGAGGTCAAAAGTTTTATTTCGATAATAATTCTATATTCAACACTCAATATTCATTTTTCCTGATATGTTACATCTTAAAATCAGTTTATACTGTTTACTAATTGGGATGAAGTACTTTCACATACATAATGGTAGCTGATTCGTGTGCACCGCGCACCGCCAACCGAAAAGTCGAGATTTTAAAAAATAAATGGCGGGGGCGTAGAACGATAACAGTTTAATTAGCGGGGCGCGGTGCGACGTAAAATAAATAAAACGTCGCTCCGCAGGGGCGCATGACTAGATTTAAGAAATAAGATGGCAGGCGCATGGCGAAAACACGCTTATAAGCGGGGACGCGGGACGAAATTATATCTATGTTTCTTTAAATACATGATTTTGAATAGCTAAGACATGTGATTTCTTTCATCGGTTTTCTGATTGAGCTTTCCTTTTCAGAGACATTTCCTGAAAAGTTTGTTAAATTATTGATCAATAAAAGACATCACCATTTGTTTCAACTCCTCTTAAATCTTTTTTTTTA